GGCCTATTATGAAGGTCATTCACCTGAAACAGATGTTTACCCAACGCATGACTATCATTCGCTAAGCAAACCGGATCAATTCTAATTGTTTATTACTCTTTAAACAATGTGTTTATTATTGGACTTTACTCTCAAACAGAAAAACCCCTCCATACACAGACAAGCCTGGTGGTTACCGCCCATCTAATCTCACGTATCAACACAGTTGTACAACTGGCATTGAACAACCATCACGTGGAACATTTACATGCAGATTACAGAAATTTTAATTAACTTTTTTTTGCGTGAATTGACATTAGATTGCCGTGGTATAACCTCATACCTATCAACTCCTTATCAGTGCCCTACCTTATTACAAAAACCAGGACAGGCATCAACTCTACCCAGAGGCAGGGAAAGATCAATGGTTCCAAGAGGTGTGTGCGACCACAGACATACGGCACACGCCCTTGCCCGTGCTCTTCCTCTCATCCAGTTCCCCATATGCTGTTCGCCATTCCTTTATTTTGGGCAATTTCGGTAAAAACTTTCAGACGTTATCGTTTTCAAATGTTATTTTACACTTGTGAACTTCACACATACATACCTGTCAACCCCTTATCAGTGCCTACCTAATTCCAGATCAATTCAGACCTTATTGGTCACCCCGCGCCCTTATAAATCTCAACGTTCATCCTACAAAGTCCCGTCACAAGGGAGAAACACATAAAATAAACAAACAACATAGTTGCCAGTATCGAGACGGCTGTACGCCATAGGGACCTGAAAACTCCATTTCCCTGTACAAGAATGCGTGTCTATGTTGTGTGTCTCTCTCTGTGTGTCTCTGTGTTGTCTCTCTCTGCTTATGTGTGTCTCTCTGTGTGTCTATCTTGTGTGTCTCTGTGTTGTCTCTCTCTGCTTGTGTCTGTCTGTGTGTCTATGTTGTGTGTCTCTGTGTTGTCTCTCTCTGCTTGTGTGTCTGTCGGTGTGTCTATGTTGTGTGTCTCTCTCTGTGTGTCTCTGTGTTGTCTCTCTCTGCTTATGTGTCTCTCTCTGTGTGTCTATCTTGTGTGTCTCTGTGTTGTCTCTCTCTGCTTGTGTGTCTGTCTGTGTATCTATGTTGTGTGTCTCTGTGTTGTCTCTCTCTGCTTGTGTGTCTGTGGGTGTGTCTATGTTGTGTGTCTCTCTCTCTGTGTGTCTCTGTGTTGTCTCTCTCTGTTTGTGTGTGTCTCTCTGTGTGTCTATGTTGTGTGTCTCTGTGTTGTCTCTCTCTGCTTGTGTGTCTGTCTGTGTGTCTATGTTGTGTGTCTCTTTCTCTCTGTGTGTCTCTGTGTTGTCTCTCTCTGTTTGTGTGTCTCTGTGTGTCTATGTTGTGTGTCTTTGTGTTGTCTCTCTCTGCTTGTGTGTCTGTCTGTGTGTCTATGTTGTGTGTCTCTCTCTGTGTGTCTCTATGTTGTCTCTCTCTCTGCTTGTGTGTCTGTCTGTGTGTCTATGTTGTGTGTCTGTGTTGTGTGTCTCTGTGTGTCTCTCTCTCTGCTTGTGTGTCTGTCTGTGTGTCTATGTTGTGTGTCTCTCTCTGTGTGTCTCTGTGTTGTCTCTCTCTGCATGTGTGTCTGTCTGTGTGTCTATGTTGTGTGTCTCTCTCTGTGTGTCTCTGTGCTGTCTCTCTCTGCTTGTGTGCCTGTCTGTGTGTCTATGTTGTGTGTTTCTCTCTGTATATCTGTGTGTGTCTCTCTCTCTCTCTGCTTGTGTGTCTGTCTGTGTGTCTATGTTTTGTGTATCTCTCTGTGTGTCTCTGTGTTGTCTCTCTCTGCTTGTGTGTCTGTCTGTGTCTTTGTTGTGTCTCTCTCTGTGTGTCTTTGTGTTGTCTCTCTCTGCTTGTGTGTCTGTCTGTGTGTCTATGTTGTGTGTCTCTCTCTGTGTGTCTCTGTGTTGTCTCTCTCTGCTTGTGTGTCTGTCTGTGTGTCTATGTTGTGTGTCTCTCTCTGCTTGTGTGTCTGTCTGTGTGTCTATGTTGTGTGTCTCTCTCTCTCTGTGTGTCTCTCTCTGTGTGTCTCTGTGTGTGTCTCTCTCTCTGCTTGTGTGTCTGTCTGTGTGTCTATGTTGTGTGTCTCTCTCTCTGTGTCTCTGTGTTGTCTCTCTCTGCTTGTGTGTCTGTCTGTGTGTCTATGTTGTGTGTCTCTCTCTGTGTGTCTCTGTGTGTCTCTCTCTCTGCTTGTGTGTCTGTCAGTGTGTCTATGTTGTATGTCTCTCTCTGTGTGTCTCTGTGTTGTCTCTTTCTGCTTGTGTGTCTGTCTGCGTGTCTATGTTGTGTGTATCTCTCTGTGTGTCTCTGTGTTGTCTCTCTCTGCTTGTGTGTCTGTCTGTGTGTCTATGTTGTGTGTCTCTCTCTGTGTGTCTCTGTGTTGTCTCTCTCTGCTTGTGTGTCTGTCTGTGTCTATGTTGTGTCTCTCTCTGTGTGTCTTTGTGTTGTCTCTCTCTGCTTGTGTGTCTGTCTGTGTGTCTATGTTGTGTGTCTCTCTCTGTGTGTCTCTGTGTGTCTCTCTCTGCTTGTGTGTCTGTCTGTGTCTTTGTTGTGTCTCTCTCTGTGTGTCTTTGTGTTGTCTCTCTCTGCTTGTGTGTCTGTCTGTGTGTCTATGTTGTGTGTCTCTGTGTTGTCTCTCTCTGTGTGTCTCTGTGTGTCTCTCTCTCTGCTTGTGTGTCTGTCTGTGTGTCTATGTTGTGTGTCTCTCTCTGTGTGTCTCTGTGTTGTCTCTTTCTGCTTGTGTGTCTGTCTGCGTGTCTATGTTGTGTGTATCTCTCTGTGTGTCTCTGTGTTGTCTCTCTCTGCTTGTGTGTCTGTCTGTGTGTCTATGTTGTGTGTCTCTCTGTGTGTCTCTGTGTTGTCTCTCTCTGCTTGTGTGTCTGTCTGTGTGTCTATGTTGTGTGTCTCTCTCTGTGTGTCTTTGTGTTGTCTCTCTCTGCTTGTGTGTCTGCCTGTGTGTCTCTGTGTCTGTGTTTTGTCTCTCTCTCAAATTTAGTTCTACCTGATGACGGTTGCTTGTGTTGCAATCGAAACGTCGTATTCTATTATTTAATTTATTTGCTTTCAGCGTGACTTTACCGAAAGAACTCAAGAGTAAACCGCATGGGTTGATAGGTATGTAATCTACAACTCTATACATTTTCACAAATCTTGATTAAAATTGTAATAAAGTCTTAACGACAGGTGTGATTGTAAAGCCCTTCATTAAATGTTTAACCTTTACTGTCAGATGTACATGGATTTTTGTCAAATCCACTGCTGGATGATGGCTTCACGTCATGATGGGTAGGGGGGAGGGGGGTTATTTGACCATACTTCACCACGTTGGTCAGAGCGGGTTGGTGAATGCCTATGAACATCGACGTTGGCACCCTAGAAGCGCAGTTACATTTTTGGGTTTTTAGGGGCCGTCCATAAATGACGTCACGCACCTAGTGGGGGGAGGGGGGGTCAGACATTTGTGACGAAGAGGGGGGGGGGGTTGAGAAATGTGACGTCACATCAAAATGCGCAACTTTAAATAAATATAGACAACACGTTCTACTTAATTAAATAGACTTTTTAATAAATGTTTTCTCCTACAACATCAGAGTGCAGCGCCACATTAAATACGCACTCCAAATGACAATAGTTTAAAGCGATTTGAAGCATCTTTTATTTTTGTGTGGGGGGGGGGGGGCAGAGCTTTGTGACGTCATATTTTAGGGGGGGGGTCTGACTTTTTGTGACGCCGTGTGACGAAGGGGATGGGGGGGGTCAAAAATCGTCCAAAATCGCGTGACGTCATTTATGTACGGTCCCTTATCTACGCTGACCTCTAATTTCACCACCAACTCAATTGCTGTTGTGACTCGCTGACCCGCCCATGCTTGTGGACATTTTTGGAAGAAAAAAAATAGCTTCTTCACAAGCTCAACGTTTTCCCTCTTCGGCCTTAAATACTTTGATTCAATAAACAATGTCCGGGTTAATCTCTTGCTGCAGTATAACCAGTGTAGAATCAACTTTCATTAATTTGCAGTTATCTTCCGAAAACCGTGTGCCCGGACCTTAAGAAATGTCACGAGATAGAAAATGTGACCCATTGACGTGCATGCCAATAGACAATGCGATACTGTCACACCTCTACGTTATCCACTGCTGGATGAAGGCCTCCCCCCCTCCCCCCACTCCGTGTCGGTCATTGGGGGAATGGCTTGACCATACTTCACCACCCTGGTCAGTTCGGTTTGGTGAAGAGGGCGGGAGTGGCTTGTGGGGGTGAGTTTAGACATCACTCCAAATTAAAGAAAATATGTATTTTTTTTACCACGTAAAGCCCACAGTGCGCTAACCACTGTGCCACCGCTCCTCCCGTGACGTCTAATCGATGTGCCAGACACAAGCGCCGCGGTGTTAGGGAATCTAACCTTACGCGCTTACGGATAAGGGCCATTTGTACGAACCCGCCCCTTGTTTATGCGCATACTTCGTTTTCCATTTTTAGGGCCAACAGTGTCGTTGACGATTTTGTTAGAGCAACTGTTTTATACACTCGTATAAACGCGTGTGCGGTGTTGGGGGAGTCTAATCCACTATGCGCATGCGGTGTGGGGAATCTAATCCACTACGCGCGTGCGGTGTGGAGAATCTAATCCACTACGCGCGTGCGGTGTGGGGAATCTAATCCACTACGCGCATGCGGTGTGGGAAGGGGAATCTAATCCACTATGCGCATGCGGGGTAGGGAATCTAATCCACTATGCGCATGCGGGGTGGGAAATATAATCCACGACGCGTCTCCGGTGTGGGAAATCTAATCTACTACGCGCATGCGGTGTGGAGAATCTAATCCACCATGCGCATCAGGTGTGGAGAATCAAATCCACTACGCGCATGCGGTGGGGAATCTAATCCACTACGCGCATCCGGTGTGGAGAATCTAATCCACTACGCGCATCCCGTGTAGGGAATCTAATCCACTGCGCGCATCCGGTGTGGGGAATCTAATCCACTACGCGCATGCGGTGTGTGGAATGTGGAGGCGTCACGCGGATGTGACTCGCCGCGTGTCCGGGGCGGTGCGAGACAGACGGGAAGAGGGCACGGACGGAGTTAACGCCACGGACGGAGTTAACGCCACGTTCTCCTCTCGAAGTCAGAAAATCGTTTTCACCAGAACCCCGGGACCCGTTCGCACGTCAACCACCACCCGCCTCTCTTCTCCCCGCCCGCCCGCCCGCCCACCATGAGGGCTCGTTGTGTGTACGCGGCGCTGGCGATCGCTCTGCTCGCTGCGCTGTGCGACGTTGCATTCGGTGACGATGATAGTGGTATGACAGACTCCCAGGCCAATAATACGGCAATCACCCCGGCCAAGACTCCGGCAATCACCCCGGCCAAGACTCCGGCAATCACCCCGGCCAAGACTCCGGCAATCACCCCGGCCAAGACTCCGGCAATCACCCAGGCCAAGACTCCGGCAATCGCCCAGGTCAATAATACGGCAAACACCCAGGTCATGGATGTCACGCCAATATCTCCGACTGAAAACGTGCCGACGAAGCCACCGACTGTGGAAGGTGAGTTTAACTTAAGCCAGAAGTCCCCAAACCTGCGTGGGGTCAGAATCTGGATATTTATGTACAACGGAGGAATCCGATGAGCTACGGACGGACCTCGTGTTATTACCGATGTCCAGTCGATCGGCTTGCTCAGGGTGCCGTCTTTAACGTAGCTGCGCCTGTTCATCATCGTCACATCCACCGCATCTTCACATCTCGACCCACACCACCTCGAATCATCATTGCCCCCCTCCCGCCGCTGCACCCGTGACATCGCCGTAGGCCTAATTGCATCTTCTTTTAGTTCTTAACACATGCACGAACCGTCTCTAAAGCCCTAGCTTTCCGTGAGTCGAACCCCATCCATGTAATAGAATACAGCCGCCTGACGTGGGCTCACAAACCCGAGGTGGAGCGTCGCTGGACTGAAACGTGCTTGTCAATTGTGTGTGGTTTTTTTTTTATAAAGTGAGCAATGCATTTAGTTCGCGATAAATAATGGGGTTTTTTTGTGGTTAGATCGCGTAAACATGTCACACTTTTGCTCGCGAAAGCCTTACGTGTTAAACTGCGTTTTGGTGGCTAGGGGGAGGTGTAAATGCTTATTTTGGTAACACTGCTTATTAGACTCTGTTTACAACTTCGTTTCTACCAGTATTATTTAATTGTTTCCCTTCTACGTGACTTTACCGAAAGAACCAAGAAAATACACGCCGACGTGTTTGTTTGCTGGCTTTTTTGGTAAAAAAAATTAAAATCATCGTTGCCCGTATTTGAAAGCGGCAACATTGAGCCTTCGGGGGTCATCTGCTGGGCCCCCCACTGGGTTTGTGCCATTGGGTTTGACCATCGTTTTCGTGGCACGGCAGCGCCGGTGAGTGTGGCAAGGTGGCCACTTGAGCCGACTTCTGTAAACACGACGAGCGGGAGAGTGGAACGGGAATATTCGTTTTGGTATGCCCCCTGCTGCTCAGTACTTCCGTTTTATAGTTTACCTGCAGTTTTCTCTCGCATACATTGACATCCACAACACTTTTCACCCACGTTTATGCCACAAAGCTCGGTTTAAAAAAAATGCGTAATAATCATGTGTTGTTGTACGCGCGCGCATTCGTGTGTGTGTTTCCCCATGTTAGTTAGGACTTAAACGGTGGCTTGGTATGAGAATAGGTTTCCCCTTTTTTGTGGCAACAAAACAGGTGTGAAGATGTTAAAACACCAAACTGAAACCTTTCACAAGGAATCATGTCTGCATTAACCACAATACTTGTGGTCAGATTGCAAACAAAAAACATACTCTGATAGTATATGCATTGTCTTTGAAACTGATTGGTCCACAACCAGAGACAGCTTTCTTTTGAGCCTCGTCTCAAAGGAGGACGCCAAAAGGCGTACAGCTCAAAGACAATGCACTATCAGAGTAATGAGAGCTCTGGGTGAGCATCTACATTATAACCTATTCTCATATTTTGGTACTGGCAAAGGAGGTCCCATAACGGTGGCTTGGTGTTTTCGGTTAGTTCAGCGAGAGTACTTGTTGGCGTGCTGACGCAGTTATCAGCACGCTGTGCTAAGAACCTGACAAAGCCCCTAAGTTCGTTTCCTGCCCTCATAGCATAAATGGTGAGTGAAATCTGAGCTGGTCTTGGACTCTCCGCCACTTCACCAACTCGCACTAAACGGCGTGGTGGAATATGGTAAAACAATCCCCATTACCGGTACAACGTGGGAGGGGGGCAGCCTTCGGGCAGTAGTGGATTTCACAATCCACTACATTTTATGGATCGATTGTATTTTTCAAATGGTGTAGGCGTATTCCATATGTGCCCTTTAATTGGAAAATGATCCAAGCTAAAAACCATGTGTTTGTGCATTGTTAAACTGCTGTAGAGTACCATCTTTGATTTATTTTATGAACCACTTTTCAGGAAAACCAGAGCCACCGATGACCACTAAGGTGCCAACTACAGTCGTGGTTGAGCCATCTGTTAAGACAAAAGTCACAACCACCACATCCTCTACATCGACCACCGTCGTGGAAGAAGGCAACAACAGCATCCATGAACAAGAAGAAGAAGAAGAAGCAGAAGAAGCAGAAGAAGCCAATGTGCAAGACGACGATTACAATAACGTGGCAACTGACCAGGGTGACGATAATGATGACGAGGACGAGAATCCAAAGGATGCAGACGATGATGACGAGGACGCAAACCAACAAGATGCCGACGAATCATTGCAGAAAGTGAAACCGCGAATCGACATATTGGCTGACGATGAAGAGGAGGACAGCCACTTCATCACGTACCTGGTGGTAGCTGCAGCCCTGGTTGCCGTGCTGTACATCGGCTACCACAACAAACGCAAGGTGAGGCTAACGGATCACACCGTCGTAGACCAAAAAAAATGCGTCCTCGGGTTACGTCTATCATTCGCCACGACACCTGAAATTTCGCGCCTCCATGCCGGGAAGCTTCCTCAGGAACTGAATCCCAGAAGGCTCCCCCCCCCCCCCCAGCGCCTAGAGAAGCGACACGCCAGACGTTAAGCTGAACAGCAACCCGAAAGAACAGGACAGTGGCACACTTGTTAACATTCTGCCCAAATCCACTGTTTTTGTCAAGTTGGTGATGTGAAACGGTGGTGTCGTGTAGGGTCGTGCCCCGTGATATGGCCCGGGGGGAATCCATTTAGCAATGGATTGACAAATGGGCTGTAAATAGTAACAGTCAAATATGATTAATAATTCGTTTATTTCGGGTAAGATCGTGTCGGTATAATGTGCACATGACAATTGATTTGCTTGCTTTTCAACATTCTGGTTTGCAGAAAAAACTATAATTTAGCATATTTGCCCACATGACAACTTGATTTGATTGTTTCTCTCGGATGGTGGAGGGTTATAGTTAAAACAATACATTATAGCTACACGATCTAACCAAAATTAAACTACTGTATTCATAAAAACAAAATATTGGTCGTGAAAGCCAATATATAAAATGAATCGTAAAAAGTCAAGTTGGTGTCCTAAAAACTAAGTCACGTGGATATAAATATTTTTTCCCAATTTGCTTTAATAGTAACTTAAATGAGGATGTGACCCAAACAGCAGATAACCATTGTCGATATGGGGCTGGGTTGTCTGACAATTTAAGCTTTGAGAAAATAAGACCTCCAAGTTTCAGTCAAGCATTCTGATGATGCCATCCCAATATATTTGAATTAAAATGTGTCTGTATTTATTCAATCACTAGATAAACCTGGTTTTAAGGTGTTTTCCTAAAGAAAGATTGAAACTCATCAAGACATCTGGGGAGACACACAGCCTAGATATTGGTGTTGTTTGGGGTGGTTATGTTGACATATAGGATAAACATGTAGGCCCAAACAAGTACAAGAGCCTCTGGATCATGATAAAGTTTGTTATGATATTACATATTTTTGTTTTACAGATCATGTCAAATTGCATTGGGAGAAAACCCTCCACTGGGCAGCGGACCAAATATCAGCGTCTGGATCAGAACGTGAGTGAAGCCATGCCATCGCTCAAACGGAGTCGGGACTTCAACATCTAACCATAGTATGTCATTGTATTGTGTGTGTGCGTGCGCACCAGACTAGAGCATCATGTTATTTTAAAGTCATAAACAGGACTTATTTTTTTTACTTTTGCAGTACATTATTCTTGCAATGTGGTATCAGTTTTAGAAATTAAAATACCACACGTTTCTCTTTCAGTGATCGGAGGCTTTGAGTGCTGTGCAACCTTTGCACACAACAGCCAATGGAAACAATTCAAGCATCAATCCAATCATCCAGGTGTACGAGGAAAGGACATCAATAATGCTACAGCGTGTGCACACATTAAAAAAATATATACATATTTAGTTAACTTCAATAGTTTGGGTTCTTTGGGATATGAAGACAATCCCCTTAAATAATGTTTTTCTTGCAACTTTGGCATTGTATATAGTGTTATGTGGTGCATAATAGTCCCAGACCTTCACAAATCAGCTGATTTCTTTGGAAAAATTGCATTGGTTTGAATATGCAAAGTGAAGTTTAATCGGATATTAAACTTCGTTAAATAATGCCGATTCCTATGATCTGAATGCTTTTGTTTATCAGATTTTGTTAATTGGTGAATGTTATTGAGTACTGGTAATAAAATATGGTGGATTCATGTCTGACATGTTTGTGTTCTAGAACTTAAAAGGTGAAATGTTTGAAAAATCACGTCATGTAAACCAAGACAACAATTTTATGCAATAGTAAGAAATTGATACATTTGTAATTTTTCCATAAAGTAAAATGAACATGGGTTTAATGCATTTTAATTGGTAATCTACGCGAACTATTCAATCTGGAGTATATTTTTAGTTAGTCTGTGTGATTCACGTACAGTCTCGACTAAGAAGCAGTCAAGCCTGGCAGTGTTACATCTTGGCGGAGCCCGTGGAAAGATGCATCAACTCTTCCATCACCCCCTTATCTGTTGCTTGTGTACATACTTTGGCACATCAATGTAAGTAGTATTGCAAATGTCATAAATAATGCAAAGCCCTTAGTTAATCCACTGATGGATTAATACTTTGCCTCATCAGTCCATGGGGTTTGTCTAACCATACTTCATTATGCTGGTCGGTACTTATTGGCGAAAGAGATGGGTGTCTCAGGACCGGTTATAATATCAATTGCTACTTGGTTTTTGCCATGGCCAGAAATTGAACTCAGGTCGCCAGATTCATCGCACGCCACTAAACTGCTGGACCACCATTCCACCCCAAAATATATACTTTACGGACTACTTCACATGTAACGGTGTGTACTAAAAACAATCCGTGTCATTCTAGTACAACTCATTCAGGTGGGAGATGACGTGCGACACACATATTTGGTATGACCCTTATTATTGCCATACTGACAAGTGGCACACGGTGTTTAAGTTCAACTTTTAAACTGGATAGATCTGGACAGAAATGGAAGCACAGGACAGTGCGAATTGATTTGGTGGTGAGTGCCATAACTTGCAAGGATATTCGGTAGACAAAAAGCAAGCTAAAATCATGGCTACCGCTCATTAATGTTGATTTGCAAAACGTGCACAAGTGGTTCGATATCAATCATTTTAAATCCCGTATGCTCAAAGTAAATTAATCCTCAGCCACTATCGATTTACTGCTGGATGATAGTCTCCCCAACTCACGATCCTGTGATGCAACAATCTACCCAGCACCTGCACAAGATCTAAGCTAATTGCTCCGTCTCCTCATTGTTCCCTCCCTGGAATGCAATTCCATCATTCACTACTGGTCATCATCCCTGCTAGCAACTTGGTCCTGCGTTTCTATATCTGTCATTCCAAGCATGTACCTCTATGCTTCTGTGCACTTTTCAATTTGCTTCATTAATATCCACTTTTCTGATCTATAGGTCAGAGCAGGTAATATACAGTCAGTGGTTCCATGATTACACATCTCTATAGCTGAATGAGCAGTCTCGCAATCGTATTGCATCTTGGGGTTGAAAAAAGGCCATGTGACCGATATAGTCGGTCAAATGGCCTCATGACAGTGTTCAGTCTTCAAGTATGTTCACGTCTTCTCTCTAAAACAAAGCTTCACAAAGGTTTTTGGATTTAGATCGCGTTATTTATAAATGTGTCGTAACCCTCCACCACCCAACATGGCCAATCAGAAATTACAATACCCCCCCCCTCCGCCTCAAATCACTGCACCTGAAGGAGTTAAATGATGACGTCACCCTGCTGCTCTATTTAAGACCGGGAACAAGTGGAGGGCTTTACCATTCTGGCGAACTGCCCGATGATGCTGGATGTAATTACCCGTGAAACGTCGTACTCAAACTGTAAATGTTGTGGATTCACTCAACACACCGGTGGGCTGAAGTAGTGAACTATTTGTTTTTTGTCAACGTGACACTTTTTTTTGCTGATTGGCCGTGTCGGGTGGTGGAGGGTTACGACACATTTATAAATAACGCGATCTAACCCAAAAACCTTTTTTTTATTAATATTGGTCGCAAAAGCCTACGTGTTAAACTAAAACAAAGCTCTCATCCTCCAGTTCATATACCTGTCGTTTCATCTCTGATACTATCATCATGTTGCTCCTATCAGCTGCCTTTTTACCTCGTCTGGATACCTTGACTCATGGCTATATTATCAATTGCTCTAAGAGTGATCTTGGTATTCGTGAAGTCGTCTCATACCTGTTAACCCCTTTATCAGTGCCTACCTTATAAGACCAACTCAGACCTTATTGGTCACCCAGTGCCCCTACAAATCTCAACGTTCATCCTACAAAGTCCCATCCCAAGGGAGAAACATATAGCAAAAATTGGCGGTATTGAAACGGCTGTACGCCGTATGGATCTGAACTTAAATTTCCCCGTACAAGAACGCGGGTAAACCGTATGGGTTGACGTCTATGTTGTCTCCACACCCCAAGCCCCACCACTCACACAGGCCGTTTTCCAGTTCGTCGTTAACGCCACTAAAACCCCTGCGCCAAAGTAAAAGGAGGCGGCGGGGGTAGGCGACTCCAGTTGCACGCACGAGCAGAGCAATGCCCGCACGGGGCGCGGTGCACGACTTTTGATGCCCTCGTTATTTCAAAAAGAACACCGCGGCCACTTCACGTGGTGTCAAACACCCTTTAAACCCCTGAATCCAAACCGCTGAAGTTGAATCCTCCCCCCCCCCCCGTGCCATGGGCAGTCATGGTGGTTTGTTTGACCACGCTCCACGAAGCTGGTCAGTCCAGGTTAAATCGGTTGCAATATCGCTCGCAAACAGACGATCGGGGAATTAAACCAGCGATCGGAACTCGGTTCGCCAGGTTCAGTCTTCAGGTTAGCAAAAACCACTTCATAAAAATGGCTTCTTAGTGCAATCGTAGCAGGTAGCGTCTTAACCACAAGCTATTTGGTCTCCAATACAAGAACCCGTGTAAAATGCTCAATTAGCAATTTTATTTGCATAAAATGCAGAAACAAAGGGAAAGGTGTTGTTTAATTTGAAATAACACAAAAATATGCCTGAAATACCTATATTTAGCAGTTCACATTGCCAATATTTATATACGTCTTGAGAATTTTGTTTTATATTTTTATTATTTTATTGTTTTCCTACGTGGCTTTACCGAAAGAACCAAGAATATAATATTTATATAACCATTCCCATTCACGTGTTGTCGTTTGGCATAAGTCATAGCTCTTAATCTGCAGTTACTAAATAACAGTAAAGCCAGCCACACTGCTCGTACTTCGATTACTGCGTGTAGTAGTGGACTGCGTGTCATTTAAGCAAGAAAACCACTACACTGGCACACAATGTACAAAAAAACTTTGCTTTTTATACTGCATATTAAGCGTTTAACAAGCATGCTTTGATAACAGCTCAGAAAATGAAGGCAAAAACATTTGGAATTGGCAGCACAACCTTTGTTAATACAGCACAATTTTTTTTTTAGAATGCCCTTTTGTCAAGCGCCACAATCACCCTTTAAGAATGGCTTCCTTATGAATAAACATTTATATAAATGTATATATTTTTTTAAAGGACCTTCATGCCATTAATACCCCAATATACCAAGTGTCACAATGACATTTTGCCTTTTCAAGTCAAGTGTTTTACAATCGAGTGAAATACATCAGATTTGGACTTTGCCCGATGCCGACTAGCAATTGACTTTAGCTGTCATGTTAGCATATGTCGATAGAGAGGATGCATACACACCACATCATATCAAGTGTATAGCACGTATGGAGCATGATCTAAAGGTTTAAACAAATGCATAATATGCGAGAACTGCATGTCAATAAAGTCACTGAACTTCTAGATATTCAGGCGCTATTCTTGGTAATATGTATTTGTGGTATGTTAAAGATAGAGTTTTATACAAGTTTATGATGGCTATATACAACTTTTTAGTAACCTTTGCCGACTGCTTGATGGTTCAGTGTTCTACAGTACTGCGATTTGATTGAAGAACATGCAGACAAGGGTACATATATAACCATGGACGTGATTGAAGACAATAACAAAGTTCATCTGATGACAAGAGGGCATGCGGTTCTAAATAAGTACACGTGTGCAAGACCTAACACGGGCAGGGTAATCACACAGCAGCACTGATGACATACACAGCAGATTAATCCTTGGATATCGGTGAATATGCGATATCTTCTTTAAGCTGACATTACTGCTGCACTTTTTTTTTTTACAAATAAAATGTTGCAATTTCGGTGGTAACTGACAAGTAGACAGCAAATGTAAACCAAAATGATCTTCATTATTTATTTTTTTATCTCTCATTGAAAGACGGTAATGTAAGATGTGCTTGCAATTGCATACTTTAAAATTGTTTGTGGGCATAAAGTGCTATGTTTTAATGTTGTGCCTAATTTTAAACCGAATAAACCTGCATCTTAATTTGGCTAATGCATAGCCTCCAAACGAAATGATGCAGTGCCTCGCACAGTGCATGATAAGCAAATTTCCTTATTGTGATATTGTTAAAAACTAATAAGCATAACCATTACAATCAGAATTGGACAAAATACAAATAACCTTTTAGATTATAACCGATTATGGGAAAAACGAAAATTGCAAAAACGATCAAGATAATCCAGTAAAATGTGCAAAACAAAGTATAACACGTTTGTGAAAAATTAAGCATTACTTGAGAAAACAAAAACATGACTTTATGTATGAATATGTACTGCCAAACACATAAGAAACACATCCAAATGAAATGACTTTGCTCACAGTTTTACTTTGAAACCGAGATGAACTTTCACCACCATGTTTCCCAGGTCTCAAATAGTGAGGAAACTGAGACAAGGATGTGCCAGAATGTGAAAGTTCGGTGTTTATGTCCAAATCATGCAACAAAAAAAAAAAACTAAGAATTTGGTAAAACCTCCAAATCACACAGCCTGCACGTGGACACACAAGGGGAAGTTGGCAGGTAGCGATGGGTTAATCAGGACAGATGCAAGGGCTGGCCAGTGAAACATCAGATCTCAGCTTGATGGGCATCCTGGGTTGATTCATAATGGTATGCGTACGGTCTTCTCTTCATCTTCTCTGGAGCCTTCCTCCATAACACCACCTCCTGTGAACAGCCCAACACACTCCGAGTAAAACGTACATATATCCATCATGCCTCTACCTGTCAAAATTTAAATGAAGATGGTTACTGCATCGCGCGCTTTAAGATGCACTTCTGCGGCCATCTGGAATCCTCAACCTTCCGATATGAGGAAGCCACTGGAGCTATGCACTTTTAAATCTAGATTGAAAACGAATTTCTTTAGAACTGCATGTTGTGTTGAGTTTGTTGTCCTTCCCCTGCACCTCCGATTAGCACAGTTGGCTACATACGGTGCGAAATAAATTAAACATATATACAATTGGTGCGCAGAGCGAGAAAAAGCAACACTTATCTTTTGATTTTTTTGTTTTTATTTTTTAATTGTTTTATATATATTTTATTATTTTATTGTTTCCCTTCAACGTGACTTTACCGAAAGAGCTAAGAATATGAACACTTATCTTCCCAATTACATGATCCCACACTTGCTTTCTCTTAAGTGTACTTTTTTCTGCCCGTTTATTCTATTTAGCAAAACCCTAGTAAACCCTTTCCTTAGATTTCTCAGTAAATGTGTCTCTAGTTAGTACACTCCTTATTTGTCATCTTATGTAATGGTATGACCATGGACTTTTTCCAATTATGTGGGAAATGCTCCCTCTATCCCATACAGCTTTGATTATACAGCTACTCCAGCATCTGTTAGCCACCTTCTTTCAACACTTCAGCAGGAATGTTAGGACACTCCTGCTGCCTTACCCAGTTTCAGCTGTTAAAAAGGGTTCAAAAGTTATTTAAGATTAACTTGTGACCTCTTTTAGCCTCATACCACACTTACAATCGACTTTATTCACACACAGGTGGAGAGATTTAAAACATTTCCAAATTATAACCATGCTCATAAACCTCTAACCCTTATGATCCCCCCCGGGCGATGTCAATTTTTTGTAGTCCTACCAAATCCTATCTTGATTGGCAAGCTCTCGATTGACAAGCAACATGGCTAATAAATACACTACACGTGCGGGTGAAATTTAAACAATACACTACACGTGCGGGTGAAATTTAGACAATACACTACACGTGCTGGTGAAATTTAAACAATACACTATACGTGGATGAAATTTGGTGACGGGGAAAAAGCAGGCACACGGTCAGTCCCGCTCTCGCCATGCGTCCGCGTTTTCCCACGTCCTACACCTGCCACGCACCTGCTGCTTGAAGTATCGCCGGTCTTCCTCATCGATGAGCACCAGGTTGATGAAGTAACGCACAGAGAACTTCTTGTTGACGTCTCTCATGGTGGGGGAGAGATCGTAGCCGGCGAGGAAGAGTCGGATGGGGATGGACTCTCCTGTGCGGGCCACAGGAGTTCGGGTGGTTACAAACGCGCAGGCATTCAGTAGCCCAGTTTTTTTATACAAGCATTTTACACAGCAAAGACTGTGGGGTTATGCTATGACATGAACATCAGAGGGCAGTGCAGCAAACTCTATGCTGTACTGGACTATGCTACCACATCTAACCTTCCCTCCTTCACCAACCCACATTCACCAGCGTGATGAAACATTGTCGAATAACCAACCACAACTCGAAGTGTGGCAAATGCCTTCATCCCAGCAGTGGATTGACAAAAGGGCTCTGCATGTACACACGTACATACGCAGCACAGTGGTTATAATGTATTACAACGCTTGAGTGCTAATAGCTGTCAAGTTTTGAATGAAGTTTTATTTTGAAATTGTCATTCTATCCCATAAAATAATATATAATATAACCTGTTTTGATTTGCAGCTTCCGTGACTGCAGGAATTCATACTCTTTGGTTTTTTCGGTAAAGTCACGTAGATAGAAAAGTAAATCATATTTATTTATTAGAAAAGTAAATAATATTTATTCTTTATTTTTCTATCTACGTGACTTTACCAAAAGAACCAAAGAGCATAACCTGTTTTATTGAAATATTGGAAGCCATGAGGTGTATTGTATGCTTCTTTATTTTATTGACGAGTTCAGACAGACACTCACAAACCACTCACCCTTGACGGGGGCACCGTCCATAATCTCGTACTTGGCGATGGTCTCGCTTTCTGTGGTCGTGCTTGGACCTGCAGCGACAACAAATAAACCCATTGGTATCAGATCTTTAGTCACCAATGCATGCCCAGTAGTCACATGGACACTAAAACTGACATCTGTGTTTCACCCGAGCAGTGAAGTGTCATTGGAATTGGAATAAAACTGTAAATAATAATACTTCCATTTATTAACAATAAAGGTTTGTTGGGGTTAGATCGTGTAAATATGTCGTTAAACCTGCCACCACTCCAACAAGCCAAGTACGACGTTTCATTTATATACAGCGTCATTCATGTGAATAGAATCCCATAACGTGAATGGGATCATGCTATATTAAGTTAATGAGTAATTTGTATTAACTGCATTTGATAGCGCATGTGGATGCAGTTAACTAAATTAATGAAACGACATTCGATATTGTGATGAATGAGTGTTGTCCTAGGCTCTCAGCCACAACACTGTCCCCACTCACCGCCACCCGTGATCTCCTTCTTGATGAGCTGCAGTTCCATGTGCTGGATTTTGATCCTTACAAGCAGGAAGTAGATTTTACCCACAATCACATCCTTCAGGTGATACCTGCACAGCAATGCCAAAACCATCAACCATCACACTTGCACGCATATAACACTTCACACATGGTCATTACCTATCAAAGATCATAATTTCTACAGCTTTTTAGTCGTTTCCACATCAGCAATCAACTAACTGAAAGGAAAATGTTATAATGTTATCGATGACTAGAGCTGGCATATTCTTGCAGGAATCACATTTGATTCATACCATTCCATTCTGCATTTTTCCAGCAGGAATTGCAATTTTCATTGGGGCAACTCCTTACATACACGAGTCAGCATCAAATGATATGGTAGTTCCTATAGTCCAAGTAGTAGTAGTCATGGATATTCCAGTATTAGTTCCAGCGAATCCGAGTATTAGTCCCTGTGGTCCGAGCGGTCAAATTGGTGCTGCCGTGGGTCATGGTGGCAGTTCTGGTGGTCCCGATGGTAGTCCCATTTGTCCAAGTAGTCTTAATGGTAGTCCCAGGAATTCTGGTGGTACCAGTAGTCCAAGTGGTAGCCTCGGAAGTCCCAGTGGCAGTGCGGGTGGTGAAATATTCCCAGTGGAAGTCCCCGGTGGTGCGGCTGGTATTTACTAGAATCGCCATTAAAACATAACCTAGGCACCAACAATACACTGCAATGATGCTTCCACTGGACTTGGCCACACATCTTGCCTAAATGCCAAGCTGAAATTGGCCGTTGTTTCAACGGCGATTCCAGTGGAATCGCCCAACATTTACATTATCAGTAAAAATGTATAATTTCCACACCGGAGAACTAAAACATTGTTTTTGAAAACCAAGTTGATTCAAAACAATAAGTGTTTCCTGTCACTGAAAAGGAAGATCTCCATGTTTTGGTGAACACACGTTGATTCAGGAAATACCGACGTGTACCACACATGGCTTAAATATATTTGTGATGGGTGGGGCTGTGTTGATGTTATTGTGACAGCAGACAGTGTGGGTCTCTGAGTGAAGCCAATGGTCCCAATAAGTTCAATGTTTCCTATTACATTTTCTAGAGGGTTTTCAGAGGTTCAAAAAGAGCAGATTATCTCAATCAAGTGTATTGTTTTCAGTGTGAGGAATACTTCATTCCCTTGGAAGCCACTTCGTGCTCTGACAAGACAACTGGGGTGCCACGGTGGCGAGATGTTAACGACCTCGCCTGGTATACAGGTCGTGGGTTTGATCCCCACCCTAATGCTTGTATATTTGGAGATTGCAGGCTCTTTCCATTGTCACGTAGATTTTTGTCTGGGTCCTCCGGTTTTTCCCTCCACATTTCGAAACACGCATTTAGACTATTTCGCTGCTGCTATGATTTTCCAAGTGATAAGCCACTTCCGTTGAGCTATCATTTGTGGCCAGGTCGCTTCTGAAAAAGAGTTATATAGCTCGGTGGGCCTTACCTGCTAAAATAAACAAAAGTATTTAGTTTAACTGGCCACCTCCTGCTTCATACGATTTGAATGCAGGGTATTAACTGAAACGTGGACTCACTTGGACTTGTTGTACTCAAACTCGATGTGCAGGCAGTCCTCGATGCCCACCTCCATCTTAATGGAGCTGTTGACGTCGGGGTATGTGGAGAGCTGGTGAACCACAAGCTCGTACTCCTTCACAATGTCCGTCAAACGACGGGCGATTGTCACTTTCAAATAATACCTACTCGCACAGCCAGATATTAGGAAGACAGGTGCATGTGCAAATGCAATTTAAAAACATGTATTTGAGCAGTCATTCAGGTCAAGATAGACTTGCACTAAATGGGAATGCATAACATAATGAGACTAGTAATTATAATAATCATATTATTTGTTTACCTAGAAAAGCATTACTGAGTGACAAAATACTTTTTCAGAAGGGGGTCTTGGATTGGGTTGCTTTGGTGAATTTCATTTCAATGAGTGGTTTGCATACGAAAGGAATACAGAATACTCAGAGAAAACCCAGGTATGAGGGAATAACACTCAAACGTCCATATACCACACCTGTAAGAGAATGATCTAATTTAGATGTTTTTGTACATTTGTATTCTCTTTTTCTGACATCACTTCGTCAAAAGTGGAATTCTTATAATGCATATATACTACAGTATGCAAATGAGGCACATTCTCAAGCCCAGACTAATCTGCACACGGAAGGAAGCTTGTGTTGCCTCCGAAACGTCGTGAATTAATTTAGTTGTTTTCATTTATTTTTTACCTACGTGACTTTACCAAAAAAAAACAAAGAGTATAATAATCTGCATACACTAACGTACCCCGAGAGTACGTACTTCTTTGTTCACCATGTGTTGGCTTCTTGACACGGAGAACGACAAGAACAGCAATAAATGTACCACTTTTTTCGTAAAAATATTTTACCTAGATGGTCCTTTGAGATCGATGGTCCTTTGAGATCGAATCAAGGGTGTTAGGTGTGTCACTCGACACATTCATAGCAAGCACGTAATGACTATTTTTTTTATCTTCAGACGTAACAGATATTGGACTGTTCTTTGGTATGAGATGCTCGAGTATCTAGATCTGATCACAAACGGAATAGGGGAATTTTACAACAGCTGTGGTGATACTCCAGATATGCCAAAAAAGTTTGATCCCATATAGTCACAGTAATGTATATCGTTGCAAACTTTCTTCTTGACTTGACTGCAGTCAATGCTATACCTCTATTGGTTTGCACCTCATTTTAAAAACGTCAGTGCCACGTGCAGCTTGGGCATGGGGGGGGGTCGGAAAAAAAATCTCGTGGGCGAATTAACTCACCGGAGACGCACGTTGGTGCCGGTGTACGACTCGTAGGGCTTCTCCACCTGCATGAAGTCAAAGTCGTAGCTGCGGCTCTGCGTGAGCTCCCCGGGCAAAGCCAGCTCCTTCACCAAACTCACAAACTCGTGGGTGTTGCTCTTGTCATAAAATAGCTCTGAAACGACACGAGCGACAGAGCCGTGCGGCAAGTGTGAACATTATTGTTTGCTTGCTAGTTGGCCGCATGCACATGTACGGACTTTTTGTCAATCCACTGTTACAAATGAAGGCGCTCCTCTCCCCCCGTGCTGTGCAGCTCATGGGGGTTATGTGACTATACGTAACCATGCCGGTCCGCGAGGGATGGTGAAGGTGCGGGAGAAGAGATGGGGAAGCGTAGGAGTACGTTACGATGGATTGCGTTGCATTGACCTCTACTGCAATTACACCATGACTAAATAAATCGAAATGAATAGAAATGCACACCATTAAATCAGTTCTTTACAGCCAAGCAAGGGAGAGCCTGGATAGTTCTGGGATGGAGCAACCACCATGCATAACCGGTGTTACAGGCTGCGAGGCTATGTCTGGCTTTATACCAAATAGTTAATATGGGTGTGCAGCTGAAGATGACCAATAACGTGTTTTTTTTTATGAGACAAAAAAGTATTTGATAACAGGAAAAATCCACGATAAAAAAACAAACAACAGTTGAGTGAAGGTATGATGATATTAGAGGAAAGAGATATGGTAAGACAAGATACTGTACTGAGACATCAGCAAGAGCTAAACAATAGCTGGTGGAGACAATAGTTACAGCGACATACGAGACAGAGTCAGGCATGTGAAGAGGGCTGGACACAACATGAGGGGTTAAGGGTAAAGAGAGATTAAGCAAATCAGCACGTAATTATTTTTGGGGAACAGAGGTGCAGTGGTTAGCACACTGCGCTGTGAACACAGTGAACCCAAGTTAAAATCCCAGCCATTGCTGACATAACTGGCGAGTGACATCTGAACTGGTCCCTGCACCCCACCTTCGCCAAACTCGCACTTACCATAATTACAGTAAGGGAAAAAAGTATTTGATCCCCTGCTGATTTTGTACGTTTGCCCACTGACAAAGAAATGATCAGTCTATAAATTTAATAGTAGGTTTATTTGAACAGTGAGACAGAATAACAACAAAATCCAGAACGCATGTCAAAAATGTTATAAATTGATTTGCATTTTAATGAGGGAAATAAGTATTTGACCCCTCTGCAAAACATGACTTAGTACTTAGTGGCAAAACCCTTGTTGGCAATCACAGAGGTCAGACGTTTCTTGTAGTTGGCCACCAGGTTTGCACACATCTCAGGAGGGATTTTGTCCCACTCCACTTTGCAGATCTTCTCCAAGTCATTAAGGTTTCGAGGCTGACGTTTGGCAACTCGAACCTTCAGCTCCCTCCACATATTTTCTAGGGGATAAAGGTCTGGAGACTGGCTAGGCCACTCCAGCACCTTAATGTGCTTCTTCTTGAGCCACTCCTTTGTTGCCTTGGCCTTGTGTTTTGGGTCATTGTCATGCTGGAATACCCATCCACGACCCATTTTCAATGCCCTGGCTGAGGGAAGGAGGTTCTCGCCCAAGAATTGACGGTACATGGCCCCGTCCATCGTCCCTTTGATGCGGTGAAGTTGTCCTATCCCCTTAGCAGAAAAACACCCCCAAAGCATGTTTCCACCTCCATGTTTGACGGTGGGAATGGTGTTCTTGGGGTCATAGGCAGCATTCCTCCTCCTCCAAACACGGCGAGTTGAGTTGATGCCAAAGAGCTCCATTTTGGTCTCATCTGACCACAACACTTTCACCCAGTTGTCCTCTGAATCATTCAGATGTTCATTGGCAAACTTCAGACGGGCATGTATATGTGCTTTCTTGAGCAGGGGGACCTTGCGGGCACTGCAGGATTTCAGTCCTTCACAGCGTAGTGTGTTACCAATTGTTTTCTTGGTGACTATGATCCCAGCTGCCTTCAGATCATTGACAAAATCCTCCCGTGTAGTTCTGGGCTGATTCCTCACCATTCTCATGATCATTGCAACTCCACGAGGTGAGATCTTGCATGGAGCCCCAGGCCGAGGGAGATTGACAGTTCTTTTGTGTTTCTTCCGTTTGCGAATAATCGCACCAACTGTTGTCACCTTCTCACCAAGCCGCTTGGCAATGGTCTTGTAGCCCATTGCAGCCTTGTATAGGTCTACAATCTTGTCCCTGACATGCTTGGAGAGCTCTTTGGTCTTGGCCATGGTGGAGAGTTTGGAATCTGATTGATTGATTGCTTCTGTGGACAGGTGTCTTTTATACAGATAACAAGCTGAGATTAGGAGCACTCCCTTTAAGAGTGTGCTCCTAATCTCAGCTCGGTACCTGTATAAAATACACCTGGGAGCGAGAAATCTTTCTGATTGAGAGGGGGTCAAATACTTATTTCCCTCATTAAAATGCAAATGATTTTATAACATTTTTGACATGCGTTTTTCTAGATTTTGTTGTTATTCTGTCTCTCACTGTTCAAATAAACCTACCATTAAAATTATAGACTGAACATTTCTTTGTCAGTGGGCAAACGTACAAAATCAGCAGGGGATCAAATACTTTTTCCCCTCACTGTATGTCAAACAACCCCCATGACTAACACGCCATCGAGAGGCATTTATCAAACCGTGCTTGACATCGGGCTGTCAATGATAAAAAAATTTTTTAAAGAGGAATATTACAATGTCCGCTTGTACGTACAGTATTGACCAAGCTATAGCTACAGTGCCCATCGTTTTTTTTAGACTACACATTTCGTATAGTTTGTTGCAATAAAAATTATGTAAGACATACCAATCTGTCCAATAAACTCTATCCTTATGCCATTGTGCTCCAGCCTCTTCCCCGACTGCTTCATGGTGATGTTCACCTGCCAACAAACCACAAGTAAAAAAAATAGGAAGCAATAACTCTATACTTTGTACTGTTAAAAAATATATAGATAGAAAAAATATGAATGCTTAATTTACTTAAACAATGTAAATGCATAATTTACTTTTACATTTATTTCACTGCAATACACTTAAGGAAAGCAACAGAACTTACCTTTCCGGAGACGGACTCGCCGTCAAAGTACAAAAAGTGTTTCTCCACCTTTCCATCCTCAGTCTTACTCTCAGCAGTCTTTCTGGTCTCCGCTCCATCCAACACAATGTCGATCTCGCAAGAAGGGCCCAGCAGTCCCGTGAGGAAACTCTGTCACAGCCGCAAACATAAGAATTTTCGAGATGAAATACATAAGATAGGCATGCCGCACAGGAAAATGCAATTATCTTCAATATAAACACATTCACATTGTACTATGCCCTGTGTGGAAACCCAACTCCATAACAGCCCCGATTATTTCATCAATGCACCCACTATATACATTGTTTATAACACTGTTTGAATAGTTAAGTAGCCACTGCTATATAATAAACAAATCACAGCACACCAGCTGAAAATAATGTTTTATTATGCACGTAATTTTTATTCACATTCTTTGGGTCTTTCGGTACATAATTTTTGGTTGATAACAAAGTAATGTAGAACATTTTTATCAATTTCATGTCTCATTTTAAAACCTATGACCAAATTTCCCCAAATGTGCCTGATCAAATCTCAGAAAATAAGTTTGGGCCTGGCTCGTGCATGGAGGGTCAACCACCATGCGTAAACAGGCTGTTATAGACTATGAGGCGATGCTGTTGGCAGCAGAGGGCCAGAAAATATATTGTTGTACTGTGCTTCGATGACACTACGCCTATGCTCCACGCCTTCACAAACCTGCACTGACTTGCATGATGAAGTATAATCAACTAACCTCCACAAAACCCCATGGCATAGGGAGACCCTCATTTGGCAAAAGACTGACAAAAGGGCTATACACATCAAGCTTGTGATAGCCGAATTTAAGAAAGTCATCACCGCCTTGTAAATCAGTAGCAGATCATAAAAAAAATGTTTTACAAATCGTTTGGTGATAGTGCATTGGCATTAGTGAACAAGCACAAATAACAAAAACTTACATTCATCAATAACACCACTTTAAAAGTACGATCAGTTATACAAGTTCGGCAATGACCCTTACATTCATAGCACGTTACCTATTACATCAATTTCTTGAAGGCAGTTTTCTTGACGAATTGTGTCGATTCAAATACGTACACATTTTACATTCAAATTACCATCAAATAATTGTTACTCCTGTATCACCACAGCAAATATGTTAGATAATCCTGTCATAAGGCGACACAAATCTGGCACATGCAAATGTAACACATCACGTGCAAAATTACTCAACTCATGACATTGCTAAGTTAGTGTAAACACCACCACCGAATAGTTACAATAAAAAAAACATTCCAGCCAACACGTTTACACCGTTCAGAGAAGCTCCACTTTACTTTGGAAAAAAGGTTGCATTTTCATGTTAAGGCACACACTTTTCAGCTGGGGTTAATGTTTTGCTGTGATAATGATGGTGCGCAAACCACGAGCCTGCACAAACTTACAGCCGCAGCTTTAAGCGTGTCCATCGGCAGCCAGAATGCCTTCTCCGGGATGAGTAGCTACTGTGACTGTACGAGACCCAGCAGTGTGACATTCTTCAGCTTAGATTTGTGCCTTGGCGACTGATGGGGCTTGTTTCATAATGGCAATTACAAGAGGAGAGGCTCTTATGCACATATCACATGTAAAACATGTGACTTGTCATAGTCAACAGTAACTACCAACAAAGGGCACTTTGTTATCGTTTTGTGTGTAACTCCTTCTGTAGGCACTACGCATTTTCAATGTTTTATAACGGCAAACACGTATTAAAATGTAACACTTCTAACACTTAAAAACAGGTGACCTCTGTTAAGCACTTAAAATAGGTGACATATTGGCCGATATTAAGCTTTGAGGACTGTGTGCACTTTCGTGTCTTTCTAAAAAATAAAATATGTAATACTAATTTGAGTGCGTAGACTTGTAACGTTGGGGTCATTTTGTTTCAATAAACCAAGTGATTTATTCAAAAGTAGTTGATAGGTATTGTTGCAGCTATCGCAGATAAAACACATTTACATTTTGACTTCCACACATGACAGATGTTCTTCATTACAAATGCTCATATTTGGATGCTTTACAGGATTTAAAGAAATATATTTTAGATGCTTTACTGGACTTGTAAATTAATTCCAAGTGAATACATTGTCAAATGTAGCACTTATTTTACAATTGCTTATTTAAATGCAGACGTTGCTATATGCATCGCAAGTGTATTGCAATAATATGCCTGCAACGTATGTAATCAAGACTTTAATGTGCCCACTTAGTCTGGCAAGTTGAGATTATAACGTTTTACATCTCTCACATTACACTTTTTTTTCCAAACAAGGCGATTAAAACTGTCAGTGTTTATTAAATTACTGTGCAATTACCAGAAACCAGTCAGTAATGGTTGCTTGTACATATGTAATGTGAAAAAAGTAGGTGATACACACACACACTTACCTTGTAGATACAATACTTAAAATAGTATCGGGGCATGTGTTCAGGGTTGTCGAATATACATTAAGCTTTATTAATAAAGGAACTTGACAACCACAAATCTTGTGGGACCTCATTAATGTACGCGTTATCAAAAGGTATTTTAGGCGTGACTTCACCGGCGTTCCATAATGACGAGCTTAAGTGGTCGCAACTTTACACAGTTTGCCCTTTCTCATGAACGAATCTTTAAAACGGCAATGTGAGATCCTGGGACGACACAGCCCAGGCACGTACAGTACTTACAACATGAACGTCGTTTGTTGTCCCTTAACTAAGAGGAAATTGCATTGCAACGTCGAGTAATTACTCGGGCGAGACACTGCGTGTAAATCAATTACATTTTCGTATAAACATTAATGCCCCGATGGGCGAATTAAGCGGGGAGGTGGTTTAACTCTTTAAGACACTTTACCATTAAAAACCCCGTCCCAGCACACACACACAAATGCAAAACACCCACGACCTCGGAAGTCAAAGCGGATCCCCGGCAGGACAAGGCCGAAGCCTCGGCGTCGCCCAGTCGCCCAAGCCGACAAGCCCGCGCTCAGGCCCGCTGGGCGAGGCGGCGAGAACCGGTCGCTCGGATCGGCGGTGATCGACGGGAAGAAGAAAAATAAAAACCTCACAAAAAATGTAACCCGCTGGGCAACACTAACACCGAACTCACCATGATGATCTGCGGTCCCCGCGAGGGAGCGTTTAAGTTGAGTGTTTATTTTACGTTTTAGTTTATTCAATAAGCGTCGGCCCAGCCCCGCGTCAGCACTGCAAGGGGATCTCGTGACCCGCACCACGTGACGTGCCGCCGCTTTGTCGGCAAGCTGACAAGAGTTGCTGTTTTCACCTCCGAGTTTCTAAATCGTCTCAGCAACTGACGGGGAAATTATATCAGCTGCTGATGGGCATTGATATCAGCTGATGATGGGCCTTGATATCAGCTGCTGATGGGCAATGATATCAGCTGATGATGGGCCTTGATATCAGCTGCTGATGGGCAATGATAGCAGCTGCTGCTGGTGGGCAATGATATCAGCTGATGATGGGCATTGATATCAGCTGCTGATGGGCAATGATATCAGCTGCTGATAGGCCTTGATATCAGCTGCTGATGGGCCTTGATATCAGCTGCTGATGGGCAATGATATCAGCTGATGATGGACAATGATAGCAGCTGCTGCTGGTGGGCAATGATATCAGCTGCTGATGGGCCTTGATATCAGCTGATGATGGGCATTGATATCAGCTGCTGATGGGCCTTGATATCAGCTGCTGATGGGCAATGATATCAGCTGATGATGGGCCTTGATATCAGCTGCTGATGGGCAATGATATCAGCTGCTGCTGGTGGGCAATGATATCAGCTGATGATGGGCATTGATATCAGCTGATGATGGGCATTGATATCAGCTGCTGATGGGCAATGATATCAGCTGATGATGGGCATTGATATCAGCTGCTGATGGGCAATGATATCAGCTGATGATGGGCATTGATATCAGCTGATGATGGGCATTGATATCAGCTGCTGATGGGCAATGATATCAGCTGATGATGGGCATTGATATCAGCTGCTGATGGACAATGATATCAGCTGCTGATGGGCCTTGATATCAGCTGCTGATGGGCCTTGATATCAGCTGCTGATGGGCAATGATATCAGCTGATGATGGGCAATGATAGCAGCTGCTGCTGATGGGCAATGATATCAGCTGCAGTGGAGTGGCACAAGCAAACTAAGAAAAAACCCAGCACCCCAAATGGCCCAAGGTTGTCCTAGGCTCGTGAAAAATATGCGTGAACCAAATATCTCGAATTCAAATCCTAATAAACATAAAACTCGAATTACTGCAATCTATATATAATCCCTACCTTGTTTGTATGTCTGATTGTTTTCTAAAGATAACTTGTTTCTCGGGTAGTTAAGGCGAGGGTTAGTGGATCACAGAAATGTTAACTCCCTAAGATGCCAAACCGTGGACTCGCCAGAAGATGGCAGTACAGCAAGTTGACAAATCGCTATTTCTTTTCATTAGTACGGGGATTGTGTTGCCCTCCCCCCCACCCCCCTCGTGTAGATGGAGCTTCTCCTGGTGCTCTGGTTTACTCCCACCGGTATACACTCTCATGAAATAAAAACGAATAACTACGACAGTACTGCGCCTACATCATTTGACTACATTTCTGTCTGCAGTATTTTGTATCTCCGATACAGTATCCCATCTCACTACAGCCCTGCATTTTATCTGCATTTGTCTAATGTCGCTACACCTCCATCTCTTGTCTACAGCTCTTCTGTGATCTTACGAGGTTAGAAAACGAAAGAGGGATCCCCAAAAATGTTGTCTGCTCATGGCCACCAAATGGTTCTGCACCACCGTTGATCTGCTGCTATCCTGTGAGCTTTTACTATAAACTCTAGCTGAACTAAAAATTGTAGCAGCTTAACGAGAAGTTGGAAGTGTTGGCTGACGAGAGAGAATGCTAGCTGGGTTTTATATGGAACTCGTTATCTCACTACTACCTGTCAGTCCATCAGTCACATATGCTCATATTTATTTTATGGTGACCTAAGACAAGACGACCCTAGTATAGCTCTCCAGGAACTGTTAATTATTTTTTTTATACGAGGCTGAGCGGTTTTTTTGTTTGGACACGTTACTGTGTGTTGTTTGAAACACATAGTTGTTCCAGACAAAACACTATTTTTCTGTCATGGGTGTTCACGTTATTTAAAAGCAATTCAGTATCCGAGGAAATCGTTATCATAAATAAGTCAGCAGATACAATCGTAGCATACATCAGCTGACTCAACTTGAACATCCACACCGAGAGCTCGAACATTCAAGCGTTGTTTTCGGTGAGTTCTTGGGGCATTTAGGTACTTACCATACCGACACACACCAAAACAGTCTTGAGTGTGACTTTCATAACTCGAGGTCAATTCCACATATAAGATATTAATTGCAACGACGGAAATGTACGTCATTTAAACAACATAATTCATAGATACTATATATAGATGCTCTTTATACGTATAGTGTTACAGTACAGTTTATACATTTTTTAACCGCCCTATCATTCAAATACGTTTCCTAAGAAGTGTATTGTAATGCACTGCTTCCCAATCCTCTTCATCCCACAGCACGCATTCGGGGTGTCTCGATCTTCCTGGCACACCGAACTAAAGAAAATCGGTCCCACTAATTACCACAACATTCCTTCCTTTCATGTAATTCCGAAAATACTGCCACAATTGCTTGTGTTGCGATCAAAACGTCGTAGTTTTTTTGTTATTTTCTTTGAACCTATCTACGTGACTTTACCGAAAGACCCAAAGAATATAATATAACTATCAGCGCATTGTCAATCCACTGCTAAATGAAGGCCTCCCCAACGCCATCGGTCATGGTTTGACCGGTTGGCCGTAACCTCACCAATCTGGTTCGTGCCAGATGGCCCAGGGCCAGTTCTCACATCGCTCGCAAACAATGTTAGCCGTGGCCGGCGAATAGAACTCACGTCCCAGGGTTCATCGTTACCTGCGCTACCACTTCACCCGACACATCACAGTGATGTATAATTTACCCTCCAATGTGTTTTACCTGATTTTTGTTACGTGTGCTTGTGCACCACTGCCAATGCAGCAACATCATCACAAAGTTACGTCTCAAGTAAACAAACCCGATGGGGTTCATCCACTCCCACCTCTCTCTCTCGCCGAAAAAGGCATGCCTCGGCATGCTCACTGCCCCGTCAAAAAATTCAGAATAGAGTAATAATACAGCTGATTATAGCCAGGTCATCTGGTCAACAGCCTGTTGTGTAAGTACGCTCCAGTAATTAAAATGTTTAACTTGTAATTCCGTGGTAAAAACGGGGCCTTGCCCTCGGATAATGTTTGGGATTCGGTCCTCTGTTCCAGTCAACAGTATTGGAGGGCCTTCATTATGCCGCTTTGTTTAACAGGAACGCCTCACTGGAGTCTCACGACCTTTCAGGAGGGTCTGCCGAACTTTAGTATTTGTGTGCGATGATCGCTACGTATAATCCCAATCGAGTAACGTTTCTCAATTTGGCCATGACGCTGGCACACAATCGCCTCCTCTTGCAAAAAAGCGTCACGGAATCTTTAACGTCCACTGTGAAGCAGACGGCGCCTATTGTTCATGGTCGTTACACCCAAAGTAATAACCAGGGGCGGCCACTGCTTCCCGAACCGCGAACAGTTTGCAACAAGCTGCGGTAACGCGCTACCGCTGGGCCATGTCCCCGCTCTATGTTGAGTTGTGTAATATAAGACGAGTGAATAGCAAACACTCTGAGTTCCTAAAATGGTGTCATCATTGTACAGCATGTAAACACCAGTTCTATATATGTTGGAACGGTGTAATTAACTATCTTTCCCCCAGTTAACCAGACAGCATCACTGACACAAGTTATTTGAATAGAGAATGGAAAGACCTCCGATAGGGTTGCTATCCGTACATAATTTGTATGGATAGTAGCAGAGCTTAATTTCAGCCAGGTCTGTTGAGTTTGGTGACCTGGGAAATATTTACACACCGCACGCAGCACATCCAGTGTACCTACTTACTATGGCTACTCCTTTCTAATCAGCGACCCATAACACATTTAGTCAGAAATTATTGCCTAGTCAGTATTTATTAAAATATACATTTTATTTGTGTGACCTCAGCACTATATTGACACTGTTTAACTCTTTAAAGCACTTGAGTGATATCACACCATTGTCCGAAACACGTATTTGCCAAGATAATAATAATAATACGTACATGTATATCGCGCTTTTCATCAATGATCTCAAATCGCTGTACAGAACACAGCAACAGCAACAGACACTCAGCATAAAAATATTATAAATACATCTAAAAAATAATTTACTAAAAGAACTGAACATTTAATAAGCAGGAAGCGTAAAAATAGGTTTTAAAGAGCTTTTTAAAAATGTCCACAGACTCCGAGATCCCTGATATCTTGTGGAAGAGCGTTCCATAGCCTGGGGGCAACACGGGAAAAGGTCGGTCACCCATAGACCGAAACCTCGACCTGGGAATACAGAGAAGGTCTGCATCCTCACATCTTAGGGACCTTGAGGGGACATATGGGTGCAGCATGCCAATGATGTAGGCATGGGGCAAGATGGTTCACTGATTTGTAAGTTAACAAGAGGACTTTAAACTGTATTCTATGTGAAACTGGAAACAAGTGCAGGAAGGCCAAAACGGGTGTAAAATAATGTGAAGAGGTGTTCTGGTGAACACCCTAGCAGCCGCATTTTAAACATGCTGCAAATTGTTTAGCACATTTTTAGCCACGTCAGGGAGTAGTAAGACATTACCATAGTCTATGCTAGATGAGAATAAGGCATGGACCAGCTTTTCTGGATCTGAGGCAGAGAGAAGGGATCGGATACGTGAGATATTCCGAAGATGGATACATTGTCTCTGTGATAGTTTTAACATGAGCCTTGAATGACAATGTGGGATCACTGATGACCCCTAGATTTGTGAGTTCCTGTGCCGAACTGATTACATGACCGTCAATCGCAATGTTGAAGGGTGCAGCTTTACGATTGATGACTTTGAAGTCCAACACTCTTCTGCGTTATATTTCGCCCATGTAAATTGTTAAATCCAAAGGTGGCAACCCTACGATTCCGCACAGGTAAATGCCATGGGCGGTGCCCGACTGGACCACGTCAAATCCCGCCCACACACATACACACACCCCCGAGAAGCGACCGGCAACACCCACAATAGCTGACGGCCAAAAATATTTAAAATTATATTGCATTCAAACATGACGTGCACAGGTTGGCTGGCCTATGAGAGAGAGAGGAAAATACCACAGTGACGGAGGCCTATTTATAGGCAGGTCAACAACAGAGGCGCATAGAGCGAGCTGGCAGAATGTGAGTATATTCATCATTTGTTTTAAACTGTATTGTTGTCCTTCAGCAAAAAAACATTACCAGTTAAATCTAGCGTCTCGCCTAACACAATTCTGTTTGTACAAAAAATACTTGCTTGTAAAAATGTACTGCAGTTTTTTTTTATTTGGGAATAGTAAAAAAATCAATATTGTGAAATAAGCATAGAAATCCATAATAGAGGGGTTTTTTGGGGGTTAGATCGCGTAAATATATAAATGTGTCGTTAAAACCCGCCACCACCCGACAGCCAACAAAACCCTCAATTATGGATGATATTGGTCGCGAAAGCCTACGTGTTAGGCATAGAAATGTACGCCGCTGTACTGACACAATTACCGTTGCATACAATTTATGAAACCCGAAAGAAAACCAACGTTGAAAGAGATAGCTGCGTATATTTCTGAAATATTTCTTCATTATAAGTCGTTAGATAAATATATCAAGTACTGTACGGTGCGAAAAAAGTTCAACATTTGTACACCTTAGGTTGTATAGGAGAGTTGGAGTCTCACACAGAAGCAGCTATATGGATAACTAATGAAGACAGAAACATGTTGTATACCTCAGCAGTTTGTTATGGTAGTGGTGAACTGGCTCACGGTAGTCCAATATGATAGGAAGTACAAATAAATAAGAATTCACCTGATGGGATGTATTTAATCTCAACACAGTTAAGAGTGTTGACTGCCCCACCAGCGTAATAACGCGCTTCCTATTTAAAACAAAACCTGCACGAATAATCGATATATAATGTAACATTTCCTTGTACAGACACAATGGGGAGTCTTTCGTATTTTGAAAAAAATATCGTGCGGTAGATGTATCGGCATATGTCAATCACATTTTACTCCCCTGAATTACTCAGTGAAATATTCAACATTTATTGACAAGCAAAACATTATTGTTGCTAATAAGTTACTTGGATACAGTTTGGCAGCATTATTGGGTGTTCAGTGAGGTCCATCAAAGAACTGAGATTTATTTTTAACTAAGCATAGTCAAAGTCAGAGTGAGTTTCTGCTCAAATGAGATTTGAGGCAGATCTCGTCCCCCCTTTACAGCCCAGGGCCACTAGTGGAAATTCCACACTCCTATGGCAAGAGACGAGTACAGTATATATATCAAAGGACAACCATTGTTGACTTCCCCAACAAATAGTACCCATTTTAGTAAAATGGTATTCATAGGTGTCCATCTATTGTAAAGTTCATTTGAATTGATCCATCAACTATTAAAAGTAAGCTTAAACAATGACATGTAATCGATTTTACAGTGTCCTAAGTCTGTGACCATTCTTATTGCCTGAAAAAAAAAATCTACAAATGTTTAATTCGAAATAAGGGGCAGTTTATAGCATAACTTGGGTTGGTATGTAAAAAACACATTTGCTGCCAATTCAGTTTACTGTGCCCCTAGAAACTCTGCCATGGTCAGGCTACATGCATAAACAATAGTCGATCCACTGCTGCATGAATGTCAGCTCCTCCCCATGTTGTGTCAATCATAGGGGTTTGCTTTAACCACACTTCACATTGCTGATCGATGATGGGTGGTAAAATAGGGAGCAGCAGGGATGGTTGGTGTGAGATGTGGTCAGGAATCCAACTCAGGGTCACTGGGTTCAGTGAATTACCCAAAGCCGGATTAAGTTTGACGAGGGGGGCGTCGTGAAGCTATTATGATTTGGTCGACACATTTTTGTGTACTGTGCTGTGTTCAATGCATTCCCTTTAACGATGTAATGCTACCCATAACAGACGCCAAACACTCCATTGTTTTTACTTAAGATATTTCGGTTCCAATTGTTTTGTTTGTATATGTGATGCAGTATACGAATTTTAAAAGCTAAATCAAAGTTAAAGTGAACACAACCACCATTGTGTATTTGAATTTTTGTACATACCTGGCAGTAACACACTTACTATAGTCATATGGTATGTCTGTAATCTCCAGATTGCCAATCGTATATATGACAGTGCGATTTAGTAACCATTATAAAACAGTACGTATTTTGGGAGGGGTCCTCAATCATCTAGGCTTCAGAATCTCAAACCCCCACGTTAATCAGGCCCTGTTCATAACCAAAACACTACTGTTGCAGTGGATAAAGAGGGTGGTACACCTTCAGTGAAAAGAAAATAATTGTAGCATACAACAGTGATAACATTAAATTTTGATTTAAAGCTTTCGTGACTGCAGTAATTCATATTCTTAGTTTTTTCGGTAAAGTCACGTTGAAGAGAAACAACAAAATAACAAAATATATATAAAACAATAAAAAATTCTCACGACGTTTCGACCATAACTCAAACGGTCATCATCAGGTGTGTCGGTTTGCATAAATTTATTTTGAAAACGGCATATTTATTTATATATATATAAAAATAACGTTTGCGTCACGCGCAACGATGGCAGTTTGCCAGGACTAGTCCATCTATTTTTTGAAAAGAGGAGGGGGGAGACGAAATTTGTTTTTATGTATGCTGTCTGAAAGGCACTGTAAGCGTGAACAATCAATCAAGAACTGAAATGATTTATCAAATCTTTCCAATGATTGCTAAGATAGAATCCATCTTCTCGGTTGAAATTGTCTCTGTGTTTGTATATGTGGATAGCCTCATGAACGAATCTCTCATGGAAGCCAGATGGCTTACAAAGAACCTCCGTCTTGGAAAAGTCAATGGCATGTGAGCCTACTGAATTAGAACAATGATCTGCTACGGCCGAGGTGTTGGTCCTACCGTGTTTAAGGTCTGCTTTATGTTCACGAATGCGGTCCGAGATATGGCGTTTGGTTTCTCCAATGTAACTACTACCACAGAGGCAACTTAGTTTGTAGACACCAGGGTATTGTATGTCCGGAATCACATCTTTTACAGACGGAACCAGATCACGGATTTTATGTAATGTGTTGAAACGGACCTGGATCTTGTGTTTATTCAAGATTTTGGAGATCTTTTTTGTGATCCCAGCAATGTAGGGTAAAGTGATGGTTTTGAAAGGCTCCTCAAGAGGGTTCTTCTTCATGGTTTGAGTGATAGCTTTGCGGATTGTATAGTCGGAGTAACCATTAGCCCTAAGAGCTTGGTGTACGTGCTTGAGTTCACTGCTTATGTGTTCCTGGTCGGATATGCATTGGGCTCTATGATACAGAGTCTTGATGAGAGAATTCTTCTGTGATGGATGGTGGTGGGAATCCGGTTTCAGATAAGCATCCGTATGGGTAGCTTTCCTGTAGACAGAGTGGCTCATTGAACCATCAGGTCTCTTTTTAATTAGGACATCCAAAAAAGGTATCTTGCCATCTATTTCGACTTCCATGGTAAATCTGATGGCTGGGTGTATGGAATTGATGTGGTCGAAGAATTTGTCTAGAGCAGGCCGGCCATGTGGCCAGATGACAAAAGTGTCATCCACGTACCTCTTCCATAAGGTTGGGCGCAGAGTGGCAGTCTGGATGGCGTCAGTCTCAAATTTCTCCATGAAAATGTTAGCTATAACTGGAGAAAGGGGGGAGCCCATTGGGGTGCCCTCAGTTTGTTTGTAGAAAGTTCCATTCCAAGTGAAGTATGTATTGGTTAAACAGTTTTCGTTGAAACCTTCTGCTGCCAGGCCACCAAGATTATACGGCTTACCAAAAATACATAAAGTTGATACACCTCTTCGTCCCATAGTCTCTACTATCAGCTCCCCCACCTACAAACTAGCTCGTTTTTTGTCTGAAATCCTGCGTCCTTTCACTGGAAAGACCACCTCTGCGGTACAAAATTCTACTCACCTGGTATCAACAATCAAGGGTATTTCCCTGTCCCCAGACGACCTGCTTGTCAGTTTTGATGTAGTTTCCTTATTCACCAAGGTTCCTGTACCTGACACCATTGCAATCATTGAAGACTTGGTTCATCAAGGACTAAACACTGAGGTACCCCCCCTGGTGAGACACTGTTTAACCAATACATACTTCACTTGGAATGGAACTTTCTACAAACAAACTGAGGGCACCCCAATGGGCTCCCCCCTTTCTCCAGTTATAGCTAACATTTTCATGGAGAAATTTGAGACTGACGCCATCCAGACTGCCACTCTGCGCCCAACCTTATGGAAGAGGTACGTGGATGACACTTTTGTCATCTGGCCACATGGCCGGCCTGCTCTAGACAAATTCTTCGACCACATCAATTCCATACACCCAGCCATCAGATTTACCATGGAAGTCGAAATAGATGGCAAGATACCTTTTTTGGATGTCCTAATTAAAAAGAGACCTGATGGTTCAATGAGCCACTCTGTCTACAGGAAAGCTACCCATACGGATGCTTATCTGAAACCGGATTCCCACCACCATCCATCACAGAAGAATTCTCTCATCAAGACTCTGTATCATAGAGCCCAATGCATATCCGACCAGGAACACATAAGCAGTGAACTCAAGCACGTACACCAAGCTCTTAGGGCTAATGGTTACTCCGACTATACAATCCGCAAAGCTATCACTCAAACCATGAAGAAGAACCCTCTTGAGGAGCCTTTCAAAACCATCACTTTACCCTACATTGCTGGGATCACAAAAAAGATCTCCAAAATCTTGAATAAACACAAGATCCAGGTCCGTTTCAACACATTACATAAAATCCGTGATCTGGTTCCGTCTGTAAAAGATGTGATTCCGGACATACAATACCCTGGTGTCTACAAACTAAGTTGCCTCTGTGGTAGTAGTTACATTGGAGAAACCAAACGCCATATCTCGGACCGCATTCGTGAACATAAAGCAGACCTTAAACACGGTAGGACCAACACCTCGGCCGTAGCAGATCATTGTTCTAATTCAGTAGGCTCACATGCCATTGACTTTTCCAAGACGGAGGTTCTTTGTAAGCCATCTGGCTTCCATGAGAGATTCGTTCATGAGGCTATCCACATATACAAACACAGAGACAATTTCAACCGAGAAGATGGATTCTATCTTAGCAATCATTGGAAAGATTTGATAAATCATTTCAGTTCTTGATTGATTGTTCACGCTTACAGTGCCTTTCAGACAGCATACATAAAAACAAATTTCGTCTCCCCCCTCCTCTTTTCAAAAATAGATGGACTAGTCCTGGCAAACTGCCATCGTTGCGCGTGACGCAAACGTTATTTTTATATATATATAAATAAATATGCCGTTTTCAAAATAAATTTATGCAAACCGACACACCTGATGATGACCGTTTGAGTTATGGTCGAAACGTCGTGAGAATTTTTTATTGTTTTATATATATTTTGTTATTTTGTTGTTTCTCTTCAACGTGACTTTACCGAAAAAACTAAGAATAACAGTGATAACAGTTTATTGTTATGCTGTACCACCGATTAGACCTTTACCAGGTTATGGTAAAGGCTAAAACGGTTCAACTCACCTTGAAACAGAGTTACACAATTTCAGAACCCATCTAATGTCTAGGCTGCTGATATGGAAGAGGCTGTAGATAATTTATATAGCTACCTAATGCAGTACACCACTGATCAGGTCCATGGAAGCTACACAGAGCTGTGTGCCTGGATGGTGCTGGCTGGGGTAACGAATCTGGCATAACAGGTGTTATAGGCTGTGGGTGACAATGCGGTGGTCCACATGTCTTGTGACCCCCCGCCCCCAATTAATTAACCCCTAACATTATTTCCCTTTGCATATTCGTTTCTCTTTTAAATAAAGCTTACTTTAAAAATATTGAGTTTTGGATAATTAAATGGAGGTCACAAGATCTGGACCACCCTGTACCCCGCGTGTCTATCTATACCCCCGATTAGCACTCTTGGACAGGTACGGTGCGGAACAAATTCAACACACAGTACATACATACCAACCCGTACTGACCAGCATGGTGAAGTATGGTTAAGCATGTCCGTACATCCGTGGGATGTTATAGTTGAACTGGTTATACCACACGACACTACATTCTTGACTTCTGTGTAATGTAGTTACCATGCTATTGCTGGTCTCGTGGCACCGTGGCAATGGCATTGTTATCGTTACGTGTGCAGTTTCGCCTTTGTTGTGTGCTTCAGTGTATGTTTGCCGTTTTGAAATGTGTCCTGTATAGGAGTGGATGTTTACCGACTAAATGCCACAGCTGCAGCAGCGATTTCCCCATTGCCGTGGAAGAGAGCCACAAGAGTGGGAATACGATAGGAATTGACTTTTGTGCTATCTCCACCGGCTGTCTTCGCAGCCACCACTGGAAAATAGCGGGCACGTCGCAGTGAGCAATCGGGAAGCAGCTTGATACTGAGCGAGCCAAGTTTCGAACTTCAAGTTGAAGTTTAATTTTGGTTCAACCAGGTGAGGGAACTCGAACGAACAGGATGAGTCTCATTCGCAAGAGCGATATGGGGCGCGAGCCGTGATGTTTATGGTTTGATACCGCATCTCGAATGCAGTCGCGATTTAACCGTGCCGGGACATTTGGGTATTTGAGATAACAACAAAGGAATCGCCCAGTAAGGAAGTGAGTGCAGCCCAAATGTAGTGTTCAAAAACAATGCAGTACAGTAAACACAACAAACGAGAATAAACAGCATTGCAAATATGTGATTGAGACTGCTGTACTACATTTTTGTTTATTCCATTCGAGTTATTTTTATGTTATCTGAAAATAAAGTGACTTTTAATTTAGTCTTAAATTCATGAATTGCGAATGCGCTGAGCATATGTCCAAGTTATGTGTCCCACAACGTGGGTGCCAAAACACCACATTCCCATTCAGTAATGCTTAATTTAGGATTTTACTCGTGTAATTACACTGTATATACAAAACGTAATTTGACTAAATATGACCTTATTGAGAATGATCATCATCAGCCATCGGAATCAGAATCTTTATTTATCCTGGAGAAATCCGATGAGCTATATGAAGCTCTTTAATTCACAGATATCCTGTAGGTGTGGCTCATAAAGTTACAACAACTAGATAAAAAATAAACAATATTAGTGCAAAGTATAGGAAAGGTAAGCAATTCACAAAAAAATACCTAAAGTAGATCGAGATCAATCCACAGCTGGGTGAAGGCTTCCCCAATACGTAGCCAAATCTCACGATCCAGCGCTCCATCTAGCACCCGCGTGCACACGGGCTTGAGCGATTGCATCAGCGATTTAATACGAAAATAAACATACTAACTGCCACATTTATTCACTTGTGTTGTTTTATCGTTACAGCATCAGCCTTTTGTGGTGCTTTCTCGATAAGGAAGTAACACCGTCTTTTGATAATTTGCTCCGGGGCTTAAATTAATCATCGCAAGAGCAAAAAGGTCACTCCACTCATTTTTGACAACAACCGAAAAAAAAAACAGGGTTTGCCACGAGTCCGGTCGAATGTCTCTTTCTGTCCCCACTTTGCAGCCCTCCGTTGCGTGTCACCTGTCCAGAGGCAAAGGGGCTGACTGATCTCAGAGGCTGCAATGGACAGCAAAGATGGGAGAAAGGCCATCAATCTGCCGAATGTATTCAGAGGGTAAGAGCTGTTCTTTCTGTTACGGAGTTCTGCTGTCCATGGTCCAGACACACGTCTGTGAGAGTCTCCTGTCCACTTGGAAATCACATTATGTCCTCTAAATTGTCTTACGGTTGTTATTGTTTGACTTGCATACCACTGGGATTTTTGCACACAGCGTTGATATACGGTGCTTTTTTTGGAAGACTTTTGCTGTTTTTTTCCTGGATTTTTCTGTTGCGCGTAGTCACTTTAAGACTTTTTCTTGTTCATGTTTTTGTTTGTTGCGGTTGCACCCGATTCAAGAGCCGAATGGCTCACAGGGCTATACCTAATAAATGAACTGAACTGAAAACACCAGGCTGATACAAGGGTTGAGTACCTCGATAATATCCACTTTCTTGCCAAAAATACCCCAGTGTTTACATTTAAGCCATTTACATTTTGTATTTATTTCTCCAGTATATTGCTTTTGTTATTATAAAAAAATGCTATGAAGCATCTACAAAAACTAACCAAAAGCACTGAAACCACAGAACACAACAAGTAGTGGAACTCGCAAGTCAAAGCCACGGTAGTTATTGCACAGTACACATCCGATACCATCAGAATATTTATTTATACTCGAGGAATCCGATGAGCTCTGAAGCTCTTTTCACAGATGTCCAGTAGATTTTCAAAGATGGGACTGCCTGGCGCAAGCACGTGGCAAGTTCCGTGCTTACACAGCACAATGACAGCACTTATACTGTAAGTGCGCACGTCCTATGCTTTTTAGGTGTTCTTAGATCATTATTACCGAGGGTCGCAACACCTGAGCAGTGTCAAAGACCATCCCCTACCCATGACTCATCATCCCTTAAACTAGCCAGCGAAGACAAGCACAGACAAACACGAGACTATCGGGAAGCGTACATAATCACAATCCAATGTGGATTTATGCAGCATCTAAATGTGTCCGCATCTCAGGATTCTGGACAGAAACGGTGGGAATATCATTGCATTTTGTAAAGCGAGGCAGTCACATCGGTTTGAGGTGTGAAGGAAGCTTTTGAGCCTGGACTTGAACAGAGGTGGGGGGGGGGGTCGACAGCACGCACGCCTTGGGGAAGGGAGTTCCAGACTGTGGGGGCAGCGGAGGAGAATGAGCGACCTCCCACTGAGTGAAGGTCGGCTCTGGGTTTTGACAGAAAGCTGTGCCCTCTGTTTGATAAATTAAGTGACTGAAAGCCCGTGGCATGTACGCGAAAAGTTTTTTTGGTGTAGACTGGCAGGCATATTGGAAGGGAGTGCCATTGGTTGAGAAAACGAGAGTTTAAGAAGTGAGCAGAGCAGCCTAACCTGCGCAAACAATATCTCTGACTGTATCCACGATGCAGTGCGGTGAACCAAGCGTTTTAACGATGCGTGTGTGCTTTCGTTGGGCAGTCCCGGGACGTACAACAGACTTGGCGATGAGAAATTGAGAGATGACATCGATTGGACTGCCTCGGCGCAGTACAACATGCACTTCCAGGCCAAGAGCAAGTGCATTATCATCAACAACGAGAACTTCTCTCCGCAAACAGGTGCGCTCAACACACCACACGTTAAAATGGATATACTGGATGTAGAAGTTACTCCACAGGCTCCAGATTAACATCAACGATTACTCCATAATGCTTAGAAGACTATGTACTTGTGTGGGTTGGCAATAATATGGTGGGTTTTATTTATGGGTATGCTGCAGTTGTGTGTTGGTAAGCGCCACTGGTCGCTGCTTACATTCGATATCCCGGGGCACATCATTTGAAACGATTGTGCACGTTTATTAAATAGCCCAGCCTCTGTCTACACGCCAGTGAGTCAATCGGCAGGTTGCGTGTGGTCGGGTGAAGTGTGGGTACTCACCTCCTCCAAGACGTCCTGTTAGGGTGGAAGAGTAGACCAAAATACACCCGAGACCAGCTCTTGACGAGCTCCCTCGAGCGAAGGCCCTTCGTTTACGGGTGGTGCGAGCGAGTAAATAGTAGGGTTGCATCTTTGCCTATTTTTTTTGTGTGGACCGCACGTAATTGTGTGGCTGTGGGAATGCTCTCCCTCTGTCTCTCTCTCAAGCCGACGAACGCTGTTCTTCTTCATCTTCTTCCTCCTCCTCCTGTAGGCATGAATCGCCGGAAGGGCACAGACCGGGATGCCATGCAGCTGCAAGTGTGCTTCTTGAGCCTGGGCTTTCAAGTAGAATCGTATAAAGATCTGACCTGCAAGCAAATGGTCGAAAACTTGAAAAAAGGTACTGTACGAGACGCAATTCCATCGCGGTGTCGTGAAGGGCAGCAATTGTTTAAATCAACCCCCCGAAAGAAAATTCATTAAAAAAAAACACATGGGATCAGATAATTTTTTTAGGCTACACGACCAAAACTTTGACAAGTTTTTTTGTTAGTCAAATGCCCTGCATGTTTGGCCATGGTAGGAGGTGGAATTCAGAAGTCGAGCAGTACAAGATAAGTATGTTGACCTGCAGTGTGGGTGAGATGAAACCATCAGTCTGGTGGAGAGGCCGAGTCTTCGGCATGGGGCGGAGGAATCAACGAGTTAAGTTCACCGCGAGAACTGGGTGCTCCAGCCGCAGATACGACCACAGTCCAGGGTGTTAATCGTGCCCAGGTTTGCTCGTACGAAGTTCTCCGAGCGCGCACGTGGCTGTTACACGTTGTACCCACTGCCAACACCCGCGCGCTTTCTCCGCAACGCAGCATCGAGCGAGGACCACGGCACCCGCGCCTGCTTCGTGTGCGCCATCCTTAGCCACGGGGAGGAGGGCGTGCTGTACGGCACCGACGGCACGCTCCCCGTCTCCATCCTCGCAGACATCTTCTCCGAGAAACATTGCCCCTCGCTGGCCGGGAAGCCCAAGCTCTTCTTCATACAGGTCAGGGGTCACTCTGTCTACCGGAGTTAGCCCGCTGCCCCGACCTTCACTGCCGAGGGCACCAATGAAGCGCGCGTGTCTTTGCAGGCCTGCCGGGGTAGCATGTTTGATGAGGGTGTGGACCAGGTGGACGGATTGCGGCGCAGCGACGATACGGACAGCCGAGGCTACTCCAAGCCAGCGGTGGAGGACACGCTGCTCCCCAACTACGACTTCATCCAGCCCGATTTCCTCTACGCCTTCTCCACCGTACCAGGTGCCGCCGTCGCCGCTGCCACCGCCGGTGTCGTCACTCGCCGGCCCAAGCGCTTGTCGCTCTGGCGCTATTTTTTGGGAGGGTTGTTACCGCGTGCTATTTGGCACGATGTCTGACGTTACATGTCAGTAACCGAACTGAGCAGCTTACGTTCTCCTTCGATTGGCCGCTCAATTCAGTTCCTGAAGGAGCTCCCAGCACGTGGAGTGAAACGTCGGACATTGTGCATAACAGTCAAACAGTATGCGGCACAATCCGAATACGCATCGGAAAGCTGCGTAGCGCAACCTGGGAAGATCTATGCAGCAACAGAAACCCCCCGTTTGACCTTCCCACTCGGTGTGTCTGTGTGTGTTTGGGCAGTGGTGGGGAGTGGTGGCACAGCGGTTAGCGCGCTGCACTACGAATCCGGCGACACGGATTCGATTCCCGCTCACGGCCAACATCAGTGACAATGATCTGAACCGGTCCTGCGCCTCCCCTAGGTCGACTCAGCCTCAAATGAGTTCCTGGTGCGGTGTGTAAACATTGCCACTGGGGAGACAAAGGCAGGCGGGCGTTGTGCTGGCCACCCACCCACTCATGTACCGTGCCGGCCTTCATAGGTGCTCGCTAACAGCACTTGCCCCAAAATTCTGTTAAGGCTATACGGGGAGGTCTTTGTCTTTGTATGTGAGCAGTGGTGGCACCGTGGCTTGCACACCGTGATATGAATCCAGCAACACAAATTCGATTCCTGGCCATGGTTAACATCAGTGTTCATGGTATCTGGTCCAGTCCGAGGCCTGCCCTAAGTCGACTCAGCCTTAAACTAGTATCTAAGGCCATGTGTAAAAATCACAACTCAAGAGACAACAGTGGTTAGCGCCTGCTGCTGGCCACACCACGCCCTCGTGCGCAGGGAAAACCAGGACGGGTGCCCACCTTAGTCAGGGCCCATTCACCAACGAGCCCTAGGCCATCCCATGGGCGGCTGGGGCCCTTTACATGAGCCAGGACATCATGGCTGGTTCAGCACACACACCTCGGCGACACCCCTCACTCACCGGAGCACGCCGTGTCTGTCTCTGGCTCGCACCTGCAGGGTACTACTCGTGGCGCAATGAGGAGAAGGGCTCCTGGTTTATCCAGTCGCTGTGCGAAGAGCTGCTGAGGAATAGCTCGCAGTTGGAGCTCGTGAAGATACTCGTGTGCGTGAACCGCCGCGTGGCCACGCAGTACGTGTCCTGCTCACGGGACATCACCTACAACGACAAGAAGCAGATTCCGTGCATCATGTCCATGCTCACGCGCGAGTTCTACTTCAAGTAGCGATCGGGCGGAGCGGAGCAGCGGAGGAGCGACCGCCGTACTGACCGCAGAGCCTCCTGGAGTTTGGCGGAGTGACTCTTGTCATCACTAGGGAGAAACCCTAACGGGGAAAATCGCCCCTTCTTTTTTCTTGCATGGAAGGGAAATCAACTGAATTCATGCAACCGGATGGACTACACCAAGGGTGGAGAATCTGGGGGCATGCGATTTAATTTCATGCGGCCCATAGCCACGAGGCCTCAGAACTTTGTTGTCCTTACCCCGCCCCTCCGATTTAGCACGGTTGGCTACGTACGGTGCGAAAAAAAGTTCCACATACATACAATACGGTCTGCAAACGATGTTTAATCCGTCACTGCAAAGATATGGGGTGGTCGAATCGGGTAAAAAAAAGGGGAAATATTGTCGACCTGGCAACTTGTTTCTAATTTTTGTCGCGCTCAGTCACTTCTGTCATTGCGAGTGCCTCGTTCAACGGCAGAGGAGACTAAGGTGCATGTTCATTTGCCCCACCAAAGGAATTTGAAAGTTAAATTCCCACCCCTGGACTAAAAGATTTGTGTAAAACTATGTTCCATCAATCTAATTATGACCCATCTCATAGGGTTAATAAAAAATGTAATAGTTCGATTAAAACAATATATTATATTTCGATTTAAAGTTTTCGTGACTGCAGGGATTCATATTCTTGGTTCTTTCGGTAAAGTCACGTAGAAGGGAAATAATAAAATAATAAATATTATATTGTTTTATATTTTTATTATTTTATTGTTTCCCTTCTACGTGACTTTACCGAAAGAACCAGGAATATAATATATATTATCTCAAGTAAGAATTGCTGTTATCACATTAACACGAGTTGCAGTGTTTGTATCTTACATACAAGTTTATATATATACATGAATTTAGAATTGTGAAGGCTTAGTTTTCTGTTTGCTACAACTAGATTACGTGCTCATATTAGCATAGAGATTCGTCACTGCAGTGTGTGTGCCTCGTTGGGAAATGATGACCCCTGATGCGCAGGTTTCTTTAGATTGGGTTTCGATTCATCACAACGCGCCCGCTTGCTCCAAACGTCAATTTTGTAAGCTTCAATGTATAATCACATCCGCGCGCGTTCACATCTACGTGTTCATGTTGAATTTATTTTGCACCGTACGTAGCCAACCGTGCTGATTGGAGGGGCATTGGAAGGACACAAAAAAACTAAACACATGAGCCTCAATCTTGATTTGAAGCTTTCGTGACTGCAGGAATCCAAACTCTTTGGTTCTTTCGGTAAGGTCACGTAGGTATAAAATAAAATAAATCACGACGTTTTGGGCGCAACACAAGCGTCCATCATCAGGTGGGAAAAGTGATGAGCCTCATCGCAACTGGAACGGGTCACTCTCTGGCAGGGGCGGAGCCACAGTGGGGGCTGGGGGGGGCTCAGCCCCCCCTGAAACTTTGGGAAAGTCGGTAATCGGAATAACCGGATATCCGGCTGCTGCAAAATGCTGCAGGCTGCCACCTCGTGCTGCCCTGCAGGCTGCCACCTCGTGCTGCCCTGCAGGCTGCCACCTCGTGCTGCCCTGCAGGCTGCCACCTCGTGCTGCCCTGCAGGCTGCCACCTCGTGTGCTGCCCTGCAGGCTGCTTGAGCGGCAGCCTTTCGAACTTATCAAACTTATTAGCCACATCAGAGGCTCCGACCTATTAATAAACTCCGCGTTCAAATCCAATAAAATTTGTTTTATACATTTGTGGCGCCCTTTGAAAAACATTACACTGTATATCTCAGAATATTGAAGTCAGCCCCCCCCCCCCAAAGTCAAAATCCTGGCTCCGCCACTGCTCTCCGGTGGTTTGGTCCGCCTTGACGTAATTGTCTACTTAATTTTCTTCAATCCGCCATATACAAATGTTTACTCATTTAATAAGTATAAAGCCAATCTCGTGCATATCCGGTGCATGGTTACTATGTAATGCGTAAGAGTAACAGTGTGCTTCACGAATTTTCAGAGGTGGGGGGGGGCACTTTCGCCGATAGGTCATCAGCGCGAGGGCCGCCACACCGCCTGCAAGTGGCCGGAACTAAAGGCCCACCCGGGAGCCGGCAGTGGCCCCCGGGCCTTGCAATGAAGCACACTGGCCTGGCACGTGGCCTCCACTCGGCACAGAAGCAGCGAACGGACCAGGTCAGCATTGCTCTCTCTGCACGCTGCCGAAATCTTTGAGCACTGGGAGTGTAATTTTCATTTTTTTCTTATTATTTTAGATTTTCTAAGGACAAAAAAATTGTGGAGGAAGGTCCCACGTTATTTCGAGAACACGGTCCTTCATGCATGAGGAGTGTCTGCAATACTTCAGGCAGGTGAAGAAGCAAAGACGGAACAAAATCCCATTCTCCAATCCAGCTTTAATAACAGTGCTATATACAGGCGAACACAATTATATATATTCGACCTCACCGATTCCTACTGATGACCCTCTTAACATTTGATTGAACATAGTGCAAGGGGCAATGGCTCCATATCTCGCAGGGAATTGCATTAAAATGATGTATTGAGTACCGTCGGACGCTACATATGTAAAGGATTTTAAATGAATGAATAAATAAAGGTTCTCTAATTGCTCCGCATTGTTTTTGTTACGTATCTGTTGACGGATCAGTCCTTTTGTGTGCCATTAAGAAACACAGCCGGGTCAGCATTAGGTAATGAGCTCAGATTTGGAATGCCACGCAACTCGACCGCCCTGATTCGACGTACCATCGGGACGGCTCTGACAGGCTGTGGTGGATACCCCTATTATTATACAGCGGAGGAGGCTCGTGAAGGACGCTGCTGCTGCTGCTGCTACTGGGCAGTTGGAGGCAGTCGCCCTCCAGCAACAACGGAGGGCAGAGGAGCGACGCTCAACAACGAGCGGAACGCCGGGCGGTTAACACAGGGAATTGCCACAGTAGGGTTCACAGGTGGTGCATCGGCCAGTCATCTCAGTCAACCCACCATGGCACCTGCTGGGTCTGCCCCGTGACCTCCTGCCAGCGGGCGTTCAACACTTCACGTGGCCTTAAAGTGCACCTGGCCTGGCACAAGCGCCGTGGTGATGTCACCGCCACTAAGTGGCGAATGACGATTGTTGTTGTTGTACAATTCATTTTCGCTCAACTTCAGTCCTCGCGATCACCCAGGGTCCGCTTTCTTACGAGTAGCAATCTTAAATCTTGACTTAAAGCTTTCGTGACTGCAGGAATTAATATTCTTTTGGTCTTTCGGTAAAGTCACGTAGATGGTTAAAAGAAAAATGAAACGTAGTTTTTTTGTTATTTTCTTTGAACGATCGCTTGTGTTGTGATTGAAACGTCCTAGCTTTTTTATATTTTATTTGAACCATCTATGTGACTTTACCGAAACACCCAAAGAATAGTAGCAATCTTGTTCTACTCATATGCCAATGAAGCCACTGCACACACCCGATGGTTGGTAAACACGAAGTGTACCCGTGGGGTTTGTGTTTTGTTGGGGTCGCGTTGAGTACTGTGCTGTGCAATGAGAAACAACTTAGCTGCGCCACAACACAGACTGGGTCATCGCAGTCCACAGACGCGATGCCAGAGTTGGGCAGCACAAGTCAACGAGTTTAAACCAGACAGCCGCCGCATCAGAGTGACAAACCAAAAAACAAATCCCCTCCCCCCACCCCTGTTTAGCCTGTTAGCAAGCACCTATTGAAGGCGATGTTTAGATACAGCACCCGAAGTGCCGGGTTATCCTGAGAGCAAAAGTATCCAAATCAAGGCCGTAATTATAATATATATTGGGGGGGACACATCCCCCCCAACATTCAAATATGCTCAAAATGTCCCCCCCCCCCAATATATTGCTATGAAATAGACTTCTGTTTATGTGATTGTGGTTATGGTTGTACTTTATTAATCCCTAATCTCTGCTATTACATACAATGAAACAAGAAAAGGTAAAATAGAAAAAATAGAGGAATGGAATACAATACAGTATTAGACATTATTGTAAAAAATAAATAAAAATTCCATCCTATGTGTTAGTGAATTTTTTAATATTTTAGGCAGGAAATTCGTTTTCAAATTTAGATTTTCTTTCTGGGAGGGGGGGACCCCCAGACCCCCTGGAAGATTTGGTCCCCCCCAATGTTGACTTCATGGCTACGGCCTTGATCTACATATGTATTAGCTACGGGCCCCGCACTTTTAAGGGCCCCGCGCTAAATGCTTTCAAGCTATCAATTCCGGTTCAGTGATTCTGCACTTGCTCTATTACTATAGTACTATACTGCCCTAAACTTCTATGAACTGGGTGTTTAAGGTTAGCGATTTGTCGTATTATCTGGCTGTATAGAAATTGAAGAAATCAAATTACTTTAGGCAAGTTAAAAATGTATGTGTTTTAATATTTACGTGGTTATTTTTTGTTAAGGCCCTTTTAAAACAAATGCTACAGGCGCCGCACTAGCTTAACCCGGCACTGCTCACCAGGGGTACTCATTTGAGGCCGAGTCGACCTAGGTGATGGCACTGGGTGTTGACCCTGATGAGGAACGTAACTCGGGTGGAGCGCTAACCAGAGTGACTGACCCCACGGGGTAACAACAATGCAGTCGTTGTGCAATGTCCAAACCAGTTGGACAGAACTGATGAAGGATGTATTAAAGAACCCGGGTCTAATGTAACGTCGAGGCACAACACAAAAAGGGGAAATGAGAACTGTGACTGCACTGTGTGGTGTTGGTTATTGCGTATTGACCTGGTAGAAGAATCGTGACTTGGTATTTAATGTCTCGTGTGCAGGGGTCAATGTATGAACCTGCAAAAGAGCTCTTAAAACGCTGCCATTAATATTGCGCAAATATTCAATGTGATTGAGTCTTGGCAGTCGACCGAGTTCATTATATACACACAGTACGCTTGTTTTAAATGATACATAATACAGTATATACATATTGCAGATGTACTTTCGGAAGGTTGAATAATCAACGAAAATGCATCTAGTAACATCGGGTTAAATTGCTTTCTATAATTTGAGAGGTTGCATTTAACCTTACATTTATTGTAGCAATGAGCCAAAACTTCCTCCAGTCTCCTGTTCTTATAAAATAATTATATACGAGGTTACTAGTTGGTTTACAGTTGCCGGTTAGTTACCTGGTTGGTGAGTTACTTGTTTGTGAAAGAAGGTACCTGGGATTTATGTTATTTTATTATTCGTACACAAATGTGGTCGCAAACCAGAACCAATTTGTTATTCATCCCTCCGAGCATGTGTTGGCCAACTTGTTTACCCAGCAGAGTCTTGCTGAATCTCACGTCCTTTTCAGGAGGGTCCTACATAAACGATCACGCGAACTAATTTCAAGGCCATCGAACAAAGGCGGTGACTGGCATCGCGCGCTTTCAGATGTGCTTCTGCGGCCGTCTGGAACGCTCTTCGTTCCAATGTTAGGAAGCCACTGGAGCTATCCGCTTCTAAATATATATTGAAAACTCGTTTCTTTAGGCGTTTTTTGTGTGTTTAGTTTGTTGTCCTTTCACCGCACCTTCGATTAGCATGGTTGGCTACGTACGGTGCGGAAATTGTTCAACAGACATTAATGTTACTTTGTGCAATCCCAATTGAGTAATTTGCAAGTAAATGTATCATTGGAATGTTTGTCCATTACCAATTACATTTTTTTATTTGGGATGAAACCAGAGAAGCCAGAGAACATGAAAATTCTACAGTACACATCGGCACCCGAGTTGGGAATTGAACCTGGCCTTTCTTGCTGCGAGGCACATGTACAACCACTACGCGACTAAAATCCGTTGTGATTCACGTGTTTTCCATGATGTAAGCACATTTACATGTCACGACCCAAATAAAAACACAAAGGGTCAAGTGCAGTGCTCAGGACACTTGCTAGTTGGAACCTCCTTTTCAAGAATGTTTGTACAGTAATTATCTCTTCAAGCTCGCCAAACTTGTTACAAGACAGTAAACTACCGACTGCACAAGTAACACCAAACGCGATACATTCGTTATTAAAACTGCCATGGCGAGGAAAGATTAAGTAAGGGCATTGGCCCTTCTCAACAGCAGATGTTAACAATTTAACAATATACATGCTGTAGGATTGGCCAAAACCTCATGGTTACCTGAAACAAAACTAAACATTGACATTTAAATGGGGTTCAAAGTAACCAGATAAGACAAAGGAGTACAAAGGCGTCAGTTTATTTTCAATACTGCAAAAGAACTCACTTCAGCAGCACCCTAGTGCAAAAGGAGGTGATGCTGAATTTGTGCAGGTAAAAAGACAGTAAAAATAACCTTCACATTGTGAAAGCAAAAACAAAGTGATGAAACGTATGGTTAACACGAAGCCAAGTTAACATAACCTGGAGTCTTAATGCCAACACATTAATTCATACTGATGGCAATTAGTAAGCTATCGCTCACAGTGTAACAAGCATATGTATAGAGGGAATACCAAGCTTGAACAGTGTAAATGTGATCTGTACTCTAACACCCTGTCTAATATACAGCAGAATTTGGCTGCAAACTGGTAACGTTTGTGAATATTCCAGATAAATTCCCAGGTAATGGCAGTTTAGGTAGTTACAATACAATATTGTGCTTCTTGTCACTTGAGACTATAGGGAAGTCACTCGTAGCTCTGGTGGACCAGCCCGAATCTGAAATGGGGTGTACGTGTCTGTGTGAGACGTGCATCGTGTACCATAGGCATTGCACTGTTACATTTCCATTGCTGCTACAACAGTACTATCCAAACAAAAACTTCTCCGAGTCCATCCTTTTCCAACTCCCTGAGGTCGAACCTATATAACCCATACCCTTAATTTAGCCTCACGGACTTACGTTCGTATTTCCGTAAGGCCTGGTGCAAAAAAAGTTCAAAAGGTGTTTTCACTCCCCTTGCCCTATGGTTGTGGGGGACTTACATGTAGGTTGTAAAGTGAGCACGGTGTATCCACTGGGAACAAAAGGTAGGTCATTACACCCCCCTTTTCAACTCCATGTAGCCCCGCTTACATGAAGTACACTTAATCTTTCCGTATATCCTGGCCTCAACCTGGAAAGGATACTGGCAATGCAATCGGCACTTGATTAGCATCCCTACTGGCCAATACAATGTTCAACATGCTGCATTTTCTACTTCTTCTGCATCGCATCAATGTCTTATTTTACTTCACCTATAATGCCCAGCTCAGATGAGTAATCATGCGATTAATCATCACAATGTCGATGCAGATAAATTATATTTTGCATTGCAAAAAGGTCCGGTTTTCCATAAACTCTTTTGGCTGCACCTGAAAAGGAATAAAAAAAATAACATGTCACTGCTATCTAACGGTTACAAGACATGCTGGCTGGAACTGCTCTTTTGTAGAATTCACATATATGTTCACGAATGATTTTCCTTAATTCCAACTGAATCAACATAAATTTTTAGATTTTTCATCTTCATAGCCAATTGTTATTTCTAAGGAGCCAAAAGTCAGCATTAGTTCTTTATCAGCCACTTGGCCCGGCGTTATACAAAATGACAGTACTGCCTTGCTGGTTTCACATATTCCAGACCAATACAATATCCCACAGCGTCTGGCACAAACTAGAGCACACGGCTTGCAGTGCACTGACATGCACAGTAGGTGGCGAATGTAGCTTCCTATTCAATACATGGTTCAGAGCAGAAATTGAAGCCATCTAAGGTAGCAATATTTCAGTTCCTATTTATATGGGGAAATAAAAGTGAATTATTTGATAACTCGCCAATTTAAAGTGGTTATCACATAATGCATTGTAGTTGGCCACATAAAGAAAGTGGAATCAGTTAAGTAATGCCACCCCGGGTGGAATCTGGTCTGTGATCATGGACTCCTAGGGCTGTCGCCCTGTCATCCTCTTGCTTTCTGCTTCTCCGATGTTCTCTCTCTTTACTCCGTCTTTTGAGTTTAGTTTCCCCCATTTTTACTCCTCGGAAGACATCAATACACCTCTGGGAGAGCAATGCGGCACAGGTTCATAGAGTACAGCATGGCCGATTTAATTCGTATTATACGCATATTCCATTGTTTAGGAAAATGTAATTAAAACATTTGTTTTAAATGTACTTGTGTGTATTCTTTGGGTCTTTCGGTAAAGTCATATAGATAGGTTTCTTTGAACCTTTTAACGTGACTTTACCGAAAGGCCCAAAGAATATGAATTCCTGCAGTCACGAAAGCCTTAAGTCAAGATTTGTACTTGTATGTTCATATCTAAAGTTTACAGTATTGATCAAGTTTCATATTTATTTCATTATGTGTGAAGCTTTGCCGGACCGGTGATTCACATACAGATAGTCTGGGCTGGCTGACGTTTTACTGTACCTCAACTGCCATTGTGACCCAGTATGTATCAATTGAATAGAGACCCATAAGCACACATTTAATAAGTTAAATTAAGTTTGTTTTCAAAATAAAAAGCATAAACTAACAGCCTTTTATTCATGAACAGTGACTTTTAAGTCTTTAGTGTGTTGCCTGCAAAACAACCGGTTGGCTCTTCAACAGGACACAGCGCCGCTGAGTTAAACTCGTTTAGTGCAGTGTCAAAAGGATAATCGCCACCTCCCCCATCTCATCAGTCTTAATACCAAGTGAGATCACGTCTAAAAATGTAAGTAAATAGGAAAGCAGCAAATCCTTTCAATCCAAAGTCTACCAGCAGCTTACCTGCATTGTACAGCACCGTAAAAATAAGAATGTGTATGTTCCTACATTATATCCCTGGTCCACTTGCCAGAGATAAGGGATTCACAGTGCATGCCACCATAATGTTAAGCCATTACTATGTATGTGCCTCTAGACATAGCTCAGTTGGTAAACTCAGCAAAACATCCATGAAATAACCATTTTTGACGAGAATAAAAATGGTTGTCCTCTGGAGATACTGATCCCCGACTCAGGAATGTGTCACTTCCACCAGTTTCAATGCCACCAACAATGATGAGCAATGTCAAATGCTCATTTGCGTATGGAATACTGACTTTCCCACCAGATGCTAAACATTGCTCCAGACTGCTTTCCACAATCACAAACGATAGACCGCAATCAATGGCATCGCTACCGAGTGTAGAGGCGGTGCAAATGCACCACAGCGAGCGAGACCCACGGCCAACTTGACTACCGTGCTCACCACAATTGATTTATTCCATCCTCTTGTGCTACAATCTCCAGTGCCGACGGCCAGAAAACAACTGCAGCTGCTTGTAAACTTGCAGTTATTAGTTAAAATTTAGCTGCCTTGAATAAATACAGTCGCCGACCACAATCGTGCTCTTTAGAGCTGCTCGTTGTGGACATCAGACTGGTGCGCCACGAGCAGGTGGCTGCTCATCATGTCCAGGGGGGCGGCCGTCAAAAGCGAGTTGAAGGAGGGCAGCTGGCTTGGGACTTGCGGCGTTGCCGCCTTGCCCGAAATGATCACGGGGAAATCAGAGACGCCCACGGGGAACTGGGGAGAGAGGACGGCCGCCGAGGCGGAGGGTGGGAAGCTGCCCACGGGTAGTACAGCGAGGGCAGATAGCGGCGTCAGGTCAGCCGAGCTCTCCAGCGACGCGGGCGACGAGGACAGGCCCTGCCGCTCGGGAGGGGGCATCGGGATCGTTCCGGCATGATTGACCTTGGGCTCGCAGGAATTGACGACGGTGAGGGGGATGACGGAAATCCCGCCCGAACCCTCGACGGGGCTGATGGAGTGCTGCGTGCCAGAGTCCGGCTGATAATACATGTTCTGCATCAGGGGCTCTCCCGGCATGTCGGGAAGGAGCTGCTGCGCACCCATGAACACGTGCTGGCCATAGGCGCTAGCCAGTTTCTCAGAGCCGAAATCCACGACCTCGGACCAAGCGTCGGTGGGGCTGGCCACGACGCCGTGCACCTCGACGTCTGGTGGAGTGAAGTCCTTGAGGAGCTTGGGTGCGGCGTGCTCCCGATCGATCTGAACTCTCACTTCCTCCTTGTGCACTGTGCGAATGTGCTTCTTCAGGTTGCTGGGGTGTCGGCAGCGCTTGCCACATATCTGCGGTGGGGGGTAAAACACACACCGAAGGGAGGCTGAGTTAAGCACTGATCGGGGACAACTCGGGCAGCTGCTGACATCGTTCTATTTGAGGAATGCCTCATTTCTTCATTTATATTCGTATGTATGTACATATGTCGAACTTATTTCGCACCGTATGCAGCCAACCTTGCTAATCAGAGGTATTCTGTCAATACCGAGCATACAATACGAATAAAATGTATCATTTATGGCCATTCATCAATCCAATGCTCGAAGGCCTTTCCATGCCGTGTCGGTCATATCACATTTTTTATATCATACTTCACCATGCTGGTAAATGCTGGTTGGTAAAATGGAGGGCAGACAGGTCTGATTCAGATATGAATCGCCACTGATGTTAGCTATGGCTTGGAATCGAACTCAGGTTGCCGAGTTTATACAGCAGTGTACAAACGACTACACCAGTGGTGCAACAATATTAATATCCATTTTATTATAATGATTTTAGCAACTGCAGTTGTCCATGCATCAACACACTTATGGCACAAAAAATCTTTAACTAACATTTGAATGATATGCAGACCAAACACGAAAAGGGGTTTACATTGTAAATGCACTGCAAATGTTTCTGCCAAGGTACAACCCTCTATGTAGGTGGCACCCCTATTGAAAAACATCTAAGTTCCGAGCTGTCCTTTTAAAGAATACTGGCAATGTTGCAAAAACAGGAACATGCCTAATGTATCAGTAAACAGGGTACCAATGGATAAAATATCCTGGGTTGAATTCTCAATTGTAAAATATTCCTACAACCATGCCATGGTCAACAACACAATTCACCAAACGTGAATATCAGGAACTTAAGGACCAAGATTAGGAAGCTCATTCACGCAGGAGCTGAGCTGCTGTTAACACCTGATGATGCCGGATGTAATCTCCCACAAAATGTCTGATAAAACTGTCAATCTTTGGCTTTCTTTTCAACATTCCACCGGTTTGCTAATAAAACAAATAAATTAGCATATTTGCCCACGAGACAACTTGATCTGTTGGTTGGCGGAGGATACAGCTGAAAATTGGCATTAGACCTACACTATCTAACAAAAGAGATGATTTATGAATCCTGAATAATTACACTGGAATTAAGGAGCTCATAAAGCGAGACTTAAATAATGCAGTTTGGTATCATTTTTAAACACACATTTTTAAACTGTTTACAACTGCTGTTTCGACATTAATTGTTGACTCTCATCTTTGGCCTCTCACGATACATGATGGCCTCCCCGCGTTTTCAACCACTGCCTTCCATTGGATAAGAAAAGTTAGTGAAAATCAGCCAACCTGACACTGGTAGGGCAGTTCCCCCGTGTGGGTCCACGTGTGTCTCTTTAGCTCTGACAAGCGTGAGTACGCCTGCAGGCAAAACTTGCATTGAAACTTCTTCACACCGCTGCAGAAACAAATATGCAGCCCGTCAACACCATTGATTTAATGCACAAATTTGTATGCACCCATGTACAGTGTGACAGAGCAATGAGCATAAACATTGGAATGTAACGAGTAAAGAAATCATTGATCTTTAAAAACTAGGATTACAGATGTAGTTCACAAAGTAAAAAATACTTAAATTGAGCTAAGTAATACATATAGTGAGGACATCAGATGCCAGATGGGACAAATGCATATAAATTAATAACAGGAAGGAAGCTGATAGAGGGAAGGAGAAAGAGAAGCAGGCTGAAAATTATAAGATTTGTAGGAACACAATGGATGGAAGTGGCAGGAGATCATGAAGAGTGGAAGACATTGGGGGATGGTTTTGTTCATCAGTGCGTTTTTAGCAACTAAGAAGGAAAAGAATGAATATACAATATCATATTTTAACTAGTTACGCATTAAATGGCACCATTTTTAGTGACAGTTTCATTTCTGTGAGCCAAACCCTTAGTACAGGTTAATAATTTAAAACTGAGCATAGAGTAGCGTAAACTGAATCTCACCACAACTAACAATTTTAAGATTAACAATACGCATTTAATGAGTGTCTAAATGCTTCCACATCTTAAAGTGCTGTAGAAAACGCACATAAAATAACAATATCACAATGACAAAGTAAACATCAGTGACAGATTTGGAAAACGCCGGAAAATGACACCACATGGTAACCTTGAGCACATCTCACAAGAGCTGGAAGAGCCTGTGAGACCAAAGAACAACGGTGGGTCACCGGAAAAAAGTCCAGCGCGCATAGGGGATAAAATTCAGTCCCAGTCCAACATCCTGAGCACACGCCCCATCCCAAATGCACAACTGAAACAAAAAAACACATTGACAGCACCCCTGCAAGGTCCCCAGTACGCACTGTCCAGGCGGTCATCGTCGCGCACCTGCAGAAGATCTTGTGGCTCTTGTAGTGCTTGACCGCCTGGCCGCAGAACTCGCACAGCTGGACGAGGGGTGGCTTGCCCCGCGCTGCCTCCATGTGCTTCATGCGCACGTGCTGCGTCAGGTCATCTGCATACGTGCACACCCCCCGCCCCCCCCCCCCCCACGATCGCGCACCGGTCAAGACAACGTCAATAACAATTTAACGGCTTTGCCTTCTTCCACAGACAGTTGCTATGGTGCCTCTTATGATTGCTATTATTAGTTTGATTTTTTTGCTTTCTTTCCAAATTGTATAAAAATGTTGCTGTCAACATCATATTTTCAAATAAAGTTATCTATTCGGCAATCTCTCACTCCGGTGTAACTTTGTGCGTTAGAGTTTGATGCGCAGAAGCAGATTTCACAGAATTTCTTCTGAGTACCCTTCAAATGGAATTTGTATCCACTTATCAGTGGGTGCACTCTCCCATATGCCTAACATAAACACCAGGTTATACTACTTCAAACGAACTATAACATTACTTAGCAGCAGATGCTCAAAAAATATTCAAGACACGGGCAGCGGAAAAAATTATGCTATACTGTAATATGCTTTGGAAGAAAATGTTGGTCGATCGCATTGAGTTATAAAAACTGCAAAACCCACCAAGTTGCGAGGTGGCCAGGTAATGACAGAACAGCATGGGGATTTGTGAACCTATCTGTGTGGCCCTTGGAGTATTGTTTCCTTGTGCGTGTGTACTGTCTCAAAATACTTCAGTTTCCCCCCACGTGCAAAAACTCAAGGAAAAGGAATTTGCCAAATATCTCAATGCAACCCTCCCCTGAATAAGCGCCTTGATTTTGTGAGGCTGCCTTGGACTAAAACAATAACAAAGAAAATGTACACATCAAACTCTACAAGCAGCTTTTTATAAGCCAAGCAAATGACAGAATGCTTCGGATTGGTGGTGAATTGGTTAGCGCAACTGTGTATGAACCCAGTGACCCGATTTTGATTCCTGGCAAATGACTAACATCAGTGGCAAGAGATATCTGAACTTATGCTGGGCACCCCCTTCATTAATATGCAATGACCAACGTGATGAAGTATGGTCAAACAATCCCCATAACCGATTTGGGGAGGCCTTCATCGGCTGTGGATTGGGCTGGTGAAATATAAATATGCGATAAACCAGTCTTATTAAATGCACGTTAGGGAAGAAATGAACATCTCTCAATCCACCCACAGCTTACCCATTGAATATCATGCCTATAACATGTTTTTTTTTACACAATGCAGAGAGATTATGAACTTTATTTCTTCCAGCTTGGACACAATGTGCAATGGTGTGGCATTGGCGGCCCTTACTCTTGACCTTGTAGGCCTTCTCGCAGAGGGAGCAGTGGTGCGGCCTGGCCTCCCCATGATACGCCACGTGGTCCCGTAGCTTCTCCAGGGACAGCAGCCACTTGCCGCACTGCTCACACTGGTACAGCTTGCGCTGCCTGTGCACCTTGCAATGCTGCCGCAGCATGCAACTGTCCCATCGTGTGGTTACGAGGGCCCACCGGTGGGGAAAATAATGACAACTTTAATCTAAACTCATTCGTAAGGCAGCAAAGCATTCATGAACAAACAAGCGATCCCTCGTATAGCCATTACGACTATTGATCTAAGTGCTCTTAGCAAGCACCTATTAAGGCTGGAATGCAGGAAAGGGTGGTGTGGCTAACTCCATGCCTTGCTGTCTTTAATCTCATCAGTGCCGATGTTTACCAAGGACAGGTCCAGGAACGGTTCTTATATTTGCCACTGATTTTAGCGATGGCTGGGAATCGAACTCACATTGTTAGGTTTGTAGCAGAGTGAATTTCCCACTACACCACCACTCCAGCCTCTGTATAGCCATTAACAATATAACAAAATAACACTTGCATAGCATTACTTGGAAAGACGTTATGAAAACAAGACTGCAGATATCAATACACATGCGTGAAAGCCTCTAAAAAATAGGAGACTGTGTTTTACATACTTTTAGGTAGTGTATTAATGCAAGGTTTCCTTTAAAGTCTGACCCCTCATTCACAAACACACAGTGAGAGCAGTGAACTACAGTATGTTGGAGCATTCATTACCTGTAAATGAATTCTTTATCACACATATCGCAGCTGAAAGGGGCAGCACCAGGCTGTACTTGATGGCAGTGCGGGGAGAGTTTCTTGCAACCCTCACACCTCTCCCTCTTCCACTTGCCGCCAAATTCTCCACTCGTGTACAACAGGGAGGGCTTCTCTTCATTCTCAATGTTGGAAAGCAAGAGGAGAAACACATCACAGAACCTTATTTAAAACTCAACTCAGGCTAATACCCAAACGCAAATGTGTCATATACGGATCACTAAATTAGAAAACATGGATTTACATACACTTGACCTGTAAAACAATTAACAAAGCGGGACCCTTATTATGTTTATATATGCAGCCCTTCGTTAATCCAGTGGTAGATGAGGGCCTTCCCACGCCATGAGGGATGTAAGGTTATTCGTGGTGTGGGTTGGTGAAAGCAGAAGCATAGATACAACGTTTTGCTGCACTGTCCATGTAGGATGACAGCAGCCTACAAAAACCTGCTTTATGCATAGCTGTTGCTCATCTAAGCACTATCCAGGCATATTCACGCTTAGCTGCTAAGATATGATGAGATCTGGTGACTTTCTGGTGATTACCGAATTTTTGGTCATTTTTCCCCCCAAGGCGATTTCTGCATTTGTTAACCTGGGAGTCCATAAGGCCCGGTGAGCAGTCCTCTGCCTCAATCTTGGCATGCAGCTTGTTCTTCGAGCCCTTAGGCCTCCCGCGCTTCCTCGGAGTACAGGCTACTTGCGAGGCTTCACAAAGGGGGTCCGGAGACTCATCCGCGGGGACCCCACCCGTTACAATGCCCGTGCAATCTTCCTGACGGGCCGGGGAATGTGGGACGGCAACCTGCGGCAACGATTTGAAACGCTCCGGTGCTTTCCGTGCTCTTGGTATGACGGGGCACTCTGTTCTCTGGAGCTGTTTCCTGAGGTGAGCAACAACAGACGTGACTGCACTGACAGGCGCGAGATTGAGCAGCTGTTTTCCCGGTTCAAAACCACATATTAAACTACGAAATTAATACGCAACATTTTAAGTGTACTACGGCAAGCAACCATAGCATAACTTACATTTAGTTGTTAGCTTATGTACACAACTGCATTTTCAAGAGGTATATTTAAAATTACTCTAAAATATATACATTTACACTTCTATTTGAGAAAATATTTAGTTTCAAGTAACATTCTTTGTATTTATAAAAAAAAAATCTATATATTTTGGGTAAAAAAAAAATCTGTTATTATTCATAGCATCTCATAAACATAGGAACAGTGGTTGGCTTCATTCAGACCTGGGTCTCCCTCTTCGCTTGACCAATGGAGGCGAGGAAACGACGGACGTGCTCCGCAAAGACCTGCAGGCTTTCGTTACTGTGAGGGGCACAAGCGTCGTGGCCAAGGCCAGGGAACCGGGGCTTTCCGGTAGATTTACATCTACTCCCGTCTGCTCAACTCCACAACCAAGTGCCACGGGACTTCCGCTCCTACCCCTGGCAGGACATCCTATAAGACCCACTTTCTCTTTGCCGTTCTCTCTAGTAAGGCACAGAGATTCAATGCTGCCGCAAGGCACGCCGTCTAAAAGCCCTCGCTCGCCAGAGACCGGGGAACCACTGCTCACGTCCATTGGCTCATAGTCATCGTCCGACACCACAGAGCTCGGATTCAAGTGCGCGGCACGACCGGCTGGGCTCAAAGGCATATGGCTGCCCGCTTCTGCGCCCACGGCCACATGGCTCCAGGTGTTCCAGCCGTCGCCCTTGACGCCGTTGGCGCCGGGCTCCGAAGTGCCATTGGCGGAGACCTCGCTGTCCCAGTCATAGCCCGAGGAGTCCGAGCCCAGATCAAGAATCCCGACCACTTTGAGCTGCTTGGCGGCCGCCGAGAACTCCGCAATGTGATCCGCCGGCAGCTTGGCCGTGTAGAAGAACTCCAGCAGCTGGCTGAAGCAGTCAGGCGCGATAGACTTCAGCGCCACAGACTGCCGAGGACTACGTCCCGTCAGCACCGAGCTGAAGTACTCGCTGCAGGCCGAAAGGACATTGCTGTGCGCCAGGAAGGTGCGCGCCGACACCGTCACAGTCACGTCGCAGAAGAGCCCAGATATTCGCTGCTCGTTCAGCTTCTGCAGAACCATGCGACTGTGGTGGAGGGGGAAGTCTGTGATCGGCAGGGGAACTCTGTCCATGGCCTCCTCCTGAGCACACGGGGCCAAAGAGATTATCAGTATTATCCACCAAAAATACAGACCACAGGGTTGGTACATGTACAACTTGATTGCACCTCCACTACTACATAGAGTGCTGTGGATGTTATATCAAAATGGTTTTGCTCTGAAGAAACCATGAATACAACTCGTGTTGTAAACCATATTTTTACCACCAGAACATCATCACCCATCATCCCCACTTCTACTAAAATGACCTACTTCACCACATCACTATAAAACAATCATCGAATCATCACATTTACATTGCCTTCATCGTCACCACCCCATCTCCATAACATCAACTCCATTATCACTAGTATCGTAATAGGTTTTACCCTTTTAACTGGCACACAAACTGACACCTTTATTCAAGGCATCATGTTTGCAATAACCACAACACATTATCACTGTTACCCCCAAAACCACGACACCCATCACCTCAACATAACCACCCCACCATCACACTCCCATTATCATCACTACCCTCATCACCCCCACCTCCATCACCCGCATCACCATAATCCGCATTAGCGTCGTCATAACAGGACCAGTCCTGTCAATATCAGCATGATCACCCCACCAACACCACCACCCTCCCATCATAACCATCACACGACCGTCACCCCCATTCAAGGATCACTGCCATCATCTGCATCATGTGAGCATCATTACAATCCCGCGAACAACTCCATCCACTACCGCCAACACCATCACATCACACCCATCCTCGCCATCATCCACATCTTGCCGCCATACACTTTGTATGTCCATCATGATTACCTCAATCATCATTATTAGCGCCTGTTAATCAACATCACAATCATCAACACTACCATCACTTACCACCATCATCACACCCATCGGAGTACCACAGCCATCAACCGCATCACTATAACGCCACGCTCACCCCCCATCACTTCGTCTGTCACTTCTCTACCCCCATCAAAGACAGCCTTAACAGGCCGTTGGGGCAAGTGCCGATAGCGAGTGGCACCTCTGAAGCACACGAGGAAGTGGGTTGGCCAGCACCACAACCCGGCCGCCTTTGTCTCCCCAGTGGCGGCTGCTTACACGCCGTGCACCAGGTTTACTCATCAAGCGGAGGCCCGGGACCTGGTTCAGATCATCGTCGCTGGCTGTTGGTGGCCGCGGAGCGGGAATGTAACGTGGGGTCGCCCCCCACACTGGGGGGTTCTCAGACGCTAACCGCTGCGCCACCGCTCTCCTTTTGCCCCCCCCCCCCCTTGTACCCCACCTTGTACCCCACCTTGTACCCCCCCCTTGTAACCCCCCCTTGTACCCCCCCTGTACCCCCCCCTTGTAACCCCCCCTGTACCCCCCCCTTGTAACCCCCCCCTTGTACCCCCCCTTGTGCCCCCCCCTGTACCCCCCCCCCTTGTACAGTACCGTAGAGGGAGCCGGCGGGCTTCAATTTCCCCAACGCTAATGGGCACCTCGCGCGCCGCCACCATTGGCCCAAAGCGGCCCCACGTGAGCGCCGTTCGTGGGGGTGGGCGCTGGTGGTGGGGGCACCGCCGGCCAATCGCGAGGCGAGCCTCGCCGCCGCCGCGTTTGTCCGCGCTGGGAAATGCAAAGGGAGGGGGCGGGGCTTCGCGAGACGTAATCAGCGAGGGGTCGGGGCAAAGCGAAATAAATCGTAAACAATGAGGTAAATTTGGGGGTTTTGTTGTTGTTGACGAATTAAATAACAAACAAACCCCGCCACGCAACGCTCCCGCCTCAATGCTTCAAGAGCCGCAGCAGTGTACGTGAAGACGTCTACAGACGGCGGTTCTTTTAAAAAAAAAAAATTACGACGTTAAAACGACGCGGTCCTTCGAACGAGAGAGGAGCCGCAAAAATGTTTGCCGACTCCTACGATGGAGACGGAGAGTGAGTCGTCAGATTGACGGGAGCAGGAGAAATCACGCAAGGGGGGAGACAACAGAGAAGACGAACGGCGGCTGCGATGCTTCCTCGCCAATGTCGCCGCTCGCCTCGGCTCGCCGCTTTTTGATTCACCTGCCCCGGGGCGCGCGCTGGCCACGAAGAAGTCAACAATACAGGGGGTGGGTGGAGCTATTGTGGGTGACGTCACGCGCCCCCGATGAGTGACGTCACGATCCCCCCGCCCCCGGCTCGCCCCCGCCTCCCTCCCCCTCGCTCCCTCGCCCCGCCTCCCTCGCCCCCGCCTCCCTCCCCCTCGCCTCCGCCTCCCTCCCTCCCCCCCTCGCCCCCGCCCCCGGCTCCCCCTCGCCTCCCTCCCCCTCGCCCCCGCCTCCCTCGCCCCCGCCTCCCTCCCTCCCTCCCCCCCTCGCCCCCGCCCCCGGCTCGCCCCCGCCTCCCTCCCCCCCTCGCCCCCTCCCCCTCGCTCCCTCGCCCCCGCCTCCCTCCCCCTCGCCCCCGCCTCCCTCGCCCCCGCCTCCCTCCTCCACAATGGTAAAGAAGCTGCCAATGCGAATTCCGAAGTATTTGGATGGAGGCGCTGCAGATAGAATCGAGGAACGACCGAGAAAAAAATTTGAAATTATTATTTTTATTTTGAAAAATTTCTAAACAAATCCTTAACATACACCTATATGACAGATTTGCGCCATTCGGATGTAAAAAAAATAGTAATCTTATAATTCGCGTATTTATCACGGATAAACTTAGCAGACACTACATAAATCCACTCCGTGTAGGATAACTAACTTGGGAACATCACAAACCCAGGTCAACTGATGCTGCTCATCTGGTAAAATAAGATTTCACACGAGAGCTTCAAAGCATTGGTTACACACCGTGTGAACTCGCTGGTACATATAAAGAACCAGCAAGTAGATATTAACCAATGTAAAGATATTGAACGTGACAATAAGATGCTGTTTTCACGATGTTATTGTACTGCTTTATTTATGTCACGTCACGAGACGCAGTGTCTTCTCAGAGCAAGTGCAATGCCCTCCCCACCACCCCACATACGTTAGACTTGTCCGCAGAAGCAAACTCTCATTTGTCTGTGTGTGGATTATTCATCGAGGGCCAGTGACTAATATCAGTGGCAACGTGAGCCCAAACATGTTGCCAAGTAAACCGACTCGTGTGCTTAAAAAACACAGTAAAAATAAATGACACATGCAACCGCTGTTCTATGTTAGGTGAGCAATAACAAAGTTAAAAACGTTGTTTTACAATTCTCTGTGTTCTTGTTGTATCCATGCCAACTCTGCCCGCATTACCTTAGATAACTGAGGGTTGGCTGTACAGAGTACATTGTTTACAAGTGTCAAGTGATGGCAAAATCCACCGGTAGCTACACAACGGTTGACGGGTAACTTGGAGAGACATTCTACATTCATATGGTTGGACCCATATTGATTTAATCACAGTTTAATCCTAAAAAAAAATAATCTGAAACTCATCCCGAGTGCCGAGGATTTCCAAGGAACAATACTCGTGAGATATTTGGTTTAGTTTCGTGATTTAAAAAAAATCGTATTTATGAAGTAGTTTAGAAAATATTATTTCAGGAACGGCCTCTGTAGCTGCCTTGACAAAAGTGCCACACGTCTAACAGTAACTTGCCTATAACCAGTAATTCGTGCACGTTGGTATCACCATCAGCCACGATTTATCCACTGCTGGATGAATGCTTCCCCAAAGCCGTTGCCATCTCTCAAGGCCTTGCGATTGCAACAATCGATCTGGGTCCTGCGCATGACCAAAGGGGTACACCTCAGAGATTTATCGAAGAGGGGGCCCCACAAAAATTCAGAGGATCGGGGGGCACGACACCATGTTAAACTTTAAACAAATGTGTGTCACCACGCAGAATGAGAAAACATACGCTCTGCTTTTATTGATCATTCACGAAATTGAAGTTGACACTCAAGGGGCATTTGTGTTGTGGTTATAAGTGTTCACATAACTGCAGGCTAGGTGATGCCATAGAGATGTTTTAAATTAAATCTAAAAACTCGCCCCTCGTGTTAACTACTGCACCAACATTTTTTGACTTGTATACACAAAAAAGTTAAGAGGGGTTGAAGCAGATGTATGAAATAATGAGAGGTGAGAGCAGGTTGAAGTGCGTTTGGAATATTGAACTTAATTAATATACAATATTGCACACTATCCACAGGTACGCTAAGATAAATTAAGTGAAAAAACTAAGTTATTCTGCATACAGTACAGTACAGTGTATTGGGTTTAACACGTAGGCTTTCATGACCAATATTATTCGTAAAGGTTTTTGGGTTAAATCGCGTAAGTATAAATGTGTCATAACTCTCCACCACCCAACACAGCCAGTAAGGTTTGTCAGGTAAACAACTTCAGCCCACCGGTGTGTTGGAGAGTAAATCCACAACCTTTACAATTTTAATGCGAAGTTTCGCTGGTAATTACATCCAGCATCGGGAGATTTGGCAGAATAGTGTATTGGATTTTTTTAACTACTAACTGAATTGAGACCATCGTGGAACTCACTACATTGAAGAACCGTGTTTAATCGGGGGTGCTTTCCTGAATTTATAACTGGAATCTGAGAGGTGCACGTTTAGGGCTCTGGAGTGGGCATAATCCCCTAAGTCACCTTGGCTTTATGTATCGAGTATTGCTATCTCACGTCCTCACGCAGTAGTAATGTATTTCGCTATGGTTTTAGGTATTATTCCCCGAGTTAATCTGGTTAACTGTGTAATGATTAAGAGTCAATTTTAAAAAAGGAATAAATTAATGTGTTTCCCGGTTCAATGTCTAAAGTCCGCGGCACTAGTTGAAGATAAAGATTGGTAACAACTGGCACAATTCTCAGTCGCGTTTTTAACTACGATCTCTTGGCTGCTTGAAGTCCAATTTTGATTTAAAGCTTTCGTGACTACAGGGATTCATATAAAGTCACGTCGAAGGGAAACAATAAAATAAAATAAATATACGCAATAAAAAATATTGTTTAATATTTGTATTATTTTATTGTTTCCCTTCTTGAAGTTCGCTAAAAAAAAACCCAGTGCCGCTGTCTTCCCTTTTTCCATGACACAAGGCAAGCGCGCTTGTAACCCGCGTGTGGGTTTTTTTATTGCGCATTTCAACATTGTGGGATTTGATAGGGCCCACTTTTTGAGCCCAGGGCGGTGAGTGAAAGGACCCTTGAACTCTGGGGGCCGTCTGACGCGCACCGTTACTCATTAAACACTAAACGCCACACCTCGCCTTGCCACTCCACCGCGTCTACGTTGAGGACCCCCACCGCTCGAGTGAATTCAGTGGTCGACAGGGTTTTGTTGTGTTGGTGTGGATTTTTGTTGTGTTGGTGTGGTTTTTTTTCTTAAAAAAAAGTCTCGCCTCGGAGAGAGAGACGCTCGTCTCCAAAGCCTATCTATATATCTCTCAAGACTCGCCCAAAAAGAATGTAAGTACTGGATGGAACTCTGTGGATTTGAATTGTTTTGTTGAAAATAAATGTATACGCAGTGCAAATATGTTTTTGTTTTCCATTGTTTTCCAATGCTATTGACCAAGTCTTGCTTGCCATTGCGCCGGGTTTGCTGCCTTTAAAATGGATTGTCCAGACGTTTGTATATGGCTCGGACAGGCAATGCATGGCAGTCGTATGTGGTAATACTCTGGCTTTGTACAAAGGTACGGATTGTCAAATGATGGTGACGGTCCGCATTCACGTGGTATACTGCCGAATATTCCCTTTTTGGCCCAAAAAAACCGTGCTTATCTCTGGCCAACAAAGAGGACAATTGCCAAGGAAAAGTGTTTAGTTCGTTTAAAATAAAATGTAACTGAACATGTCTTTTTTTACCCGATTCGGCACAAAGTGTCTGATCAAAACTGGTTCAGTTTGCTTATATTGCGCCAACGCTGATATTAAGGCATTGTGTCCCGTCACGTAAACAAAATGCTACGCATTTTATGTACTTTTTATGTGAAGGGAAACATATCAAGGTGCTATTTGTTTCCGAATTAGTTTTGTTCCTTATGTTCTTAAGAATTACTAAAATGAGTATAGTTTTTGTCATTTTGTTAGATGACTTGAATTTAGCATAGCGCCTACATGTTACCAAAAGTGAGAAATGGTAGACTTTGTAATGATGTTGTGGAAAAGTAAAACGAAAGGTAATAAAAAAAATTTAAGACGCGTTACCTTTACTGTGACAACAGTCAACCTTCAGTTAAAGTGTAATGGTTAAAGATGAAAACATACTGCTTCATAAATATACCATTTATATGACTGTACTGTGATCAAGCCACGTATATATAGTAAAGAACTGTATATGAATATTTTCTATTTAAAAAAAAATCATATATGTTTCTATCTTTCAGTATCGTATGTTTACCTTTAACAAAGGTTAAACAGTATCACGAAACAATGCTCATGTGCCCGAGCTAAGCCCATTGGGTGTACTCAGAAAACAACTTTTAGGCATAACGTGAACATTTGTAGATGCTTTTGTTTTTGTCAATTTTTCATACTCATCACGCATTCACCATTTATGATGCACCGGAGCAAAGAGCACAGCAGTATTTCGAAACAAAGCAGGCGATTGCCACATTTTTTTTTATTACGGTACCAGCTGTCGTTAGTCACCACAGGTTGGAGTGAGGCCTTGTCATAAGCTCGTGCTAGGATAGCTGACCAAAGACAATGCCGCTCTGTTTTGCTGCCATTAACGGCCACCCCAATAATGAACAATGAACCTTCGGGGGGTACATTCAGATGAGTAATAGTGATGCTTATCTTTAGCACGCAGAGACAGACATGGCTGAACTGGCTTCGTTTACCTGACGCACACTGACCAGCGTGGTGAAGTATGGTCAAACCCCATGACCAACATGTCGAGGGGAGGGCCCATCATCCTTCAGTGGATTGACAAAAAGCTGTGAATGTATTGCTTTTATGACATGTAAATACTATATCCATTTCAATGGTATTTTTTTGATACAATATTTATGGTTTTAACTTATTCCTGCACTATTATCAGTATCATGCCATGAGCCAGTCAATAAATTCAGAGTACTCCCGGAGTAGTCTGATGTGTCAGAGAATGACTATGCAAGAGATATTCTTAGTTTTTTCGGTAAAGTCACGTTGAAGAGAAACAACAAAATAACAAAATATATATAAAACAATAAAAAATTCTCACGACGTTTCGACCATAACTCAAACGGTCATCATCAGGTGTGTCGGTTTGCATAAATTTATTTTGAAAACGGCATATTTATTTATATATATAAAAATAACGTTTGCGTCACGCGCAACGATTGGCTGTTTGCCAGGACTAGTCCATCTATTTTTTGAAAAGAGGAGGGGGGAGACGAAATTTGTTTTTATGTATGCTGTCTGAAAGCCACTGTAAGCGTGAACAATCAATCAAGAACTGAAATGATTTATCAAATCTTTCCAATGATTGCTAAGATAGAATCCATCTTCTCGGTTGAAATTGTCTCTGTGTTTGTATATGTGGATAGCCTTATGAACGAATCTCTCATGGAAGCCAGATGGCTTACAAAGAACCTCCGTCTTGGAAAAGTCAATGGCATGTGAGCCTACTGAATTAGAACAATGATCTGCTACGGCCGAGGTGTTGGTCCTACCGTGTTTAAGGTCTGCTTTATGTTCACGAATGCGGTCCGAGATATGGCGTTTGGTTTCTCCAATGTAACTACTACCACAGAGGCAACTTAGTTTGTAGACACCAGGGTATTGTATGTCCGGAATCACATCTTTTACAGACGGAACCAGATCACGGATTTTATGTAATGTGTTGAAACGGACCTGGATCTTGTGTTTATTCAAGATTTTGGAGATCTTTTTTGTGATCCCAGCAATGTAGGGTAAAGTGATGGTTTTGAAAGGCTCCTCAAGAGGGTTCTTCTTCATGGTTTGAGTGATAGCTTTGCGGATTGTATAGTCGGAGTAACCATTAGCCCTAAGAGCTTGGTGTACGTGCTTGAGTTCACTGCTTATGTGTTCCTGGTCGGATATGCATTGGGCTCTATGATACAGAGTCTTGATGAGAGAATTCTTCTGTGATGGATGGTGGTGGGAATCCGGTTTCAGATAAGCATCCGTATGGGTAGCTTTCCTGTAGACAGAGTGGCTCATTGAACCATCAGGTCTCTTTTTAATTAGGACATCCAAAAAAGGTATCTTGCCATCTATTTCGACTTCCATGGTAAATCTGATGGCTGGGTGTATGGAATTGATGTGGTCGAAGAATTGGTCTAGAGCAGGCCGGCCATGTGGCCAGATGACAAAAGTGTCATCCAGAGGTACGTGGATGACACTTTTGTCATCTGGCCACATGGCCGGCCTGCTCTAGACCAATTCTTCGACCACATCAATTCCATACACCCAGCCATCAGATTTACCATGGAAGTCGAAATAGATGGCAAGATACCTTTTTTGGATGTCCTAATTAAAAAGAGACCTGATGGTTCAATGAGCCACTCTGTCTACAGGAAAGCTACCCATACGGATGCTTATCTGAAACCGGATTCCCACCACCATCCATCACAGAAGAATTCTCTCATCAAGACTCTGTATCATAGAGCCCAATGCATATCCGACCAGGAACACATAAGCAGTGAACTCAAGCACGTACACCAAGCTCTTAGGGCTAATGGTTACTCCGACTATACAATCCGCAAAGCTATCACTCAAACCATGAAGAAGAACCCTCTTGAGGAGCCTTTCAAAACCATCACTTTACCCTACATTGCTGGGATCACAAAAAAGATCTCCAAAATCTTGAATAAACACAAGATCCAGGTCCGTTTCAACACATTACATAAAATCCGTGATCTGGTTCCGTCTGTAAAAGATGTGATTCCGGACATACAATACCCTGGTGTCTACAAACTAAGTTGCCTCTGTGGTAGTAGTTACATTGGAGAAACCAAACGCCATATCTCGGACCGCATTCGTGAACATAAAGCAGACCTTAAACACGGTAGGACCAACACCTCGGCCGTAGCAGATCATTGTTCTAATTCAGTAGGCTCACATGCCATTGACTTTTCCAAGACGGAGGTTCTTTGTAAGCCATCTGGCTTCCATGAGAGATTCGTTCATGAGGCTATCCACATATACAAACACAGAGACAATTTCAACCGAGAAGATGGATTCTATCTTAGCAATCATTGGAAAGATTTGATAAATCATTTCAGTTCTTGATTGATTGTTCACGCTTACAGTGGCTTTCAGACAGCATACATAAAAACAAATTTCGTCTCCCCCCTCCTCTTTTCAAAAAATAGATGGACTAGTCCTGGCAAACAGCCAATCGTTGCGCGTGACGCAAACGTTTTTTTTATATATATAAATAAATATGCCGTTTTCAAAATAAATTTATGCAAACCGACACACCTGATGATGACCGTTTGAGTTATGGTCGAAACGTCGTGAGAATTTTTTATTGTTTTATATATATTTTGTTATTTTGTTGTTTCTCTTCAACGTGACTTTACCGAAAAAACTAAGAATATGAATCACTGCAGTCACGAAAGCTTTAAATCAAAATTTTATGCAAGAGATGTTCACAAAACCTGAAAAACCTTATCAAGTAACATTTTTATCATGGGACCTGCTTTGCCAGTACAAAAATATGAGAATAAGTTTTTCCCCTTTTTGTTGGCAGATAAAAAGGGAAAATTTTATTGTAACATTTGTATCTTTAGAAAATTAAATTGGGAACGCAGAGATCGGTGTTTGTCGCATGAAAGACAAATCAATATTCGTAATTTTCAGGCCTGTAATTGAGCCAATGGTGACAGACCAAACTTAATGTGATGGGGTGTTTTTGTGCAATTTCCGAAGCATTAAAATCATTGTCGGGAGAACACAACTGCAAAACACACACACATGTACTGTATATATCCAAGCCATGAAGGCAGATTATAATCAACATTAAATAAAGAGGCCAGCAAGAGCAAGGTGGAATGCTTTTGAAAACTCAATTTGATCATGAAAAGCAGCATACCACTTTGCCCGAAGGTGAAAGTTTTCAACCAGTAGCTTTTACCTGGTATGGTTTATGGATCAGATACGTGAACACTGACATTACAAATATTTTAATAAAATCTGAAAAGTACTCAAAAAGCATGGAAATACGCGTGCTGGTAATTACACGTAAGGAAGATAAACCCATGGATCGGGAGTCGGAGACATCATCATGCTAGTGAGAGACATCGAGGAAAGTCAATGGAATTTGGGCAGCACACTTTGAACGGACGTTGGCCGACGTGGGTCACAGGTGATAAAATGGCAGCCACAGGGAGAGGAACACGTGCGCGAGGAGGCGACCACCTGCGTCGCAGGTGCAGTGACGAGATTAGCTCATGTGCAGGAGCCTTGCTGCATTTATTGTGCCGTCGAAAGACCGTGAGGGATGGTGACAGCGAAGTTGTGGTGTGGGGGCTTAACCCAGCCATTGATAGACCATGGGTGATGATGCTGATGACAATTATAGACATACCTGTCAACCCATACTGGTTAAAGATATTCTTGAACATGGAAATTGAGTTTTCAGGTCCATACGGCGTTCCTTGTGATGGGACTTTGTAGGATGAACGTGAGATTTATAAGGGCACGGGGTGACCAATAAGGTCTGAATTGGTGTGTAATTAGGTAGGCACTGATAAGGGGTTGACAGGTATGTATCTGTGCAGTTCACAAGTGTAAAATAACATTTGAAAACGATCGTGTCTGAAAGTTATTACCGCAATTGCCCAAAATAAAGGAATGGCGAACAGCATATGGGGAACTGGATGAGAGGAAGAGCACGGGCAAGGGCGTGTGCCGTGTGTCTGTGGTCGCACACACCTCTTGGAACCATTGATCTTTCCCTGCCTCTGGGTAGAGTTGCCGCCTGTCCTGGTTTTTTTACATCGTTTTGAAATGGCTCTCCTGGGAAATCTGTAATAGACTACGATCCACGAGGGTAATTTAAAAACAACCATTGCCGGCAATCATCGCCAGAAATGGTTGCCGCAGAATTTCACATTCTAAAGATCTCATTGCTGCCCCCCCCACTCCCCCCCAATTCTGAACAATTCTGATTCAAGCTGCCCACTAGCGGGCACTTGGGCAGCAACTTCCAATGAGATCGGAGCGAGAGCATACGCGACTGCCTTTCGCTGTCACGCGTTGTGCAATGGAACACAATCGGCTTAAGTGGGATCGAGACAGATGGGAGGGAAAACCTCCCGTATGCTGTTCTGGTCACATAGTGTATTGACTCAGTGACTGGCTAACTGACTAATGATAATGGATTACATACAGGAATGACTCACCTAATGTGTGACTCTTGCTAGTTCTACACCATCCTCAAATGAACTAACAAGTAGTAACTACATTTTGATTTAAAGCTTTCGTGACTGCAGTAATTAATATTCTTGATTCTTTCGGTAAAGTCACGTTGAAGGAAAACAATAAAATAATACAATATATAAAACAATAAAATTCTCACGACGTTTCGACTGTAACACAAGCAGTCATCATCAGGTGTGAAAACCAACGGCAAGAAACATTTCAAAAGAAACATTTCAAACATTTCAAAAGAAACATTTCAAATGTTTCTTGCTGTTGGTTTTCACACCTGATGATGACTTTGTGTTACAGTCGAAACATCGTGAGAATTGTATTGTTTTATATATATTTTATTATTTTATTGTTTCTCTTCACACCTGATGATGACTTTGTGTTACAGTCGAAACGTCGTGAGGATTTTATTGTTTTATATATGTTTTATTATTTTATTGTTTCCCTTCAACGTGACTTTAGCGAAAGAACCAAGAATATAAGTAGTAACTAGGCTTACCCTATCCCTAATCAACTCGTGAGTACAGTGGTACTATGCATACCCTTCGTCCGATATATTGTGAGATATTCCACTTCCCATGATATGTCCAGATTTTGTTTGTACCTCAAATGGCAACCTCAGCTACGGGCTGACCATATCCTGTTCTCAGCTGAGCCATAGGAGAGATTTATCTGCTTTCCCCCTCCCTCCCAAGAAAGATTTAAGACGAGAACAACACAGCCAGTAAAATCACTGGGCTGTCAATGATGATCTCATCCATCAGAGTTTTATCACGATCATGCGACTCTAAAATCCCGTCGAACGACAACTTAAGTACGTTTTACAATCTAAAATGTACATTTGCCACTTCGTGAAACTCGTAAATACGATGGGCCTTCTGGATGAACAGACAATAACAGTATAGAAAATGGGCTCGTGAATCAATCTTGTGTGGACCTTTGGGTTATCCCCTTTTATGAGTGGGGTTTCTCAAGGAGTCTTGTGGTTTACTGTCTCATGAAACATCTCCTTAATGAAATTGGCAGGGCTTAATTACAACCGACCCTATCCGAGGCTGAGCTCCAAAAAAAAATTCTCACCCCCCATTCCCCCACTGGGTGGGAGGAATAGTGGGGGGCAAGCTGCAGGGGATTGGGGCCCCCCCCAAAAAAAATATACATTCACAAACTAAGCTCTGAGAATTGACCAAATATCCCAATGTAGAACTCTCCTTAAAACCAAACCTTTGAGTCTCGTGATTTCCTGGATGGATAAACACATGCCCGTTGGGCTACAGGACCAGGAATGTCCACACTCGGTAAGAGCTTCCCTCTCACCGTACGCAAACGGGGAGCAGGATGTTGAGCTCGTTTGCACCGTGGGCATCGTAGAGGCCTCTTGAGTGCAAGCACATGCAGGTGTGGCGTACGCAAGGGTGCTCACCGTCCATCACGTCACGCATCGCTTGCGGAGAAGTGGGCCGGATCGATGGCTTTTGCCTCTCTTGATAACACAAGAGGCGATCGCCGCACATAGCGGCAATCGCCACATCGCCCACATTTGTTGGTGCACGGGACGTGATGCACAATCCATTTAGGCACCACAGTTATACAATGCACACTGTTGTAATTCTGAGTACACTCAGTGCTGTGAAATACCTGAGACTGGGAACTGCTACGAAGTGTCGCCGAAAAATTAGTATGCACCCAGTGCCCAAATAAAAATGTAACGTGATGATTTCTCAAGTTAGCAACCCCATACAAATGTAGATTTATAGTCTATGCATGTGCATATGCCACGGACAAATCAAACGTGTGTGGTTTGGTTTGATTTATGCATGTCTTCCCATTTGGCATATTCTATAGTTCTTTCATTGACATGGTGGATGGAGTACGGTATAATACCATCTCCAGCTGGCTTCCCAAATAGGAAACATTCATGGAGAAATGCAGGACACGACTGCATAAGTTTTGTAGTCCATCTACTTAAGGCATACCCCTCCCCCCATTTAGCTGCTCCCTTGTTGGGGAGTTGCTTTCCAAAGGCATTTCCATCCATCTGACCTGCCATCATTTTCACACCACCCTCCTTTTACAGTACAGTAGACTCAATTTCTGCACACCTCAGTATACATTTCCACTTTTTTGTAAATGTTATTGCAACAATTATTTCACACTATATAACATTAATATAATAATTGCAGTAAATACATTGTATATGATATTCCTAACTGGCAGTGGGCATTGCCTGCAATCGGCTTTCCCGTCACACACCAAAGGAAATACATTACATGGTATGGTCACTCAGAAAACAAACTTTTGTCCGACCTTATCTGTGCCAAGTTTCAGCTTTGCAGCCCTGCGAGAATATCAATAATGTCACTTGTATTTTGTCCGGTGCCTGCTGTTCCAACGTGTTGTCGGCTGACATGGCTTTTGTTAATATGAAGCCAAACCAGACAGACTGAAGATGTCAGAATGGTTGTACAGTATTTTCAAAGTACTGCTAAAGTAAAACAAAAACTTTTGAAAGTTAATGTTATGTTTCTGTGTTTCGTACTCGTGTGTGTTTCTCTTCCAGGACGGGTATGCCACTTGCACTTAGGATTTGTTTATTAATCTGCCTTCTTCATTTCGTCAAAGGTAAACGCCTTCAATTCAATCAGAAATCAAGCTACTACACCGTTCACCCCGCTATACAACACTGCCGTTTGATGTCACACATTTGTGTAATAAATACACTCTCAATGCGCGTACTTTTTTTGATCGCATTTTCCTGAGCACATGCCGAAAGATCGAAAATGCCAAGTGACCAAAATAAACAGCACACTAGAAATGCATTGTACTGTAATGTGTATCCCCCTGAATAATACAACGCTGCTGAGGAAAGCAAAATGGGGAAAACCACCTCAACGATACTCCCCCCAGCTACAGTTCAAGAATTCTAGTCAGCAGCCTAATTAGTGTTGTGGCAGAGGGGTGCCTTGCCCCCCATCCCCCCACCCACCCCGCGGTGATCAAAGCTACGACCTTTTGACAACCACCACGAGATTATTTTTTCGACAAAACTGTAAAAGAACACGAAATGATTTTGCTAAGACGAAGCGCCCCGATGAGCATTAACTGTTGGTGACCGTGAGCGCCATGATGTGACTAGGGCAAGACGAGTTTATCACGTGGTAGGCTTTTTTCGCGACCAATACCATCCATAATAGAGGGTTTTTTTGGGTTAGGTCGTGTAAATATCTAAAAGTGTCGTTAAAACCCGCCACCACCACCTGACACAGCCAACTAGTAAGGGCTGTCACGTAAACAGAACGTGGCCAATTCGTCACCAGTACAGCACACCGGTGTGTTGGAGAGCCAAGCCACAACATTTACACTGAGTACGACGTTTCGCGACCGTGCGAGACAAATCAAATATTGGTGCCCCACCTGGCCGATTTCCGAAAGCCCCTGAGCTGATGATGTAGTTGCGGCACTGATTCTAGTCCTGTGTGGAGTGTGGTCTTGTGGGGTGATTCATGGAGTGCAGGATTCTATGGGACGGAAGAGGCTAGTGCCATGGGACCTGGCCCTGGGCAGATAATTTCTAAAACAGTGATGACGGTAACACAAAATACTCCAAAAGTCTTGTTTTTGTTTTATACAGGTAACACTCCTCCAGTGTTTATAGGTAACCCGGTGTTTCAAATACGTGAAGACACGCCAGTAGGTAAGTACTGATGAGTTATGTGATGGGATTTATCATAGTTCACATATTTAATTTATACACTGCAAGTGAAGTAAAAACATATTCACTTGTCTCGACACAACTCCAACGTGGCACCTTCGTGACCAGATGTGAGTTAAACAAGCAACGATATCCCCTGATACCGTACGACACTGGCCAATCAAATAAACGCTTTTTCACATGGGGAAAGTAAAGTTGGAATTTAACGTGTTCAGTTGTAGATTTTAAATATTCCACCTTATTTTACAGTATTCTAATTATATTCTTGGTTCTTTCGGTAAAGTCACGTAGAATGGAAACAATAAAATAATAAAAATACAAAACAATAAAATATTATAATCTTAGCTCTTTCGGTAAAGTCACGTTGAAGGGAAACAATAAAATAATACAATATATAAAGCAATAAAAATTCTCACGACGTTTCGACCATAACACAAACGGTCGTCATCAGGTGTGTCGGTTTGCATTAATTTATTTTTAAACGGTGTATTTATTTATTTATAAAAACGTCAGCGCCACGCGCAGCGATTTGGCAGTTTATTTAGAAGGACGAGTCCATCTATGTTCTGAAAAGAGGAGGGGGGAGACGAAAAATTAATGTATGCTGTCTGAAAGCCACTGTAAGTGTGAACAATCAATTAAGACCTGAAATGGTTTATCAAATCTTTCCAATAATTGCTAAGCCAGAATCCATCTTCTCGGTTGAAATTGTCTCTGTGCTTGTATATGTGGATAGCCTCATGAACGAATCTCTCATGGTAGCCAGATGGCTTATATATATACACCCCCCCCCCACCCCCCGCGTGTTGAATGGTGCAAGGGGGCGGGTGGGGGCACGATTAGTGGGGGGCCGCATGGGTAGGGGGGGCATGGGGTGGGGGGGCTAGGCTTCAGGAGGGGAGGCTGCAGGTAGGGGGGATCCTTTGTATTATTTTATTGTTTCCATTCTACGTGACTTTACCGAAAGAACCAAGAATATGAATCCCTGCAGTCACGAAAGCTTTAAATCAAAAGTATTCTAATTGTGAGGAAAGGGTTTTTTTGTTAAATTATTTGATTGGCTACGCCCTCACTTGACATTACATGACCTTCAAAGTGGATTACCACAAAAATCGCAAATTAAATGCAAAGTACGACAAAGGGCCCGCTTCACCCACACCCCCTTTCCCTCAGCCGCCCCCCTCACCCCCCCCCCCCCGTATCTTTCCCAACACCCCCCATGACCCCCCCCCCACGTGCCCCGAGCCATGGGCCGGCCTCCCTGTACACCCATCCCCCCGCGTGTTGAATGGTGCAAGGGGGCGGGTGGGGGCACGATTAGTGGGGGGCCGCAGGGGTAGGGGGGGCAAGGGGTGGGGGGGCTAGGCTTCAGGAGGGGAGGCTGCAGGTAGGGGGGATCCTTTGTGATAATTTACTGGCGTTTGCAGTACATTAATGATCAGAATCTTTATTTATACTGCAGGAGGGATTCGATGATCTACGAAGCTCTTTTTCACAATGCCCCAGTATGGGCACGTCAGCAATCCGTAGATATCGCCGTAAAGTATCTCGTACGTTCAGGTGCTGTCGTAGTGCAATGGTTGGCACGCTGCACTTTGCAATCCAGAGGTCGTTGGTTTGATTTCTTTAATCTCCATACCTCTGTCCATCCACCCAACAGTATACCAATGTATGCACCACAGTTAGTCTGGTATAGAGGAGGTCGTGGGTTTGATCCTGACCCTGACGCCTGTTGTATATTTGGAGTTTGCGTCTTCTCTCTCTCTCAACCCGTGGTCACGTAGATTTTTTTCCGGATCCTCTGGTTTTTCACTCCACGTTTAGAAACATGCGTTTAAAGTATTTGGCTGCTATAACATTTCCATGTGATAAGCCACTTCGTTGAGCTATCATTTGTGGCCAGGTCACTTTTGTACAAGAGATATATAGCTCAGTGGGTATCACCTGGTAAAATACAAATGGTTTAGGTTAGTTTATCGGCGGCAAGTCGCGTGTCATGGGGTAAAGTGTGGTACTGCATCTTCTTCTGAGAGAAGGCCAGGATACCCTCTCGAGGGGCTGTCTAGAGCGGCCTTCTTTGAGCCGTTTCGAGAACAATCAATTGCAGGACTGCCCATTTACCTTTCACAGTTGGTGAAGTATTTTGTGTATGCTGCTTTTATAAACAACGAGGGGGTGGGTGGCCAGCACCACGTCCGGCCGCCTTTGTCTCTCCAGTGGCGATGTTCACACACCACACCAGTTACTCGTTTGAGGCTGAGTCGACCGAGGGGAGGTCCAGGACCGGTTAAAATAATCGTCACCGGTGGTGGCCGTGAGCAGGAATCGAACTCGGGTGGCCGGGTTCGTAGCGCGGCGTAGCGCTAACCACTACACTACAATGCGTTACGCTTCCACATGCGCGAGTCACGTGACAGATTTGACGTCACAGCTCACTTGCCGTGCAAAAAATATAAGCATTGTTGAGCTCCCCCTCACCAAAAAAAACCACAAAAGTGTATTTGAATAGTTTTTGTATGGTGTACCGTCTGGAAAGTACCCACATGGTAAATTTCAAGTTTGTTGCATGTCGGGAAGTACGCTAAACATTTTGAACAGACACACATATTCACAACTTTGCCTTTTATATATATGGAGACACACTGAAAAGAAAGCCTTTTTTTAAATGCCAGATGTTAGTCCTCACAAAAAATACAGAACAGTACACGATATTTAAAATATACATATGCATGTATTGTGTTCTCTGCTGTATTCTTCCTCCTGCAGGCGCCATTGTATTCACGGTGTTGGCACAAGATGACGATGGCGATCCAATTGGGTACAGCCTCAGAGGGTCTGAAGCGACTCGTTACTTCACTATCAATAGTGCCACGGGAGTCGTGACTCTGAAGTCTACCATAGACCGCGAGGTGAGTACTAAATTACCGAAACACAATTGCATAGCTACAGTGAGGGAAAAAAGTATTTGATCCCCTGCTGATTTTGTACGTTTGCCCACTGACAAAGAAATGATCAGTCTATAATTTTAATGGTAGGTTTATTTGAACAGTGAGAGACAGAATAACAACAACAAAATCCAGAAAAACGCATGTCAAAATGTTATAAATTGATTTGCATTTTAATGAGGGAAATACGTATTTGACCCCCTCTCAATCAGAAAGATTTCTGGCTCCCAGGTGTCTTTTATACAGGTAACGAGCTGAGATTAGGAGCACACTCTTAAAGGGAGTGCTCCTAATCTCAGCTTGTTACCTGTAGAAAAGACACCTGTCCACAGAAGCAATCAATCAGATTCCAAACTCTCCACCATGGCCAAGACCAAAGAGCTCTCCAAGGATGTCAGGGACAAGATTGTAGACCTACACAAGGCTGGAATGGGCTACAAGAGCATTGCCAAGAAGCTTGGTGAGAAGGTGACAACAGTTGGTGCGATTATTCGCAAATGGAAGAAACACAAAAGAAATGTAAATATCCCTCGGCCTGGGGCTCCATGCAAGATCTCACCTCGTGGAGTTGCAATGATCATGAGAACGGTGAGGAATCAGCCCAGAATTACACGGGAGGAACTTGTCAATGATCTCAAGGCAGCTGGGACCATAGTCACCAAGAAAACAATTGGTAACACACTACGCCGTGAAGGACTGAAATCCTGCAGCGCCCGCAAGGTCCCCCTGCTCAAGAAAGCACATATACATGCCCGTCTGAAGTTTACCAATGAACATCTGAATGATTCAGAGGACAACTGGGTGAAAGTGTTGTGGTCAGATGAGACCAAAATGGAGCTCTTTGGCATCAACTTAACTCGCCGTTTTAAAGCTTTCGTGACTGCAATGATTCATCTTCTTTGGTTCTTTCGGTAAAGTCACATAGAATGAGAATAAAATAATAAATTGATAAAATAAAATAACACAATAATATTCTCACGACGTTTCGGCCACAACACAAGCGGCCTTCATCAGGTGAAGGGATGAGACTGTCTGGTAGGACAGCGCTGGAGTGTCCTACCAGACAGTCTCGTCCCTTCACCTGATGAAGGCCGCTTGTGTTGTGGCCGAAACGTCGTGAGAATATTATTGTGTTATTTTATTTGATCAATTTATTATTCTATTCTCATTCTACGTGACTTTACCGAAAGAACCAAAGAAGGTTAACTCGCCATGTTTGGAGAAGGAGGAATGCTGCCTATGACCCCAAGAACACCATCCCCAACGTCAAACATGGAGGTGGAAACTTTATGCTTTGGGGGTGTTTTTCTGCTAAGGGGACAGAACAACTTCACCGCATCAAAGGGACAATGGACGGGGCCATGTACCGTCAAATCTTGGGTGAGAACCTCCTTCCCTCAGCCAGGGCATTGGAAATGGGTCGTGGATGGGTATTCCAGCATGACAATGACCCAAAACACAAGGCCAAGGCAACAAAGGAGTGGCTCAAGAAGAAGCACATTAAGGTCCTGGAGTGGCCTAGCCAGTCTCCAGACCTTAATCCCATAGCAAATCTGTGGAGGGAGCTGAAGGTTCGAGTTGGGACAACATCTCTCCTGAGAAGTGTGCAAACTTGGTGGCCAACTACAAGAAACGTCTGACCTCTGTGATTGCCAACAAGGGTTTTGGCACCAAGTACTAAGTCATGTTTTGCAGAGGGGTCAAATACTTATTTCTCTCATTAAAATGCAAATCAATGTATAACATTTTTGACATGCGTTTTTCTGGATTTTGTTGTTGTTATTCTGTCTCTCACTGTTCAAATAAACCTACCATTAAAATTATAGACTGATCATTTCTTTGTCAGTGGGCAAACGTACAAAATCAGCAGCGGATCAAATACTTTTTTCCCTCACTGTATAATCTAATTGAAATGTCAGGTTTACATTTTTACTTTTTTTTTAAGCACTATACTGTAGTGAGATTCTGCCGTGACAGATTGTTTGCCCAGGTGTAATGGTTTACAATCCAGCGGTTACCTGTTCAGTCTCCTGGCGTGGCAGTTTAAACAATGAGCAAGAATTTTAAATCACCCCCCCACCTCATCCTTTCGGCCATGTTCCCCGCTTTTGGCTGCCATTTATAAGCATTCATAAACAGAAGATAAAAACAATATTTACTGTATATAAGGCCAAGGATATTTCCATGAACTTATATTTACGTGATCTAACCCAAAAAAAACTTCTATGATGGATGATATTGGTCACGAAATCCTACGTGTTAAAATAAATATGTGAATGGGGGAACATGTTTTTAGCTTGTTTGTTGTGCATCTATCATGTTTTGCGTAACTGCTGTCAAGCATATTAAATTACTTGACGGTAGTACTGTATATCCCACATTTGGGAAGGTGTGATCATAAATAGTGTCTTGCTTTAATTCCATTTTCATACATCCCCAACAGGAATATGCTACCCCAGCAAAGAATGAGCAGTTTACAGTTGAAGCCGTCCTTACAGATGGAATTTATACTGTGAGTGTTTATGTTCTTTATTTCTCATCATCTCCACTTCTTGCTGATGGCCTCCCTACACGATTTGCCATCCCTCATGGTCCTGTGCTGCCACGATCCAGGATGAGAATCAGAATATGTATTTATACTGGAGGAATTCTGTGAGCTATAAAGATATTTTGTCACAGATGCTTTTTTTTCTTCACAGATCCATGTCGCTCCTGCGGGTGAACTGATGTCATCACTCCTCTCGAGCATACTCCCTCCTTTAGCTTCCGTTCTCTCGCCAGTCTTGTCCATTGGCCAGGGTCGCTTTTTAAGTAAAGTGTCAACATGTCTCTGGGTTGCACTTCTTCCCTGGTCCTTCCCTCGTCTGTTTCTCTACTTTTAATTCCATACGTGCATCATCAAGCGCTTATTTGTACACGTCAGACGTTCGCTGTGTATTGTTCGTGTTTCTGATGCGTATGTAGTGGATTAACATGCGCATACAGGGTGGATGGTAAAGACGCGCGAGTTATGGACAGTGGGGTCACGTCGGGCCGGCTAGGTGCGGCGGCGGGGAACTGTGATATAGAAACGGCCCTATTAAGTTGGTACGCGATGTACGGCTGTGATTGGCCGGGGTTGTTGTCAGGGGCGAAGTGGCGCCGGAGTGTCTGGTGATAGAGGGGAGCGAGCGACAAGTACGGGGGACGCGGGGCCTCGTGGGCATGCCGCCTAATGAATTGGTTGTTGATGAGAACGGGAATATATTCGGGAGACGGAGTGAGCGAGGGGAGTTGTGGCTGGGACTGGGACGGAGCAGGTCGGGGAGAAACGGGGAGAAGACATAGGAGACAGAACAGGCTAGCAGTGGAGCAGAGACAAGCAGAGACAAGGAGAGACAAGGAGCGACTGAGAGCAATAGAGACGAACAGAGACAAGCAGAGACAATCAGCAACTGAGAGCGATAGGGATGAGCAGAGAAGAGCAGAGACAAGCAAGAGACAAGGAGCGAGACAGAGATACAGAGTGGGACAGGGACAGAGTGTAACAGAGACAGAGTGATACAGAGACAGAGTGAGAGCGAGATACAGAGACAGTGAGAGAGAGAGACGGAGACAGCGAGCGACGGAGAGAGAGACAGCGAGCGACGGAGAGGGACAGTGACGACAGTGAGTGACGGAGAGAGACAGTGACGACAGCGAGTGACGGAGAGAGACAGTGACGACAGCGAGTGACGGAGAGAGACAGTGACGACAGCGAGTGACGGAGAGAGAGAGTGACGACAGCGAGTGACGGAGAGAGACAGTGACGACAGCGAGTGACGGAGAGAGACAGTGACGACAGCGAGTGACGGAGAGAGACAGAGATGACGCGGAGAGACAGTGAGGGATAGGGGAGGAAGCGGAGCGAGCGAGACGGGCGGAGCGCGGCGACCGAGCTGCCGCAAGTAGAGGAATGATGAAGTCACAGACGTAACGTGGAGAGTTGTAATAAAAGTGGTGTCGGAGAAAATAATAGGTTGTCCCCTTGAAGTCAACCACTACACGTATACAATGGCGGTTAATATGCCCTGGTTGAAAACTTTTTTAAGATCTGCTGGAAAGAATTGGTCCAGGAAAAAACATTGTGCAGTACTGTTTTTTTCCAGGTGTTCCTCAAACAATTGTTTAATTGAAATATATTGATGTGCCATCCTACTTTATATGGAAAAAACATTCATTTGAAATGACAAGACATGCATACACATATAAATATTTACACATAAGCTGATACATATACACACGGACTTGTAAACATTGAAGCTAAATAAAACATACGTTAACTCGCATTTGCAAAATATCCGAATGCTGAATTTCCTGCATAACGGATGTCAAATGCGATCTATTATTAATGATCTCATAGCCCATTGACTGATTGCTGTTTCAGTATAATCCTGATTGGTCAGGCGAAACGGCCACTGACAATTGACAGTCTTTTCCACCGGTGAGCATTGGATTGGCAAGTGGATTCAAACGGGATTAGACGGGAGTTTGGTTACTTTGTAACGGTGGCGAGAAGGTTCTAGACGCAGGGGTCGTGAGTATTTAAGGGATGGGAGAGGAGAGCTATGTATCCATAAAAGATATCCCTATGGGTAAACTGCCAATAAAGTAAGCTGTGAAGAAGTGTGAATGAAGCCAGAAAGGTCGTAGATTTAAAAATATAACATTTTTATGCACATCTATAGACGACCGTAATGACTTAAAGCTTTTGTAACTGCAGGAATTGATATTCTTGGGTCTTTCGGTAAAGTCACGTAGATAGGTTCAAAGAAAATAACAAAAAACTACGATGTTTCGATCGAAACACAAGCGGGCGTCTTCAGGAAAAGAGGGGTTAGCTTCCAAGGGTTTGAAATGGGCGTAGCCCAAATGTCAGCAGCCAATGATAATGTAAGTGTTCGGCAGCGAGCCTGGCGGTGGTTCGTTTTCCACCAATCAAAGGGCTGCCAGGTGAAAATGAGCATGTTAAAGAGAGATTAGCATGTTAATGGGAGATCTCAGAGCCTCAACCAAGGGGTCCGGCGCGTGAAGTGACTGTGAAAGCGCAAGTTTGAAGTGGGCGTAAAGTACAACTCACATCGGAAGGTGGTAGGATGGGAACATCACAGCCAGTTATGACTTAAACTTGTTGATAACGTCCTTCCAATGATTGCTCAGTTTGTACCCATCTTCTCGGTTGAAATTGTGTCTGTGTCAATATATATGGATGGCTTCATGAACGAATCTTTGTTGATAGTCAGTGGGCTTGCAAAGTTCCTTCGTCTTAGATAAATCCATCTCGTGTGAGCCCACCGCATTAAAACAATTATTAGCCACGGCCGAGGTATTGGTCCTACCGTGTTTTAGATCTGCCTTATGTTCACGAACACGGTCCGAGACATGTCGCTTAATTTCCCCAATGTAACTACTGCCGCAGGCACAGCTTAGTTTGTAGACGCCGGGGTAGGAGGCAGGGCACCCCTTCTCTCTCCCCCCCTGTAGCCGATCTCTCCAGTGCTGCCGCGGTGGTCCACTTTACTCCAGTGACCCGGGTGCTGCTGCGGGGTCCACTTCTTCCCCACCTCCACCCCCCCCCCATTCTTTCTCCCTCCTTACTGCCGAGGCCTATATAACCTCGTGCCACAGCAGATCTCTCGCCTACTTCAGCAGTTTTGTCTTGCTGTGGTTGTCCCACCTGATAACGATTGCTTTTGTTGAGTATGGATTCCTGCAGTCACGAAAGCTTCAAATCAAAATTGAATGTTATCGTGATATTTTATTTAAAAAGTTTTTCCTGGCTGCCCGGTGCACGGCCAACTGCAAGTGTGCACATCTGCGTGATGACGTTGCACTGAGTTCGTGCTGATATGCCTTGGTGATTTCTGTAGAGTATATTATTCTGGAAGGACATTAAGTCTTGTTTGCTTTTCATGGTGAAATATTAATAACGTTGCTGATTTTTTTACTTTTTAGGTTGACAGAGTTCTGACAATCCTCACTGTGGATGTCAATGACAACTTTCCAGAGTTTAAGGAGCTTCCGTATCAAATTACTTTAGCAGAGGTAATGGCAGAGATCACATTATCACGATTTGTATCTATCCAGTTAGGATACGGTAATGGGTTTCATTAAACGGTGTAAAAATGTTTTTATTCGCAGAAAAAATATGTAAATGAACATTTTTTTCGCGCCATCGCTGAAGATAAAGATGGTGGAAACCTTGGCAGAGTTGGCTACATTATGGAGGCAAGTTCATCCTTTTACACCGCACGATTGCACGTTTATTGCTAGGCCTTGTTTGGACAACAGCCTAAAACAGAATGTATATACACGTGATTTCCCGATCAATATTTTTTATTAATCGGCAACATTTAAAAAAGTATATTTAGTGTTTTACGATGCGTCCGTGGTGTCATGGATAGAATACATATGTGGGTGGTAAGCCAGCAATGCAGGCGAGCGTCGGTGGATCACACAAACATTGTTAAAAATTCCTTCCCGTGGCTGTCGAGGTGCAACACCCTGGCTTGCCAGGAGAAGGCGGTACAGCAAATGTGCAATCCACCTATTCCATCTCTGTGGGATAGAGTGTTGCCCATTCGCACGTGTTGGTGCTCCGGTTTCCTAATTGGGCGCTAATACTTTAATATATAAAACTGCAGAGCTTGGAGGGGAATTTGATGTCGGCTCACCGCCTGGCTACCTTTCCCGCTCGTCTGCGGTTCCTCGCGCCTCTGAGTTGGTCTCTCTCTTTGGGAACAAGCGAATACTTTGCAGCACATTACAACTTGATATTATTGTTATACCGGACGTGTAATCTGGAGTTTGCCGGTTCAATTCATTTACCCGCTATCTGTGGTCTAGGAAATAATGGGCAACTTTCTCAATTCCCCCCACCTCATCCTATTGGACGCCTTTGGTTGCCATTTGCAGACATTCGTAAACAGAATGTTTTAAATATCTTTATTGCATATCAGGCCATGAATGCTGCCCGTCATGTAACGGTTAGCAGGGCTGGACTTTGTAAGCCAGATGTAACCAGTTAGAAATCCCCCCGCAACAGTTAATATGATAATGGTGCTAGTTTTTACGTTCATTAAATTCCATCCCCACCTTCTGCCTCTGTGCACCCACAGTATAAGTGGGTACACTGCATTACGTGCGGTAGGATAAAACCGCAGATACTCCTATCTCTCCCAAGCCACCTCGCCAGCGTGGAAGAGAAGGCCAAATTCCCTCTCTTGGGGGTTCTCTCAAACTCCTTGTAGCGGAGGACCTTCCTCCCGAAGTGGTGTGAGCAAGCAATTGCTGGACGGCACCTTTGCTTTTGCCATCGATGTTTGATGAATATAATTCATATCATGTGGATAATTATTTAACATTTCTTGATTTTGACAAGAATTTAATACAACGTAAGTATGTTACGTTGTATTCAAAAAGTATGAAATGTAAACATAACAAAAACACAAAATTTTGTGTGTTATGTATCATCTGGAGGTTTCGTGGATAATAAATAAATATACTAACACAAAAGCAAGCCCATCTCTCCACATGCTAAAATAGGGCACTGTTACTAATGACAACATACCCCACTGCTGATAAGCAACCAGCATGTTGAAACCAGTCCAGAGTTCACTTGCTTCAACGCATCCTGCTTTAACACATTTGCCCCGAGGCCCATAAGAGCTGATACACTGGGAAAAGAAAAATTGTGGCATCAATAAATGCATTACTTCACTGATATTGCTGTGTCAAAATAAAAGGGCAAATGATTGCACTGTATTCACGATTTCCATACAGCTATGAATAGTATTATATTACTGTACTGCTGTGTGTCTTAAAACAGTGTCAGTGATATATAGTTTATTGTAAGTAAAACCTCTCATAGCTGATGTATGCCTATGACCATATCACCCAGAATTCACCCAATCTCATAAGACCTCAGAAAACAAACAGGGTTGACCTTGGATAGTTGGTTGCATGGGTGACCGCAATGCATAACAGGTGTTATAGGGTGCTGTGGGAAGCAGAAGCCGGTGCAGTAAAATCCACTGCTGAACTGCACGTTTACGGTCCCGCATCTACGCTCCCCGCTTCCACAAGCCCGCACTTGCCATGTTGGTGAAATATGGTCACAGACAATCACGGTCATGTATGGCCATGTATGGTCGTACATGTATTACATGTCAATATGTATGGCCATGTATGGTCGTACATGTCAATATGGTGATGTATGGTCATGCATGAAATATGGTCACAGACAATCCACACATCTGGCTTGGTTTATAGAGGGCCCTCTTCCAGCAGTGAACTGACAAAGTACTCTACACGACCAATAACAGTGGCGAAATTTTGAACCAATCATGTCTCCTCCCTTAGGTCAACTCGGCCTTAAACTCATTTCTTTAGAACTGCTTTTTGTGTTTAGTTTGTTGTCCTTCCCCCGTACCTCCGATTAGCATGGTTGGCTACGTACAGTGTCAAAGAAGTTCAACATACATACATTTATATATCACTACTATGATATACATATTGCATTATTGCCTTAAAGTACAATATTGTATATATTGTAAGTACAATGCACATGACAACAAACAATAATAATGGCAATGCTTTGCCTGCTGCTGTTGTTTCCAGGTTGTTCCGAACATAAGCATATTCAGAATAGATGCCAACAACGGAAGTCTCTTTATCAATGGAGAACTTGATTACGCTGAAAACATTGTCTATCAGATTAAGATCAATGCTTCGGTGAGTCACAATTTGTTCACTTAAAACATTAAGGGACCGAGCTCGGGCAGTGGTGCACAGGGGACAATTCTCAAAGCACTCACCACATGAGTCTGTAACGCCGCCCTTTAATGGGAAAAAATATATAAATATACCAAGCATACATTTGAGGCAAGGACGCTTGTTCGGAGCCACTCAGTATAGTTTACATCTTTTCCAATTTTAAGGCAGTGTTCATGAATATGGATGAAAGATTTTTTGTTTTCCAGAAATGGATGATTTTTTTTATCAAGAGATATTTGAGAAACAATTCGTTTTCGAAGGAATGTTGGTTAAAATAGAGATTACTGTAAAATGTGAAACAAGTTGAAACACATTTCTTGCTGATGTTGCTGAATCTCATTAACTAACATATGTCTCATTGCCCAAAGATAAGATAACTGTAGCAGGGTTGATAATAAGTGAGCAGCATGGTTTTGACTGCTTAGGTAGCCACCGGACTTAAGCATTTTAAAATCTAAATTGAAACCTATTTTATTTAAACTGCCTTTTGTATTTAGTTTGTTGTCCTTCCCCTGCACCTCCGATTAGCACGGTTGGCTATGTAGGGTGCAAAAGAAGTTCAGCATACATTCTAATGTCCCTACAATAGTGCTGTGGTGACAACACTGAAATCCTGAGTTCATATATGGGCTGCTATCTCGAAAACGAATAGGAGAGCTAAAACGTTAACGCGATTGTATACGGTGACTGGATGGTGTTGTGTTGTTGTGTTCAGGACAAGGGAGACATCCCGATGAGTTCAGCTGCAATTCTGATCGTTAACGTTGAAGACAAGCCCAATCTGCCGCCAGAATTCAGAAATGAAATTTACCAAAAAAACATAATGGAGAACTCACCTGTGGTAACATCACGACCGAACATGTACACGCCAAAAACACATTTGATACATTTCAAACTTTGCGCAGCTAACTTTGATTGCAGTAATATTATAAACTTATGTTTGTGCATTGCAGAGTAAAAAAAACACACATTCATCCACCCTGTAGCGCAGAGAGTGAGTTGAGGGAGTGGCTCGCAATCAGAAGGTTTTGAGTCCAAACTGTGGTAGGGGGTTGACTCAGCCCACCATCCCTCTGGGTAACACAATAAGGGGAAGTCGAAACTGCTTTTCCTATTGATATATGTCCCCCTGTCAGAGGAATTATGGAATTTTCCACCACTGGTTCTGGACTGTAAACAGATGGGCACCACTTCAATGCTCGTTTAATCAATCAATCAAACTTTATTTCTATAGCACTATTCGTGCAAAAAAATCAATACATACTGCATTACAGGCATGAACAATAAAAAAAGACATGATAAAAATACCACATTAAGAACATCCTAATTAAAAGCAAGTTTTAAAAAGTAAGTTTTTTTTAGATTTATTTTAAAAGTGCTTCATGATTCTGAAGCCCTCATATCCCCTGGCAGGCTGTGCCGTAGGTGAGGACCGTCTACACTAAAAGCCGCTTCTCCAGGAAATCACATTGACAAACTTTATTTTCGAGTCAATTGTTTTGCCTCTGTGCTTTGGCGCTTTCAGATGTTAACGCTACCGTAGAGTAGCTGAGATAATGCCTTACTCTGTTAGGAACAATTCTGAAAATTGTCAGAGGCAGTAGTCCCACAAATCGACTGGCTGTTGTTCACGTACTTCACGGGAACAAAGTAGCTGATGGCCATCGTGAGAAACTACTAATCCACTGGCTGTAGGCACGGAGCACTAGTTCAGCAACCCCATGGATTTTTCTTCCTTCTGTTCAACTTTGGGCCATGTTGACAAACTACAGTGGGCAACATAACAAAGCATGAGAGGTGATATGAATGTACAAATACGTGATTAGCCAGATTGGATGTGTTTTTTTGTCCCAACCCGTTCACTTACATTTCTTATAGTCTGTACATGCTCTTGATGTGTAATCAGTCTTGTTGTTTGTTTGTTTGCTAGGACACTTTTGTTTTGTCTGTGACAGCTGTGGACGGGGACAAGGGCATCAACAATCAAATTGAATATGAACTTAAAGGTAACGACTATTTCAATCAAAATAATTAAAGTGGCAGCTTTTAGCCCTGTTAGTTCTTTCTGCATATATATGGCTGCGTTTGGATAGAAAGAATTCTATTTCTGGGCTGCTTAGCCACGAGATGGGTGACACCCAAGTGAAACTCTTCCATTGCCTCCGTCGAAATATATCTGAGGGGACAAGTGTGGATGATGTGCTCCATAGTTCGTGTTTCACAACGACAGACCCCCTGCGCCGGATTTCTTTCATCTTGCATCGGTCTAGTAGTTGCCATATCGGCTGTAGGATGTTCATATTGGCCCTTGTGAATTTATTGAACGATGACAGAACCCAGCAAACAGGTGACTGTCGTTAATCTGAAATCAGGATGCCTCAAACAGGTTTGAAACTGCCTTCTTGTGAATTTTTTTTTTTAAATCTTGGTCAGGCCCATCCATAATAGCACTCAATTGACGGTGTGTAACAGTGCTTTCGAAATTATACGAGGGACGATGCAGTGATATCACAGTGACACCACCGGAGTGCTGTAGTTACACACTGGTCCGTAACTTTAAAAGTCGTTAACATTCTAGGTACGTGTATCTAAAGGAGCTCTTTGTCGTTTGGGCAGTGTTTTTAAACGAGGCGCCATTTACCAAACTACTCTTAACGGTGTTCAAAAAATTCAAGAAAAATGAGTACTCTACGATTATTATTATTATTATCATGCTGGTTTACCCAGAAAAAGCCTCACTGAGTCTCAAGGCTTTTTTCAGAAGAGTTCTGCCAAGTATTTGAAGTGGTGGGGGCAGGGGACAACGTTCCAATGTGTCATCAAAATTGAGTAATTTGCCTGTGATAATTCAGTATTGGGTTGTTTGGCCAAGACCATCTTGATAAAAATGGCTATTGTATGTATATTATTCTAACATTGCCTTCTCTTATTCAATTTATTCATACTATTATTTTGCTACTGCTTAATTTATGGTTGCAGTGTATGTTTTGCTACAAAATCAGACATCAATAGTGAATGTGGTATATGTTAATTCTATATCAGTGAGGTACACATTATATATAATAGAATTGAGATAACAACATAGTGCAGTGCTGACTAAAAATTGGGTTTAAATTACTTTAAAGCAAATCTGTTTTTAATTCTTAAACATATGTTCGGGTTGAGTCTACACATTTCTTAAAGTAAAATATAATAATGCTTTTGCAACATGTAAATGTTTTGCGATGTTCTTACAACTTCGTGGAAATGCTTCAAACGTGGAGCTGGGTGAATTGCATGGTTTAAATCTGGAGCGGTGTGCCCGCAAAATGAAACATCGAGATCTCGATGTAAAATGTTTTGCTTTTACTATTTAGAAAGGAATGTCGTGTGTGTCCTGCTCTTCACATTTCTCCAGGTGACATGAACGGCAATTTCAAGATTAACCGTGCAACTGGGGAAATACAAACGGCCGCACTTATTGACCGGGAAAACACCACCTACATCCAGCCCGGTGATACCATCACATTCTATGTCGAGGTTCGTATCATTAAATAACAACAGCAATAGTGTGGTTTGTGACCAAGTCACACCTTGCTTAAGACCAGCTCACCCAGAATGCACCCGATCTCATCTGATTGCAGAAGCCAAGCAAAATCTGAGCCTGGGATAGTGCTTGGATGGGTGATCGCCATGCACGTGTTACAGGCTTCTGCAGGGCTGCGTGGTGACCAGCAGAGGGCACTGCGGCAAAATCAGATGTTGTGCTGTACTTCTGTGCTCCCACATATATATGGCCCCATGCATTTACCAGCGTGGTGGTGTATGGTAAATTAAACCCCATGACCAACAGGCCTTTGGCAGTGGGTGGGGGGGGGGGGGGTTCTTCCAGTGCTTGATTGTACAAAGGCTGCGCAATAATTCTACGAACATTAAATATATTTCTGTGTAATTGATGATCGTGTTAATACTCACTGCTGCAGTTCATTAAACTATTTCAAATCACGTTGTCGGCACAATTTAATTGTGTTTTTTTTTACAATGGTGTGCATGTCATATTCCTTCCCAAGGCTTCTGAGGTACTAAGTGGCGATCATAATGGTCCTTCCACCGCCACAGCTACAATCATAGTGACGGTGATGGATGTCAACGACAATGAGCCCACATTTTACCTGAAGATGGCCGACGAGCCCGTGGGCAGTATTAACAGCACGTTTAACGTGCACTTGCCCGAGGAGAGTTCACCCGGGTCACCGATCTCAAACCTCAACATGTACATAAGGGACCCCGATAAGGTAAGCGATCACCTGTTAAGATTGGGGCAGCACCAAGGAGGTGAAGGGTCTGGCCGGCTACATGCCCAACCACCTGCCCTCCCAGTCATACACAACGCAACAGAGGTACCCATTTAAGGCCGAGGGAAACCTAGTGGAGGCCCAGGACAAGTAATATTACTCGGCACTGGTGTTATCCATCAATGTGGACTGAGCTGAGGTTGCTGAGATTGTAGCGCGGTGCGCTAACTGATGCGCCACTTCTCCCCAAACAGAAAGATCAGCACACACTTGCAAAGCTGAAGTTACAACTATGACTTGATTTTACAGTGCTGTGCATTTTTATATGGCGAGAATTTGTTTTCACATTTGAACTGTGTGCACGGTATATATAATCATGAAATGCACAGTTAATGTAAATATTATACTACGTAGGTATTGTACCTACGTAAGAGTGTCAGACAATTGAAGTTCCCGAGTGTATTTCTGTGTACTGTACACATAACAATAATTGTTACGCATGGTTGTAATCGGATGTTGCCGTGGTGTAATGGTATCACACTGGACTTCCAAGCCTAGAGGTTGCCGGTTTGATTCATTCTTCCGGCAAGGCATGTGCTGGGATAAAGTGTGGGTACTTCCACCTCTTCCACAGTGTCTGGCCCTGCGTGGAAGAGTAGATAAAAAAACAACCCATCAGAGGGGTTCCTTTGAGCCTCCTCTAGTGGAGGCCCTTCCACCAGCAGTGGTGTGAGCAAGGCAAATTGCAGGGTTGCGCCTTTGTCTTTATTTGTTCCTACTCTCGTTGAATTAAGCTGAGGTGGCAGCAGCTTTTGGTAGAGACATTTAACGTTGCAACATTTTTTTTTTCCACATTCAGAGGGAGAATGGCGAAGTTATCCTTTCCATAAACACAACAGTCTTTGAAATCGTGCCCAGCTTAATCATTAATGAAGGCCCTCTCACCATCCGAGTCAAAGATGCAAGTCAGTTGGATTATGAAGAGATCCAAGTGTTATATGTGCAGGTATGGCACTCACCATCCACAGAGACACTCGGCAAATGTCCAAACACAATAATTCACTTGTCAGTATCACCAGACACAGAAAAAGAAACAAAATTAAACGTCTATAACAAAAGATTGCACTTTTATTGGCCTATACAGAAATATGTACCTTGATTAGTTTTGTTGAACTTGCTGTTCGCCGTCTTTGTTTTCCCACTTAACTTGGCCCCAACTCCACATACTTCATTAAGTTCTTCTAAGATCTCCTTTTGTTAACCCCCATTGAGCATTATGTCACCAGAAAATCAAGAGGTGTTTAATGTTTTCTCCATCTATATGTATGCCTTGGTCAGTGCAATTCCAAGCATGTACTCCTCCTTGCTTCGATGTGCACTTGTCAGATTTCGTTCCGTTACATGTTTTTTCGTCACGTTGAACTTCTTTCACACCGTATGTAGCCATCCGTGCTAATCGGAGGTGCTGGGGAAGGACGACAAAAAATGTACTTATATTTTATTGTTTTGAAAAGACACATGTGCCCATCTGCTTCTTCCTATTTGTCATAAATAACTGCGAACTCATTATAGAGTTAGCATGAATACAGGATTCTGCCCAAATTAGAAGTCTGTGTCTCTTTGTACTTACAGGTCAATGCCACAAATGGTAACTTCACCACGACGGCCATTGTGACTATTAACCTCGTCGACATTAACGACAACAGTCCAATATTTTCTGCCCAAGAATTCTACGTCAATGTGTCAGAGGGTGCAAGTGATGGTGACTTTATACATATAATTAATGTGAGCTCTGCATACACACACACACTTATAGAGCACATGTACACACATTCATTAGCACAATCAAAAATCGTTGCTTGAAGGCAGCATCAGTTTTGCTCCCAAGATAAGTGACAACAAATATTTGTCGGCAAAGTATTGTTTTTTTTACGTTCGTCAACGATGACTGTGAGTGGACGAAAATGATCGTGCGTGACGATGTCTGCGACTCCTGACCACCAATGACCTAAGAACTATGAATGAAGACGCAGACTTAAGACAATTGAGTAAGGTTATACGAGCCTGCAGTTTACTGAGGAAGACAAAGTCGTTATTATATATTAATAATTTAATTCGTTGATTGATTGACTTGATAATATTTGGGAGGGTTGGGGGGGAATTGCAAGCCTCTCTCGTGACCTTTTTATACAACTAAGAGTGGACTAACATTTTTACCGCTTTAGTCGATTAATCTAAGGCCTGTATTCCTAGGCACGGTTCGTTTCAGGCTTGGCTCAGGTGAGGTGGCTCAAAGCCACGCTTAACTTGAGCCGGTTCTGAGCACAGTCCCCCCCAGCCAGTCTCAGGATTTCGGTGAGCCGAGCCATGGCTGAGCCGCCCATGCGTTTTTGAAAGGAACCTAGCGGCTCAACCCTGAGTCGAGCGGCTCAAGCCTTGAGCTGAGCTCTGTAAGAGGCAAAGTCAGAGTCGAGCCGCGACTAGGAAATACTGCCTGAAGAGAACGACTAAAATAAAAAAAAATCCTCGTATACTAGAAGATATCACATCTCTTAACATAAATGTCCTTTTACAAAATGTCTTTCTCTTGCCCAGGCTACCGACAAAGACTCAGGAAGATTTGCAGAAATATCGTTCAGCCTTTCTGGTGCAACAGATGTGTGAGTATCGCTAGTTTCAGCTACTGTGATGCATTACAGTAAAACCTTGGATTGCGAGCATAATTTGTTCCGGAATCCAAAGCACTCGTATATCAAAGCACTCGTATATCATTCTATATTTGAAGCTTTCGTGACTGCAAGGATTCATACTCTTTGGTTTTTTCGGTAAAGTCACGTAGGTAAAATAAAATAAATGAAAACTAAATTAAATCACGACGTTTCGGAAGCAACACAAGCTTCTGTCTTCAGGTGGAACAGACACAGCAAAATTAGCTGTATCAAGTGAACAGCTCTGAGACACACGAGATTATATACAGGTTAAGGGGGGGGGGAGCCAGGGAGGGACGTTGGTGGGAAGGGGAGGGCTAAGTTAAAGCCACCTTTTATTATTCTGCAGGGGGTTCTGGGGGAGGCGGTGGTGTACTTGCACGTAAAACCACCTTTTGTTATGCTGCAGGGGGTTCGGGGGGAGGGTGATTGCGTGCTGCACGAGAGCGAGCACAATCCTGGTATAAACGGAGATGACTGTATAATTATAAGCCAGCTAAAGTTTGACTTGGTTGATGACATCTTTCCAAAAGTTGCTCAATTTAAAACCATCCTCTCGGTTGAAGTTGTGTCTATGTTTGTATATCTCGTATATCAGTTGTGATCACGTGATGCTCGGCAGACAAAGCATATACGTACTACTCGTATTGCAAGAACTAGCTCGTTTATCAAATTAATATATATTTAAAATTTTTGCTCGTCTTGCAAAACACTCGCAGACCAAGTTACTCGCAATAAAAGGTTTTACTGTACTTTATTGTCGCCGATAAATGTACGTATGCTGAGCTTCTTTCACACCATATGTAGCCAACTGTGCTAATCGGAGGTAGGAAACGTCATTTTTTAAAATACTGATCTGTATCTGCTGGCCCAAGCACAATGGTACATCCATCCTATGGCATTTCGAGAACTGTTTCAATCAGAGTTGTACCTGGTCTGTTCTACTGGATTTGTCTACATGAAGAAGGTAATGGATTAAACAGTGGTTGTTTTCAATTAAATTTCGATTTAAAGCTTTCGTGACTGCAGGGATTCATATTCTTGGTTCTTTCGGTAAAGTCACTTAGAAGGGAAATATTGTTTTATTTTGGTTATGTTATTATTTCCCTTCTACATGACTTTACCGAAAGAACCAAGAATATGTTTTCAATTAGTTTCCCATTTGCTCCGTCTCCAGGCACCAGTGAGGCTAGATTAATATTCTCTCGAGCAAACCCCTTGATAGGGTTGGTTTACGAGGGTTTTCCAGGTTTGGGGACAGACCCAGGTTATCATTTTGAATCTCGTATTTGAAGCACCACAATACCTCACCAAACGCGTTGGGGGTTACGTCCGTGGTGGGCATAAACTGCGTTCGACAGATAATAGACCTCGTGGGGAAAATATGGTTGCGTTCCTTGGTACGACATTATCACCCCCTCTTTGTTCAACTTATTATTCTATGTGATTCCCCCCCCCCCCCCTTGTTATCATGCCAAAAAAACACATGAAATATGTCATGTTAAATTATTAATTAAATATGGGACAAAATGAAGCACTTATAAAAACGTTATGAAAAATTGTATTTTATGTACAATGAATGACGCCGATGATGAAGGCGAAGAAGAAGATGATGATGATAATGATGATATTGGTGGGGGTGTTAGAGGGGGCTTAGACGTGCAGGGAGACCGCATGCGAGTGTTGGGGAGGGCAGATGGTCACGAGATTTTCCCCGCAGCATCTACTGTACTCGTCGAACACGGAGATGAGAATCTTAGTGGCGTCAAAGCGGCCCAGGGCCGAAACGTCACCCCCCCGTGTTCCGGTAAAACGTACCTCAATAAGTGAACCGTGTGGTGTATAACCAAAACATGCGTTCGATAAAACAGCGTTGTGCAAGACAGATCAGCAGTGTCTGGTGCATACAATGTCTTCCTCTGAAGCTATAGCCAGTAGATGTGCTCAAAAACAGTGTTTTATAAGGCATTTATCTTTTAACCAAAGTTGAACAGTCAGTTCAGGGTTTAAAGACTGAACTGTACACAACCGGAATATAAACTGGAAGGGTGAAGTAGTTACCTTAAACTTTCCATGCCAATAATCTATACCACATACATTTCTCAAATAAACAACCGTGTAACTGTTTTTTTTTTCTCCCGTTAACTTGCAATTCATGTGCACGATACCGCTTGCAAAATGGCAGAGCAGCCATTTTACATTTTCACCTGACCGACACAAGGACAAACTCTCTCACCCACTTCATGCGAGCGCCATGAAATGGCAGCTCGTTGACCTTTGGAATCGTTTTACAGCCTCCACTCGAATGCCTCAACGGCTGCAATCTCACCGATACGACGATTAACAAAAAGCCAACAGCGACGAACGTTAAACGGACTCCGCAATCTGTTTTTGTGCGCGCAGGAGGGACACGTTCCAGGTGGACAATGTGACGGGAGCGCTAAGCGTGCGCGACAAGAGGCAGCTTGACCGCGAGACGAAGCCTGTGTTCTACGCCAACGTGATCGCCATGGACGGCGGGGGCCGCGTCTCGAGCGTGCCCCTGCAGATCAACGTGTTGGACGTCAATGACAACATCCCCCGGTTCCAGCAGATGACCTACACGGCATTCTACAAAGAGAACATGGTCAACGATCCCATTTTAATCCTGGTAGGACGTGCTCCGCGTGCGGTTTTACCAATGCCAAAGCTCCTGTTTGTACTAAATGAATATATTTTAAACCCGAATTTAGTTTTGCAATCTCTATATTATCCAAGGACTCGGTGGCTTGTTCAGTTGAAACACGGTTGGCTGTGTACGGTGCGAAAGAAGTTCAATATGCAAATATAAATACTAAAGTTATATAATTCCACCACGGTCGATCGACAGGGTATGTGTGGTAGGGCAAAGTGTGGGTATTCCCGTGTCTTTCTCAACGTGGAAGAGTAGGCCAAAAGACAGCCTCTCGAGGGGGTTCCTCTGGAGCCCCCCTCTCGTGGAGGCCCTTGCACCGGCAGTGGCATGAGCAAGAAATTGCAGGGCCGCACCTTTCGCCTCTATTCACGTGCACAAACATTGCAGAGGGCGCCATGCTCCTCTTACAAAAACGAGTGTCATGTTAAAGGAGCGTCTCGTAACACTCGGTGGCGGCGGTTGCTGTTGCCTCCTCTTGTTGATCACCTGGCACGGCGAAGGCCACGGATAAAGATGAGGAAGGCACCCAGAACAGCAACATCACGTACTCCATCTTCGGGGGGGACGACTTCTCGAATTTCACCATCGACGCCACCTCGGGAGTGCTGATCGTCAGCGGGCATCTGGACGCAGAGTCCATGGACCCGTCGCTGAATGGGACGTTCAGGCTCACGGTGATGGCAGAGGATCAGGGAAATCCTCCGCTCAACTCCACCGTGTCGGTCGTCGTCAAGGTGGAGGTGAGTTGGACGCGCCGTCATCCGCTAACGTCACCTGTCTGATGCCGCCCAGCGGCGCAAAACAACCGGATTTCCCATTGCAGCCTTTCTACTGATCTCTCTCTCTTCTTCTTCTGCATGCATGCACCACCACATGTGCGCAAGGTTTCAATAATATAATGAATTATGACAATGAAGTACAATCGCAATATTAACAATAAAACTTTTGAGTAAAATAATAATAAAGACTATGTCACGACAAACGCTGTTTAACATTCTTAATGATGTGTATTTTGTTAGGATTTGAATGACGAAACTCCGGTCTTCACAAAGCCGGTGTACACTGCTTCCGTCCCAGAAAACGCAATCGCAGGTGACATTACAATGTTGACATTGATTTGTGTTAATTGTGCTAAAGCATATATATTAGTAGAATGCCTCTTTATCTGCAACCATATCACCCGCGAAAACTCATTATCCGCACCCCAATTATTCTTATTCTGCACGATTATCCACGAATTCCCCCCCCCCCCCCCCGAAGATATGTGAAGTAAATTGGCAGAGAACATTGCAGATAATAGGATCCCCGATATTCATCCCCTACATCACTGCAGAGTTCTACTTTGCCATATACAGGACGTCTTGTATGCATCTCAGTCACAATGCACGTTTACCTATGTGCAGGTGTATATGCATCTGCATGATATATTGCATTATATATGTACACACACTTAACTATGAATGGGTGAAGCCCCATCAATTCAAATCCATTTGTGAATATAATTAATAATTGTATTTGTGTATCCTGCAAATGTGCACGTGTGTATGTTGTATGTACTCATGCGCTGCACATGTGCACGAAAATATATTTTTTTTACAAATATTTTCACGCAGGACATTTTGTGGTGAGCGTTCACGCTCCGGACTCTGACGTCAGTCCCCCGAACAATCGCGTCAGCTACAGCATCTTCAGCGGGTCGCGAGGAAACTTCCTGATCAGAGCTGTTCCGATAGCCGTCGGCTCTTTAGACTTCATCGGCAACATATCAGTGGATTCCGGCAACCAGCTCGACTACGAGGCAGACAAAATCTACACGATGGTGATCGTGGCGACTGACTTGGGCTTCCCGGAGCGCAGCTCTAGCACCACTGTTACGGTCCTCATCACGGACGTAAACGACGAGACTCCTGAAATCACCAATTTGCCCCGCAGCGTCAATGCCTTCGAGAACGGACAGCCTGGGGCGATGGTGGTCAACGTGACTGGATTTGACAAGGACACGGACGCGGACCTGAAGTTTTTCATCAGCGACCACTTTTGCTACAAAGGAGTGATTAGTGTCAACAAATCGGAATGCGCCAGGTGGTTTGTGATCAACGTTACATCTGGAACCGTCTCCTACGGCGACATCGAGGTGGACTTTGAGGAGATCACCAGGGTGGAGCTCACTGTGGTCCTCATTGATTTGGCGACAGTGAAAAGCAGAAATTCTACCTGTAAGTGGGCTGAATAAAAAGATGCTTCGAATAGGCCCGAGCAGCGGGTTTAGAGTGCAAGAACAATTTGCCTACAGCCATTGCCAGTACATAATTTCACCCTGAACTGTCCGGAATGTTGTCCTTGAAATTATTTTTGGGATGCCACATCCATCTCACATTATGTTATTCATCGAATTTGTATAAACTTGTTCAGAGGAACGTATGTTACAATCATATACGTTATTGCGGATAGACATTCCTTGTACTCTAGTGGTAGTGCCTGACGCAGATAATCCCGACTAAAAGCCTGTTTAGCAGCGTTCTGGAAAATATTGAGTGAGAAATTAAGCACAGGCCATTACTCAATAATGCCGTCGTCATCAGCATTACCATAAAGCTGTGTTTGGGTCAGAAAGTAATGTGTTAGAAATCTGTAATACGCTGTTGTTGAGTGAAATCACCATTACGTTTTACGATAGCTGCTTTGTATTCTGTGTAGATTGCATACATCTTTTGGTGCTTAGGTGTAGCCATTTGGGAACTCCTTAATTAAGGATCATTATATACATGAGATCATATAAATGGGTTACATGCAGAAGAAATAAATATATATTCTACTTTATTCTTATAATCGGGATATATATGATATTTCATATTCATAATTTCAGATACAGCCTCGAATGCATTAACGACTCTTATGTGAGCTGGCATTCGGTTCACTATTATTTTAGCACGTGACAGCTTAATGAGACGAAGTTTGGGTCAAGGGAGATAATGCATATTTGCATATATTTTACTTATGCTCAATCACGTGAGCTATCTGCAGTTTATTAACAACCATTATCCTTTTTATCATCACAGCTGGTGTACTCACAATCAACATTCTGGATGCCAATGACAATGATCCCATTTTCCAAATAAAACCTTCGACAGGTATGTTTACACAGGATGCCATAGCAACATATACTTGACCACACTGCATGTCACGGCACTTTTATTTCTGATTCCTTCCCCACGCACTGCTCCACTTTGGAATTCCCTCCCATCGTTTATTTTCCCACGTTCCGGTGATAACCTCGCTCAATGCAAGAGACGTTTTGTCGCTCGTCCATCACACCGTCGCCAGTTGCTGTTTGTTGCTGTCCACGTGGAATTGTGGGTCTCTGGGTCTATGCGCGGCAACCGTGGAGAAGAAAAAATAAACCTCAGTCCGTTTCCAAAGTCACAGCCATTTTTGTGTTTGTTGACCCCGGCTAAATGAAAACTACCTGTTTGCCTTCGCAGGTGTAATCGTTGCAGAAATTGCGAACGATAAATACGTGTTTCCAGAAATTTGGCAGGTAAGGTATTTGTTTGCCATTATTCATTGGAATCTTTGTCTAGCTCTCCACCTCATTTTAAGTGTTTGCACGTGACCTATACCACGTATTGTGCAAAAAGTTTAATTTTGGAATAACAGTGAAGATGGGCAAAATACATAAAAAATGATCAATTACATTAAAATTTTGACTTAAAGCTTTCGTGACTGCAGGAATTCATATTATTTGGGTCTTTCGGTAAAGCCATGTAGATAGAAAAACATAATACAGATATAGCTTACCAATTAAGCATGTCTAGTGGAATTTCGAAACCAATTATCAGTGACATTGAGGTGTGTAATTTCGACAACAGTCACAAATTAGAAACAATGAAATGACAAAAAAAACCCTACGATGCGTTACTAAAGGCAAATTATTCGGCGATGCTGCATTGCCAGTGGCGCATAAGCACAAATATCAAACAAAGACTCCCAACACATAACACTGTGGCCTTAAAAGGAAGAAATATATATACCTCGTCTGGTCTCTAAAATGAGGGCGCCGGATTTACCGCTCGCTCATGACATGTGTTTCACCCCCTTGTATTGGACTCTTGATCAAAATCAATATATATTAACACCTTCTTTTAAAAGGTGACATTTTGAGCAATGCTCATTCTTCATTGCAGTAATTTTTTTCCTTAATTGAAACGTCGCCTGTTATGTATTTTCGCACCTCCGATTAGCACAGTTGGCTACGTACAGTTGCGAAAGAAATTCAACATACATACATACATTTCCATTTTAAAGCCATACATTATTATTGACGAATGCATCGAGTGGTTTTACTGTTGTTGTTGTTACGATGCGCTATTGTTACTCTGCATAGGCGACAGACAGGGACGAGGGAGAAAACGCCAAGCTCAGGTTCAGTGTGACGAGGCTGCAGCTCGTTCAGTCCAACAACATAACGGTGGAGCAGGATGTGAACACATTCTCCATGGAGACCCAAGCGAGCGATAACACCAACCAGTACACGGGCTCCATGGGGTGAGTGGGTGCCGTCTCCGCGATGGCGTTGTCACTTCACTTACACCAGGACAGCGCCGTTGAAATGACACAAGACACCTGTGACGCAGTGGTGGCAGTGGGTTGTGCACAAACACACAGATAACAACACCTCAGCGCGTTCGTCAATAGCAATGCCTACGAGACATTTACGTTCATCGTAAAAAAAAAAATACATTTTAGGCCTTTGCTTGAAATGTCAGCTGTTGTGTGCGTGATTTTTTTTTGTTCCTTTGAGTGCGGTGTCTTTAACTTAATTTAAATTAGTGATAAAACAAAATGTTTATTTTTTGCGTGCATCTTTTTGTTTTGTTTTTACACAGCATAACAAGAGCCATAAATCCTGCACAGGACGGAAGGTACATCATCACCGTGACAGTGTCGGACAACGGGAGTCCTCAGCGTCGAACATCGACCGACTTCACCGTACGTCATCGTCCTTCCAGCACAACTTTAGATACGTCTCCTCAGTGCAGTTATCACAAAGTACATCTTTAAGACACTGGAGGGCACTTAACCGTGTTATAAAACACACATGTGAAGGGAGATGCAGATACCTCCTGCATGAGTGGTGAATTTCGGAGTATTGCTGTGGTGAAAGACAACCTCTTACTTTTTTGTGTTTAGTGTGTTGTCCTTACCCACACCTATTAGCATGGTTGGCTATGTACAGTGCGAAAAGAAGTTCAACATACACATGTACATCACATTGTCAGAATCAGATTTTTTGTTTAGATTGGAGGAATCCGATGAGCTATGAAGCTCTTTTTCACAGATGTCTAGTAGTTCAAAGATGTCCAGTAGACACCAAATTGTATTGTGTACAGTAAAACCTTGGATTGCGAGTATAATTCGTTCCGGAAACGTGTTTGTAATCCAAAGCACTCGTATATCAAAGCACTCGTATATCAAAGCACTCATATATAAGTTGTGATCACGTGACGCTCGGCAGACAAAGCGTCTATACGTACTACTACTCGTATTGCAAGACCTCGCTCGTTTATCAAATTTATATTTATTAAAAAATTTTGCTGGTCTTGCAAAACACTCGCAGACCAAGTTACTCGCAATCCAAGGTTTTACTGTATTATATATCTCTATGTTGGGATATGGGTCCCTTTGTGAGGCTATGGATTTCTGTGTGAGTCTGTGGGTCTCCGTGTGTCTCCTCTGTAAGTAAAGTGCAATATATTACTCGGCCTCATCGATCATCGCGCCCCACACACACACACACTTTTGCAAGAGGCACAAATGGAAATCACCTAGCAACACCGGAAGGCCTCAAATGGCTTCTCCAAACTCAACACACATTTGTAAGCTCGGTCCGTTACAAAGGGTATTCTCAAGAAGCACAAAGTATAAACTGTGTATGTAAAAGTACGTGTTGAGTATCTGGCTCAGTGGTTAAAACCCTCGACTCACAATGAAAGAGTCTGCAAGTCTTGATTGCAGCAATGTAGGACTCGTTTATTTATTTTGTCTTCATTCAAATATTTTACCTCAACAGTCCCCTGAGAAGGGACGCCTCACTTCTTGCAATGGCGTCCAGGGTGTCCACTGACACATTCAAAGTTTCAATTGCAACTTGTTTAACCAGGTGAGGACTCAGAGAGACCAGGATAACTTTCATTTGCAAGAGTGATCTGGATTCGCCAAATTGACCAAAGTAGCACAAACAAGGCACAGCAATAAAGTACAGAATTGGAACAACAACAAAAATGACAACAAAACACATACATAGAAAACATAGCAAACGCATAATGGAGTTGATTTTGGTGGTATTGGAATGAGTTACACTAAACGCGAAATATATCGATTGTATATCTATATGCACAAGTCATGGCCCAGCATCCCAAGCACCACCCGACAATACGTCCTATGAGGGATGCTGTATTTAATGCTGCACTCATTGCAGTTCCATTTTTATTTTCCTTATATTATATTTTAGTATATTTAAAGGCGTCACCCCCCTAATTTTATTCCAATTGCGCAATCAGCATCAACGTCAGAAAACAAATAATCGATTCCATATTCGTCCAGGTCAGTTGTGATCCCGCCGAATATCAGATAATTTCGCGCCCAAAGTAAAAAAAACATCCCCTTAACCTGTTGCAAGAAAATATAAAAAAACATGTTTTATAATACCCGGAGAGCTGGAATTGAGCCGCATATAATTGTGTTTAAAAACAAAACAAAAATCCAGATTTGAATGTGTCGTGCGACCAAGCTGAGACTCATCCCCTCGTTGTACTTGAAACCCTGCGGGTTTTGATTGTAGAGGCGGCTAAAGCTGAAATTCGAATGGCAGCGGCTCAGCAGTGCCGGCTCGGTGCTTTCATAGTTAGTTCATAGTTCCATTTATTTGGCATGGCCCTGTGAGCCATTCGGCTCTTGAATCGGGTGCAACCGTTACGAACAAAAGACAAAAACACGAACAAGAAAACATGTTAAAGTGACTATGTGACTGTGCAAACAGAAAATCCAGGAAAAAAACATCAAAATATTCCTGAAATAGCACCGTACACCAACGCTGTGTGCAAAAATCCCAGTGGGATGCAAGTCAAACAACAACAACAACCACAAGACAACTAAGATTAAGGCCATCAGTCTAACTTCGTACTACAATAAACAAAAACATGGCCAAACCAAAAAACGTTTTTGAAATCACCAAAAAGCCATAAATGCAATGTAACAGTGATAATAGGAACTGGGCCCTCTGTGCCACCCTAGCTACCTCCGGACGAATTTAATTAAAGTGTAAATACTATACTCCTTGTGTCTTGAAAGATACATCTTGACTTAAAGCTTTTGTGACTGTCGGAATTCATATTCTTGGGTCTTTCGGTAAAGTCACGTAGATAAGTTCAAAGAAAAAGTAGTTTTTTTATTTTCTTGAAAGATAGTCATTCTTTCTTTTGGTCAAACAAACACGTTAATGCACACTGCAGGATGAGCTTAATCTTGCACGTGTTCTACTCTGAGGATGTGTTCTTACTTTTCTCCTATAAGGCCTTCCTCATCAGTGAGACGAACAAGGTAAAGCTGGATTTTGATGGTTCTGTACAAGACATTGAAGCAAAGAAAGGTCAAATATCCATGTAAGAAAATTGCGCGCGATACACACGATAAAACTAATGTGATTAAAACTCATTACGATAAGCAGTAATATCAAACTCTGAAATAGTCTAATCTATTTGTGTATCATTAAGATAAACTCTGCTATATTATTTAATTGTTATAAATATTGTACAATATTTAACATTTTGTGTACGAACCATATGTTTGCCAAATGTGTTTTTTCTGCTCTCTTTTCAATGTGCCAATGCCTTGTATGTATGTTGACCTTCTTTTGCACCGTATGTAGCTAACTGTGCCAATCGGAGGTGCAGATTTCATCACCATTAAGGGGGGAAACTACCGAGTCTACAGTTTTTAGCGATTTTAATATTACTCTCGACTTTTTTTTCTGATAATCTTAATTACGAAAATGTAACTTTCCTATCAAATGTTGGCATTTTAACAGAAGAGGACGTGATACAGTCTTCTAATGAACACATGTGCAATAGCAAGGATATTATTCTCCAAAAAATCGAATGTACCACTGTAATTACTCTACAATTTGTTTAGTAGTAAGATGCCAACAGATAACTATATCCGGAGTGTAATAAATTGATTCGTAAGTTCATGTACGTGCATCAATATCGCGGGTGTAAGATTCAGTTTTTTTCCTAACGTATGCGGTGGGTTCATGTGGCCACTACATTCTCCACAATAAAAAAGGATCAAATTATTCAAATCACAACCGTAAATCTCAGCCACGTATAGAATCGCTGGGGTATGAAGATTTTTCCCCTACAAAACATAGCTTGATGTCAGATTTTGCTGTTGCTAAAGTTTACATCTCCGAAGATGCTCTCGGTTTAACACGTAGGCTTTCGCGACCAATATCATCCATAATACAGGTTTTTTTGGGTTAGATTGCGTAAATATATAAATGTGTTGTTAAACCCGTCACCACCCGACACAGCTAATTAGTCAGGTTTGTCACGTAAACAGAACATGCCAATTAGTTACTAGTACAGCACACCAGTGTGTTGGAGAGCCAAGCCACAACATTTACAATCTGAGTACGACGTTTCGCCAGTTCTCAGTGTTTCCACGAACATGGCAGGGTATCCACAATTGCCTTCCACTTGCACATTTTGCTGAAGGCAAGGGCTTAATTTAGCCTCTAAGGTAGACAATAGTCACCACTGACCACTCGGTACGACTCGGTGAGATTGCATGACCTGCTTAACCACTGGCAGACGGAGTGCTGCCGATGAGCAGCAGAAGCGTTGGTAGCAGGACATCTTCAATGCGTAATGCGTCCTGGTTTTTCAGAAATCTCCAGAAGACTGTGTACAACTCCATCGTCGCAATAACTGCCATCAAAGCAGCGTCTACGAAACAGACCCGCGAGGGAAACGACAAGTGAGTGGAGCACCACACGTTTCTAAATACTTGTATTGCAACGGAACGCGAACGTTTTAGCTTGCACTAATTACGCTACTTGGTTGCATGCAATGTAATCGCTGATACGTGGACGTCTCTGCAATCAGTTGCGAGCAGTTTGCGTGACCAGTTGCTCCTTCGCATCAAGCCCGCGCGGCTCTTTGCATCGACCGTATCGCATCACATTCACATTCGCGAATTATGATCAGTCGTTGGCAATCATGAATGCGCCGCTTCCCTGACGCACAGCCGCTCGTTCGCGTGTGGGCAAAGCGCCCTGCAGGCCGATGATTGTGCTGAGCAGTTTGTCTGCACAACTGATCGTTGAGGTGTGCACCTTCCTCTATCTAGGCTTGTGTCGAGAGCACACTGAGCAAGCACGGATGAGGTCTGGGGATGAATTAACAATCGGTCAATTGCAACCAAATCAGCGTGCACGTGCCTGATACCATCCAACTCTGGAAGATATGGAGGAGGGGTCGAGCCTGGTTTGTGCTTGGGATGTGTCAACACAAGTGCATACCAGGTGCTGCAGGTGTATATGCCTGTGAGAGCTTGCCAGACAAAAAAAATCATTTGAAATCGATAAGAAAAAAGTTAATAAAATATTAAGGGGTTGTGTTGGCAGTTGGCATGCAACCAAAATGTAATTGTGCGATGTCTTGATTTCAGATCAGTCATGGAGGTGTACTTCTACTTCAGCAATGGGACAGCCGTGAGTCAAGAACGAGCAGTCAAGTACGTGCCAGGTTCACTGTCAATACTGTACTGCATAAGTAAATATACAAACATATACACCTATGTTTATATATATAGAACTTATTTCACACCGTATGTAGCCAACTGTGTGAATCGGAGGTGCAGGGGAAGGACAACAAAACTAAACACAAAAAAACAGTTCTAAAGAAATGAGTGTTCTATCTAGATTTAAAAGTTGCGTAGCTTTTATGCATACACTGTATCTGATTGTAAAAAAAAAACGTATCTGACCAAAACACTAGTTTCTGTCACGAAACTATGTGCTCTATAAGCTTTAAGAGGAGCAGCCTGATTCATCAAAACAAGTTTTGTCATGCCTGCACTGGTGCACAAGCACAAATAACAAAAACTCACATTCCCCCAATAAGACTGTCCCATAGTAGGCAAAAAATATATATAGCAAGTGACGTTTTGGGCAATGGCCCTTCATAGCAGAGAGATGTCTATCCTGTACCTATCCCTCTGCTGTGCAGAAGGGCAATTTTCCCAAAATTTCACCCATTATATGTTTGTGTTTTGTCATTGTTATTTGAGCCTGAGTAAATAGTTCCTGGGAAAGTTTCCATGGTGTCTGTCTGGGGTTCATCATCACCAGCAAGCATTGTTTTCCCTTTTGAGAATGCAAAGGGGCTTTTAAGTATATAATACTAGCAAAACGTTGGCAGTAAATTGAACTACTAAATAGAATATATTTTTACTGAATCAATTATAATTATAATCTCACGATTTGGCATGTCTTGGTAGTGAGTGTCAAATTGCCGTTATTATAAACTCAGAATGTCGAACACCGGTTCAGAGTTTGCTTGCTGAAACAAATGCTGCTTGATAATATTCGTCTGGAAAACCAACAGGCTGGTGGACTAACACATTTTACGTGGAGACACACACAACGGAGTTCTCATGAAATTTACTCTTCCTCATACATTTATAATTGTGTTTTCCACAGAGTGATACAGGACAGTGTGGGAACAGAGGCGGTGCAGAAACTCATAGGCCTGGGAATGACGGGTGTGGTAAGTGCAAGGGTTGTTAAATGGTACCTGGTAAACCGGTAACCGTCATATGGTACACGATAAACCGGCAATCATTTTCAGAATCAATGACCGGTTCCAAAGTCAGGAAGTGGTAGCCAAAAGTGCAAACAGCACAATGGCCTAAGTGACCTCTGCAATATGTAAATACGCTTATGGCCCAGTAACCCAGAATGCACGCCACCTTGCCAGATCTTGGAAGCTGAGCACGCGTGAGCTTCGTTAGTGCCTGGATTGGTGACCGCCAGGCGTGAAACAGGCGCTGTCAGCTGCTGCTGTGGGGCTACAGTGCAGCAAAATGCATTGTTGTGCTTTCTATGCTCCTACATCTATGCGCCCCGCCTTCACACACCTGCACTGATGAGTGCGGTAAATCATGGTAAACAATCCCGCCCCCCCCCCCCTAACCTGCACGGTGTGGGAAGGCCGTCATCCAGCAGTGGATTGACAAAAAGGGTTGCACATGTACATATGCTTAAATTAATTTAAAAAATGCAGTTTATATGCAGTCCACGTGATAACTGATTATCATGTCATGTCTCTGTGCACATGCGGCCCACAAAAAGTATTTAAATGTCTTATTCGGCCCTCCAGAAGGAAAATTATTCCCCACCTCTGATATAAATTATCCATTGACAACAATGAATATCATTCACCATTGTGTCCAGTTTCTGACCTCATTCTTTTACATTCCCTCCGTGTCTGCTACAGGGTTCGGGTCCCACATTTGAAGATCCAAATATTGCGCAATTAAGACTGTTGGAGATATTGGTGATCTCGCTGGCGGTGGTTCTCCTCCTTATCCTGACTGTCATGATCACCATCACAGTCTGCATGCGCAGGAGGTAGCTCATAACAACAATAATAATATTCGTTCGTACATTTCGTGTTTGTGCTATGTCTCAGATATGTACGGTCTGCCAATCGGCGGGGGGGGGGGGGGGGGGTGGCATACTGGGGGGTGTGGGGGGTGGGTGGCATGCTGGGGGGGGGGGGACCACGGTGGCAAGATGTTAACTACCTTGCCTAGTGTACAGGAGGTCGTGGGTTCGTCGATCCCGACCCTGACGCCCGTGGTCACATGGATTTTTTTATCCTGGTCCTCCGGTTTTTCCCTCCACTTTTTAAAAATAATATTAGTTTCGAGTATTTGGCTGCTATAAATTTCAACATCATACCCCACTCCGTTGGGCAATCATTTGGGTGCAGGTCACTTCTGAAAACGAACTATATAGTTCAGTCGCTCTTAACTGGTTATATCTATAAAATTTAACCCAGTTGAGTAGTTAAGCTGCAAAGTGGGTTCCTATTGAGACCTTCTGAACAGGTCTGGCTGTTAAATGTGATTTCCGTGTACAGTGGCAGCTGGAGCAGGAGAGAAAGGGGTTTGCATGCAATTTATAATCGACTAGCTTTACTACCCGGCTTCGCCCGGGACTTGGATTCTCGTCTTGGATTAATTTAATATTCCCTTATATTTCAGTGGAAAAACCGTGAAAAAATTGATGGTTGCAAGAAAGAAAAGAATCCGAAACAACTAAATTTAACTAAATCGGATGTTTTCCACTCAATAAAATTTAACCTTAAGCAGGCAACTCGGGAAGGGAATGGCGTGGCGAGCTGAATATAATCGCGTTCCCGTAGGAATTCCAGACAGCGTAAGCTGTGCAAATTTCATGACGTCAGAGCTCAGCGTTCGAGAGTTTTTGCTGCTTCGCACAAACAGATGTATCTTCTGCTTTATATTTAAGAGCGAGCTGAAAATAGTCGCGTTGACTTAAGAAAATCGAGACAGTGACCCTTCGCATTTGCGCGGTAGATATGGCCTACGCGGAGGGTTGGGGCGGGGGGTGACGTCAGCAAGCACACTGCGTGACGCTGCCACATGCGGGTGACATGACAGATGTGACGTCACCGCTCACTTGCCGTGCAATATATTATATCCATTATTGCGCCCCCCCCCCGCCCCAAATACAAAAGTCTATTTTTATACGTTTTGCATTGCGTACAGTCTGGAAACTACCCACATGCCAAATTTTAAGTTTGTTGCATGTCGGGAAGTATGCTAAACATTTCGAACAGACACACATATTCACAAATTTCCCTTGCATGTATTGTTAAGGATTTTTTTTTTACTCGTGATGCATGGCCCCACCAGCTCCTATTGACGAGCCGCCACCGACGATGTGGTTCGTTGACAGCGATCGAGGAAATATTTTCGCGTGTACTTTGCCAGTATCAGTAATCTACATTTATAGATGCTCCACTGACATAATAGCGAGAAACTGTAGATAAAAGACTCTTATGTCTCCCAGTAATCTCAAAACGCATTTTTAATCCTTTTAACAAACCATTCTGTAAGGTATGGAGCCATCACTTTCACATTTTTCAATAATCTGTCTATAAATGGATCACCCTGTCTGACAGTCTCATTTAGAGTGTCTCTTCAGTCTGTGTTATATCCTGTCTCGTCTTGTACATCTCCCATCTCTCTCACATTTCTCTATAATGCCTGTATGCTATAGCCAAGACATTATCTTGAATATATCACAAGTTTGCATGCAAAATCATGATTACTTTCCTAATTTAAATTCAAAGCTGGAGTGGCCCTTTTTTCATTAGCAAGTCTGCATCATCCTAAAGTCTTCAATAATCAGGTTAACAGTTCTTAACACAACAGGAACCTAAGGAAAACTTCTGGAGGAGTTGATTGGAGAACCAATTTTAGCAAGCGCACACGTGGGTATATCCATTTAAATTGTCTCTTGTTTCGTATTAAATTTTAATGGGTGTGCCACATCCGCCAAAAATTACGATCATGCTGTTGCATCTGCAGCTACCAGAGGAAACTCAAGTCCATGACCGCGATGAACCGCGCCAAGGAAGTGAAGAGCGCACCGGTGCAGAACGGAACCCAGGTTCCCGGCACGAACATGCACGCCACCGAGAAGTGAGTTGCCCTGCACGGCAGCGTCTCTGGCCACCCTCTCACTATCATCGCATCGATCAACAACTGAGAAACACACCGATGGGATTTGTGTCTCTCTGACAGCCCACGGTGGGGTGGAGCGGCGGAACAGTGGCTTGCATGCTGTGCTGTGAACCTGATGGCCCATAATTTATTCACGGCTAACATAAGTGGGGAGTGATATTTGAACTGGTCCTGGGCCCCGCATTGACTGACTCGCAATGACAAGGGTGGTGATGTATGGTCACGAAACCCCAATATGGTATGTGGCGGCCCTCATCCAGTAGTGGCGCCACGGTGGCGAGATAATAATTACAGGAGGTCGTGGGTTCAATTCCGACCTTGACGCCTGTATATTTGGAGTTTGCATGTTCTCCCCGTGGTTGAGTGGTGAGTGGATTTTTCTCCGCATCCTCCGGTTTTTCCCTCCACATTTAGAAACATGCATTTTGAGTATTTGGCTACATTAAATTTCGACGTGGTAAGCCATTTCGTTGGGCTATGATTTGCGGCTAGGTCACTTCTGAAAAAGAGCTATATAGCTTAGTGGGCCTTACCTGGTAAAATAAAAAGTTTATAGTGTGTAGAACTTATTTTGCAGCGTATGTAGCCAACATAAAAGGAAGGACAACAAATTAAACACAAATTTGTGACCTTAATCCAGCAGTGGATTAACAAATGACTAAAAATTATAACAGCTTATGTATTCAAATCTAGAAGGATTCAGATGGCTTTTGTTAAATAGCTACATTTAAAGTGTTATACTAATGCAGTACCTAATGCGTACGTAAATCTCTGCATGCATTTTATTGATGAAAAACGTTGCAACTATATTCGAGGAATATTTCTAATTTCACTGCTTCAAGATGACAATTAGTTTCGTGTGCTCTGGTTAACTAATTGTATTTTGAATTGTAAATTGGAACGATCCAGTTTCAGTTGGTTATTCTTCTTATGCAACTTTTACAATCATCGCCGTGTGCAATGCAAATCTGTGGTGACGTGAAACTGCCGGTGTCTCTGCAGATCGAACCCGCTGTGGAACAGCCCCGTCTATGAGCTTCCTGACCTCGGCTATATCGAGGAGAGTGACCCTGACAGGAAGAGGTCAGTGACAATGCGAGGAAGGTGCTAGGTTTCATTAATTTGACGTTTAATGCACACCAACCGATTAACTTAAAAATATATAACAATGTATAAACCAGTGGTGTAGCTATCAAGTGTACAGGCAGTTGCAACTGCGCCAGGGCCCACGAGCTGCAGGGACCCAAGCACCAGGAGTTGGTGTGGAGGGGATTGCCTATTTACTTCCTTGCATCAGGGCCCATGCCATCCACGCTACAGACAACATATCACGTTTTTTGTCCATCAGCAATGGGCCCTCCAGATTGATATTTCCAGCAGTGTTTTATATCAGCAGGCGAATGCTGGAATGGTTTCACTTTTCGGTTTCAACTGCAGAGTGAAACAAGTTAGATGCTACGGTATCAGGTTTTATCCTTTGAAACAAATTATTTTGGCAAACGTTGGATCCAGAAGGCTCACAATGATAACTTTTTCTCACATGTTGTTACCTTTAGACATCACTAGATGCCGTAATAACACGTTCACAAGCGAGTTGACAACCGTGATGATGATGATGGCTGTCAGCGGTTGTGATGACAGTGATGGTGGTGGCGGTGAAAGTGGTATATATATATGAACATCGTTTTTTCATTTTCTCAGCATAAACTCTTTGGATGAAAATGTTCTTGATGCAAGCGATTTGCGGATGGAAGAAACGGAAATGAATGTGAAGGTACGTGTTTTACGGTTCACATTTCAGCTCATCGTACTGCGTTCTGATCTCTAAAAAGACTAGATGCAGCATTGTGGAACCCCTCCGAGGAAGCTTTTATTATACAGATAACAAATTGTCCCATGTTCATCGTTTACTGAAATATGAGTGCACCTTTGGAAAAAATAGAGAGGCACAAGCAAAGTGACATTTAAGGTAGCTTTGTTTGTTCTTTGTCAGTCTGTGTAACTTTTCAATCCTGGGCAGAGACCTCTCCCCCACTGTCTTCCCTTCTGTGCTTTCCTTCATTATCCTTGCCCAGTAGAGGCCTCCGATTTCTTGACATCGTCTCGCCATCTTTTTCCGCTGTCTTCCTCCTTCACCATCTGTTTACCATCCACTCCATTGTGGCGAGGCTGAGTGAACGTCTATTCCGTCATCCTGCGTGACATCGCATCCAAAACACAGCCACACCCTTGAACGTCTACGCGTGTCAGCAGGCGCCTCCAACGAATCACAGCCACAAGAATGGTGAGAGCGCCCATCAGAACCTCCTGGGAGTCGCCCTCCAGCAGCGAGAAAATGATCGCAGTGCCCGCGACATGAAATTGCCCAACTTGCAGGGCGCCGACAACAAAGCTCTTGACACGACGGATATCTAACCGGAGCCTGCGGCGTACCCCTGCGGCGTGTCCCTGCATCCCATCAGCTCGGAAGCTGCTGGCTCTCTGTCAATTGTACGGTCGCTAACAAACGATACACTGGTGCAGCCATGTGGAGTTATTGGTCGAGGGATGTAGAAGTAACCATGCAGAGAAAAAAACCCCTCGTTCTTTGCAGAGCAACCTGTGGTTCCAGAATCAGAATGTTCATTTGAACTGGAAGAATCCGATGAGCTATTAAGCTTTTTTTTCCACCAAAACAACCTATTAAACATGTTTATCTTATAAAGTAACGTTCGTGACGAATGTAGTTTACACAGGTTAACTGACAGAACAAAGTGGGTTTTTATTTCTTTAAGGCAACTGTCTCCAGGACTCCCAGCTTCTCTTAAGATTACCAACCACGCAGTAAAAAATATTCCGTACATGCATTCCCCTTCCACACATAATTTAAGGAGTGCATTCAAAGGGTTTAATAGTCTATTTTCACATTAACAAAACAAGCTCAACACATTGGTCAATAATAATGCCTTCAAATAAAACATAATTAAACTAGGCGATGTTTTGGGCAAGGGCCCTTCACATGAGAACATTTGTAGAATGAATGGCTTGTTCACCTCATATTAAGGATAATACAATAGCACAAAGATAAACTAAACGTTTCCAAACGCTCTATTATTCTACTAAAGAGCAGCTGGTTCATACAACGGAGCCCGATGTCGCATTACGGACCTTGATGGCAATATGATTTTGGCGTTTCTGTGCTTGAACGCAACGCTTAATGAATGGCACCGCTTCTGGTTAGGACATCTCAGTACAGACGCGGCAGTTTGACAATCATTCTAAGCAATTCCACGACTTTTCTGATTTTGTGGGAGGCCGGTTCGGTGGATGAGCGTCTGCTCTCGAGAGCAAAGGGATCTGAGTTCACTGCGTGCTTTGTATTGCCCACTGCTCTGTGAATCCTCATTGTATTTGCAGCGAAAAATTACTTCTGGGTCAAACTTCCTTTTGGAATTGTCGGGCATGTGCTGGATTAGTCTGTGCTATGCACGTGGAATTGACACGAGCAACTTTATTATGCATTCTGAGGACAAAGACTGTAGAAGTTAAAATCAAGTTTGTGATTCACTAGTTTTAACAAAACGATAGCAAGAAATTACCGATGTTTAGATGTATAGGACAATGTATGATAGCACTTTATGTAACATTTTAAGGTTTACAAAGTAATTGTAAATCAAAATACATTTCATGGTACTCTTTTAATGTTTTAATTATTTTTAATTTCACCTTTGCCAATACATAGCAACAGAATATTTGCGTTTAATATTGTAATTGTCGACTGTTCTTTGCTATTCCTCCGATGTTACTGTATTCTGTTTTTCAAATGTTGTGTTTTCACAGCGGAGTTTTGTCAAAATCAAACCTGAATATATATGTAATTAGAGTTTAATCGTATTAATAAAAAAATGAATCTTATTACAATCATTCATGTGCATGTCTTTTTTCTCTTTCACTGCCCAAACCACACCCGAACTTTGAGCAAAACTAATCATAACATATACACTTAACCAAGGCCGTAGCCATGGAATCAACATTGGGGGGGACCAAATCTTCCAGGGGGTCTAGGGGTCCCCCTCCCCAGAAAAAAACTAAATTTGAAAAATAATTTCCTGCATAAAATATTTAAAATTCACTACCACATGGGATGGACTTTTTGGTTTTACAAAAATGTCTAAGAGTGTATTGTATTACATTGCTCTCTTTTTTCTTTTTTACCTTTTCTTGTTTCATTTTATGTAATGGCAGAGATTAGGGATTAATAAAGTACAACCATAACCACAATCATATAAACAGAAATATATGCATTGTTATATGAAGACAAGTCCAGATATTGTGGCCAAGGTTTATCAAATTGTTTTTTTTTACTTACATAGCATAGCAATTATTTTTTAAAAATATTGTTTATAGCAATATATTGGGGGGGACATTTTGAGCATATTTGAATATATTGGGGGGGATATGTCCCCCCAATATATACTATAATATATTATAATTACGGCCTTGCACATAACATAAACATCCAGGTACCTTGGGTGTAGAGCGAGCAGCTTGCAATCGGAAGCCTGCGAGTTCAATTCATAATTGGGGGGGTTCACTCAGCCCATCATCCCTTCGGGGTCGATAAACGGGTACCACTGTGGGGTAATCAAGTGTTGTTGGGAAGACAAGCTACCACCATAGGAATGTGGAATTACCACCACTTAGCTCAATGCTATGTGTATGTATGTTGAACTTCTTTTGCAAGGTAAGTTAGCAACCGTGCTATTGGCACAAGCATCAACTCAACACTCGGTTGAGCAAGATGTCACTTTGACATCTTATCCATTTACGTCGATGATCGTTTTCTGAAATTGCAGAGGAGACCTTCCAGCAGTTAGGACGAACAGGTGACTTCATGGAACCGACTATTGATTTGCAGATCCCACGGAACCTTACACAGCAACTCGTATTTCACACTGAACAACAAGTCTTCACTATGTGTATCACCACTTAAAGCAGTGTTCTTAACTAATTTTAAAAGGGGGGGGGGATTTTCGCCAATAAGAAGACATCGTCAGTGTGAGTGTCGCCACACATTGTAAGCCATTGGGGGTTTAACAGCAACATGTTGATGATTGGGGGGGGGGGGTATTTATGCGATATAACCCAAAAAAAACCTTCATTACGGATATTGGTCGCGAAAGCCTACGTGTTAAACTGATGGGGGGCTGTGCCGAATTATCCTAGTAGAAAAAGTAGCTACACGTGCTACGGGCCCCGCACTTTCAAGGGCCCCGCGCTAAATGCTTTCAAGCTATCAATTCCGGTTCAGTGATTCTGCACTAGCTCTATTACGATAGTACTATACCGCCTTCAACTTTTACGAACGACTGGGTGTTTAAGGTTAGCGATTTGCACGTATTATCCGGCTGTATAGCAAATGAAAAAAAACAATTACTTTACGATGCAAGTAAAAAAATTGTGTTTGAATATTTATGGGTTTTTGTTTTTAATTTAGGGCCCCTTTTTAACATATGCTCCAGGCCCCGCACTTTGTTAATCCGGTACTCACAGGGGGGGGGGGGGGGGTTCACTCTTCGTGCATTGTCGGGGAAGGGCGCAATGAAGAACATCGTCCTTGTTCCGCACACACATACACACAAATTTAATTCCACCTGTCCGTCTGCGCCATAGGTTGTTTTGGTGTCCGTGGGGTGCTCTGCGAGTTTACCAGTGGGGGGCGCAGTCCTCTGCCGTCCGTGACCGTCCACGGACAGTCACAAATCTGACGTCTCCCTCCGTGTGAACGTGGGACAGAGGCTTGGAACGAGCAAGGCCAATCCGCTGTCTCGCACACACACAGCACAGCACACACACAGCACAACACACAAAGCACACAGCACAACACACAGCACACACAACACACACAGCACAACACACAGCACACACAGCACAACACAGAGCATAGCACACACACAGAACACAGCACAACACAGAACACACACAACACACACAAAGCACAGCACAACACACAACACACACAGCACAACACACAGCATAGCACACATACAGCACACATACAACACACAGCACACACACAACACACACAGCACAACACAGAGCATAGCACACACAGCACAACACACAGCACACACACAACACACACAGCACACACACAACACACACAAAGCATAGCACACACAGCACACACACAAAGCACAGCACAACACACAGCACAACACAGCATAGCACACACACAGCACAACACACAGCACAACACACAGCACACACACAGCACAACACACAGCACAACACACAGCACACAGCACAACACACAGCACACACACAACACACACATACAACACACAGCACACACACACAAAGCACAGCACAACACACAGCACAGGAGCGGCGGGGTGAATTTGGAGAGGCGGTGGTTGTGGTTGTTGTTGTTGGTGATGGTGGTGACGTGGGGGAGGTCACAGCCCTCCCCCACAATAAAAAAAATCGCTTACGCAAGAGAAGAGACAGATTCTGGAACGAGCGATTGGACACAACAACAGCAACAACCAAACAACAACAACAACAACCACCGGGGCGGCAAAGCGGGACCCGGTTTGTGTGTCACTCCGCCGCTCGCGTCCGCGGTGTCGCGGCGTTTGGATCTCTCCCCCATCCCACCCATCCATCAATCCCATCCCACTCCATCCACCCATCCCATCCCATCCCTCCCACTCCACGTGGCACGAGCGACTCGTCGGATTCAGATGGTGAGCGAGACAAAGCGTGCGTGCGAGTGGTGGGTGCAGCGGCCCCGGGCCTCACCCCTAGGTCCGCTCGGCCTCAAATGAGTCACCTGCTCGCGGCGTTGTAAATAAACGTCGCCACTGGGGGGGGGGTGGGGGGGGAGACAAAGGCGGCCGGCGTCGGTGCGGTTGCTACTGGCCACGGACGCCCCTCGTGTGCTGATCGCTAACAGCACTTGCCTCCTACAGTCTGTTTACAGGCTACACGGTGGAGGGGGTGGTGGTCCTTTGTTGTTCTGCGCGTCTATTAAACAAAACAAAAACCCTCTGTCCGCATGCGTCACAATACACGCGGTTAGCAAGCGCGGTCGGCTAACGTACGGTGCGAAAGAAGTCCCGCGTAAATGTTGTGCGGCAGATTGACACGCGCGCGTTTACGGAGAGGGCTCGTTTCATGTTGGTTGGCCGCGCAAGGTCGCGGCGTCGTCGGTGATAAATGAGAGTTTGAGTCATTCTGCTTGCAAACGAAGCGTGTTGTGTTGGTCACAACAGAGCATGTGTGCATTAAGGACTTATTTCGCACCGTACGTGGCCACTTGCCCCGTCATTTTTTAAACATACGCGTCAGTACGTAGGCGGTACATTTTGCACGCTGCTGTGCGGAGTGCCGTGTATAACATTAATGCGGCCCAGATCTGTCGTGACAGTGATAGGATGGCCTTAGTCCGTCTTGCAGTGGATAGATCATGGCTCGGGGTGATGATATTGATGGTGTTGGTAAATCTGCAGTGCACAGTACACGATGTGCTGTCTATAACATTAATGCGGCCCAGATCTGTAGTGACAGTGATAGGATGGCCTTAATTAATAGAGCAGTGGATAGATCATGGCTCGGGGTGATGATGATGATGGTAAATCTGATTTGATAATGCATTTTGCACGCTGCAGTGCACAATACGGGGAGATAATGATGATGGTGTTGGTGAATGTGATTTGATAAGAGCATGGTGGGCGTGCCGCAAGTAAAAATAAAGTGGACTTTAAAAAAATCACAGTCATGCTGTGACACATTTTACAGAGCCCTCAAAACGGCTTTGTGTCAAATGTAATTGCTGCAATGTGTTATGCTACTTCCAACAATTAAGGAATTGCCCGGACTTAAAATCACTCGGTGTATTGCCAAGTAATAATAATTATCATCATCAATCACGGAAAGACATGCATATCCATCCATGCCAATTGCTAAAGTGTAACAATACCCATATAATCAACACGACTTTCAAGTGATTGTGTTCAATAAATCGCTGCGGTTTTGCTGTGAACGCTACGGTTTTTTTTTAGATTCAGAATCTTTATTTAGCCTGCAGGAATCCGATGAGCTATGAAGCTACTGCTGACTATTGTATGCAAGGTGTATTGGCATATATGCCTACAAAAGACATTTATACTCAATGGTTCTTTCGGTAAAGTCACGTCGACAGGAAAGCAATAGGTCACGACGTTTCGATCGCAACACAAGCAACCGTCATCGGGTGAAACAAACACAGCAGGAGAACTGATGACGTACGTCGCCTGATGACGGTTGCTTGTGTTGCGATCGAAACGTCGTGATCTATTCCTGCAGTCTCGAAAGCTTCAAATAAAAAAAATGCAAAAACATTTGGGGAGGAGGTGGCATTTTTCTTTTTTGGGCGGGGGGTCAACAATTTTGTGATTTACTTTTTACCCCCACATCTGGGATCGGGGGGGGGGGGTGTCCACTTCATGTAACTTTTTAAAAAAAATTCAGGCCTTCTGAAAGGCTCTTGTGAATTTAGTTGAAGGACAAACGGAAGGCCGGGATTTTATGCTCGATGTCCAGTATGGGGTGGGTTCAGAAAGTTGCAACAGTGAACAAGGCAAAAAAAAATCGAAATGTGTAAAATTGAGAAAATTGTAAAACAAGTAACTAAAATTAAACAAATAATAAGCAAATTAATTACAAGTCCGATTGACCAAGATTGGGCAAGGCAGCAACACAACTAAAACAAAAAATTGCAGCACAATGCTTGCAGTGTTACGTTGCACATGTGCAGTTGACCATTAAACACAAACTGCGCCATTGATAACGAGGTCACAGGTCACGGGGGCCATGGAGAAATCCGTCTCTCGTTTTTTACCCTGCCCCCCCCCCCCCCCCCATTTTTCCAAATCCATTGGGCGGCTGAGTCCTGCCGATAGGGGATTGGTGCTTGTGAAGGGGGTGTGAGTGCAGCGATCAACCGGACAATGACAGCGGTTAGGAATTCCTATTTGCTCGGCTGATTCTGACCACCCCATCCCGAGCCAACCACCCTCCCCTCCTCCTCGAGGCTATGGTTACATTTTCAGATGCTTACTTTGTTTTCAACCAACGTTGAACATGATTATAATAATACGGGTAGAATGCTTCTACAGGCATATGTTCAGTCTAAATAGCAGCAGGTTTATCTGATTACGAGAACTTTCACGATGAAATCCAGCAACACGAGTTTGATCGCCAGGCATGGTAAACATCAGTGGCGAGTGGTATCCAAACTAAACTATTTTTTGTTATTTTACCAGGTAAGGCCCACGGAGCTATCTTGTTCTTTTTCAGAAGAGATCGGGCCACAAATGATAGCTCAACGAAGTGGCTTATGTGTACATTTATTGCAGCCAAATACTCTAAACGCATGTTTCTAAATGTGGAGGGAAAACCCGGAGGACCCGAAAACAAATCCACGTGACCACGGAGAGAGTCATTCAAACTTCAAATATCTGAACCGGTCCCAGGCCCCCTTCTTTATCAATCCACACTGAGCAGTTTGGTGAAGTATGGTCAAACAACTACCAAGACCATCGAGAGACCTTCATCCAGCAGTGGATCGATGAAGCGCTGTGAATTATTTTAACTTTTTAACAATGGTACGGTACTGCCCATAAATAAGCGCGGAGTGATAATATAATTATCACAGTGATTCATGAATAAACATTTAATCACAATAGCTTTTTTGTCAAATAGGTCTTGGCGTTTCAACTTTGTGTTGTTAATGTGTGGCCTATGCTTTGCCAAAAGTTCTACTCTGCCAAAAGCTAACAAAGACTTGTGTGTGGTGTGTAACTTGCAGAGCAGAGTGTGTGTGGGTACATTTACATATCTATTGCCATCCTTATATCTTTCCACGACCTGCGTGTATGTGTGAGTGTGCCATGCCCCAGGTGGTGTAGTGGTTAGCACGCCACGCTACAAACCCGGCGACCCGAGTTCGTTTCACGCTCACAGCCAACACCAATGACGATTATCTGAACCGGTCATGTGCCTCCCCTAGGTCGACTCAGCCTTACATTAGTACCTGGCGCAGTGTGTAAATGCGGCCGGACGTGGTGCTGGCCACCCACCCCCTCGTGTGCTGTGCCAGCCTTCATAGGTGCTCGCTAACAGCACTTGCCCCAACGGTCTTGTTAATAGGTTATACGGGGGTCTTTGTCTTTATTTGCCATGCCCCAGGATGAAAATTCCTTGGTACTTAATTGTAGGGTGGAGACTGGTTGCCTCATTCTGTGGGCACGCTGGAGTGGGGAGCAGTGCTGCGGTGATTCATGGCAGCGTTGCAATCATGCCGGTCACTCAAGTTATATTCCTGGTCATGCACGCCAAGTAGCATGAGGCAACCTAACCAAATTAGATATACAATTATCCTGAATATACACATGATCTCATGAGATCTTGGAAGCTAAGGAGGGTTAAACCTGGTTTGCAATTGGATGGAAGATTGAAAATCTCGCATGGTGGCGAGATGTTAACTCGCCTGGTATACAGGAAAGGTTGTTGGTTCGATCCCGACCCTGACGCCTATTTATTTGGAGTTTGCATGTTTTGCCCGTGGTCGCGTGGATTATAGAAACACGCGTTTAGAGTATTTGGCTGCTATAAATTTCCACATGATGAGCCACTTCGTTGAGCTATCATTTGTGGCCAGGTCGCTTCTCAAACAGAGCTATGTATCTCAGTGGGCCTTACCTGGTAAAATAAATGAAAAATTCGTTTAGAATTTAATAAATACCAAGTTGTGTCGGTTTGAACGTTCAAAGTGATCAGGAAATGGTAATGAATTCTTGAATCCATCTATACAGAGATTCGAGTGTCACCTCCACCTATGGGTCCACCAGGTGCTCCGGTTTCCTTCAACAACTCGACTGATAGAAGATAACTCATGCTCAATTTGAAAAACGTGCCATTAATTTTGTTTTCCCTCTCTGGTACTGGGGTTTCCCTATGCATGGGAACCCGGGGCATCATAAGCCTCAGAGTCTTGATCGTCATAACTTAGCTGGAAGCCTCCCCAGTGGGTCATGAAAACGCCCACAGGAGAGTGGCTATAATGACGGCTTTGCACACACCCGGGGCAGACTGATGGAAATCACGGCAACAGTTTTTGCACACCATACATTTGTGCAACATTGGCAATCTTAACATGAAATTAACCGGATGATGCTCACTCTCGCCGCGGGGCTCCAAACTTCACGCCGTTTTTTTTTCTCGTTTCTTTTTCGTCCGCGTGCCCCGCAGGCTGGTCGTCCAGAGCGGCTGGGTCAGGCCGAGCGCGAGGCAGCGCTGCCCGAGTTAACCGCCTCGGGCTGGCTCGTGCAGGCCTCCAGGGATGCCCTCCACAAGGAGTTTCTCTTCAAAGATTTCAACCAGGTGCCCCCCCCTGCCCACGCCACCCCCCCCCCACCTAATCAATTCCACTCCGGTATATTTTAGAATACCTCCCTGAGACATTTATTTCCTCTCAGTAATGTCCTGTTTGTGTATTTTGCATTTCACATTGTGCAGTACTGCACTGCAGTGCTGGATTAAGCTAGTGCGGGGCCTGTAGCATATGTTATAAAAGGGCCCTAAATAAAACAAAAACACAAATATTAAAACACAAATATTTAACTTGCATAGTAAAGTAATTGTATTTTTTCATTTGCTATACAGCCAGATGATACGACAAATCGCTAACCTTAAACACCCAGTCGTTCATAAAAGTTGAAAGCGGTATAGTACTATAGTAATAGAGCAAGTGCAGAATCACTGAACCGGAATTGATAGCTTGAAAGCATTTAGCGCGGGGCCTTTGATAGTGCATCTTCTACTTTTGCTACTAGGATAATCCGGCACTGCTTCACTGTATTATTCATAATGCTTAAGTTTGTCTCCCGATGGCTCGTCGTTTCTAGGCATTTGGATTCATGTCGCGGGTCGCTCTTCAAGCAGAGAAAATGGACCATCATCCCGAGTGGTTTAACGTTTACAACAAGGTCAGTACAATACGTGCATGAGTCATTCAGGAATGTATTGTGAGAGAGTTAAGACAGATTTCCTTCAAGCGCTGTTAGCGAGTAGCACCTTTGACAGTCAGGACAGCGCACGAGTGGGTAGTGTGACCAGCACCACGCTCTGCCAGCTTTGTCTCCCCAGTGGCGATGTTTACACACTGGACCAGGTATTGATTTAACCCCGAGTCGACCGAGGGGAGGCCCAGGACCGGTTCATATATTCGTCACTAATATTAGCCGTGAGCGGGAATCGAACTCTGCTCGCCGGGATTGTAGCATAGTGCACTAACCTTTACACGACTGCTGCCGTAACCCTCCCCGAATACTCTGGGCGAGAATGCTAACGCTCTGTCATGCATCTCTCAGTAACCCAAATTTGCACGCTTACCATAAACCCGCACATTATTCATTTTTCCTATGCAGTGAAGGATCCTTTCAACTGCTCAGTTTATCTTGCATCAAGACCACCCAGCTCGTTATTCATAGCAGTTCAGCTGCAACGGCATTCGTACCGACGTCACGTGGACACAAATGTGTCGTACGTACGACATATTCGAATGACACTTTGGAGAAAAATGGTTTAATGTGGGTGATGTTTTCGAGTGGCTCTCATAAACGTACACCACTGCTTACAAGAGTGCGTGTAAGCAGTGGTGTACGTTTGTGCAACCCTCCGACAACATCAATTATAGCACGTCGGCTTTCACGACCAATATTATTCATAATAAAGGTTTTTGGGTTAGATTGCATAAATATAAATGTGTCGTAACCCTCCACCACCCGACACAGCCAGTAAGGATTGTGATATACATGACGCGCCAATTAATTAGTGATTCAGCCCACTGATGTGTTGGAAAGTAAAGCCACAAGATTTACAATTTGAGTACGACGTTTTGCTGGTAATTGATGGGTTTACAACGATGCTCTAATTAAGACCGGAAGCAAGTGGATTGCTTCACTATTCTGGCAAATCGCCCGATGATGCAGGATGTTAATTACCAGCAAAACATCGTACTACTCAAATTGTAAATGATGTGGAATTACTCTCCAACGCATCGGTGGGCTGAAGTAACTAATTGGCGCGCCGTTTACGTGACAAACCTTACTGGCTGTGTCAGGTGGTGGAGGGTGACGACAGATTTATGCTTACACAATCTAACCAAAAAACCTTTATCATGAATAACGTAAATGTTGTTACGGCTTGTGCAACCTTCTCTGGTTCCCCCTCTCCACAGGTGCAGATCACTCTCAGCACTCACGACTGCGGGGGGCTCTCGGAGAGGGACGTACGCCTCGCCCGGTTCATAGACAAAGCCGCAGCCTCAATTTAAGCGTGACCCGGCCCTTCGGCCTTGTCTGTCCGGTGGTCGCCGAGCTGCATTGGCTTACGGTTACCGAACGGATATGTTATGAGGTCGCACTCATTACACACAAAGTGCTTGCCACGAATGAATCACAACACCTTGCTGATCTTGTCAAGGAGCATGAATCCTCACGTGAACTCTCACGGTCATCCTCGCAGCAGCGGCTTTTGGCTGACCATCGAACAAAGACAGTCGCTGCTGTCCGCGTGCTTCCAGATGCGCTTCTGCAGCCGTCTGGAACGATCTTCCTTCCAATGTTAGGAAGCCACTGGAGCTATCCACTTTTAAACCTTGATTGAAAACTAATTTCTTTAAAATGGCTTTTTGTGTTTAGCTTGTTGTCCTTGCCACGCACCTCCAATTAGCACGATTGGCTATGTAAGGTGCGAAAGAAATTCAACGTACGTACATACACACACGGTACTCACACCAAGGTCCGCACCAGATGAGACGCGGGAAAATGCTGAGCCCTCACGGTGGAGATCGAGGCCATCTCATCCGCTGCCACCGATGCCGCCGCATCTTACCATCGCTTCTTTCCACCTGCCGAATGCCACGTACCCGTTAGTCGACACATCGTCGACCAAGATTTTTCACGTACGGTTGTCTGCATTTTTCATTTGATGAGAATTTGCGCTGTGTGGAAAGTGTGAAAGATATACCAAATAAACATTTCTCATCGTGTGCAATTCTCGTCATTATTGTAAACATCCGGTGACATACAAATTCCAAGTCAAATGAAGATGCTATTTACACTTCACGGTTTGTAAGCACTTTTAAAAATATATATGTTGTAGACTTAAGTTGAACACGGCGTTAGAAAAGTTAAAGGCGTGTCTACGAAATGCGAAGGTTACTTATATTTGGATTTAAAGCTTTCGTGACTGCAGGGATTCATATTCATAGTTCTTTCGGTAAAGTCACGTAGAAGGGAAACAATAAAATAAAATATATTGTTTTGTATTTTTATTATTTTATTGTTTCCCTTCTACGTGACTTTACCGAAAGAACCAAGAATGTTACTTATATTGCGCCGCTTAAAATATTGACCAGCAGAGATTGCCCTGCTCCACAACACGTGCTCGTGAACAATCAATGGCGTGGCACAGAGGATATTCCATGAGATAGACCCCATTGCTTCTTGTGTTTAGTTTGTTGTTGTCCTTCCCGCGCACCCACGATTAGCACGGTTGGCTACGTGCGGTGCGAAAGAAGTTCAGCATACGGTACATGCATGAGCCTATGCCGCTTTTCCAATATGCCCTTCGAAGAAGGGATGTGTACATTTTAAAATGTACCAAAGCAAGCGATTACTCTATTGCAACAGCACGTGGTTACTACATACAGCAGTATTTGGTTTGACATGCTTGGCCGCTTTGAAATATTAGTCAAGGCCAGCATGGTGATGAACGACACATCCCAACTTCCAGTGGCGCACTCGGTCGATTCATTCAGCACAACAAAGTACAATAAGACAATTCATGGACGCTTGCATGCGTTCCCCCATTGTATTTTAAGAATCGCGTCGTCAGAGCCCTCAAGCCAGGGCTGTTTATCAGGATTGTAACAGTACTCGCGTGGCCAGTTCTGTTGATTTGTAGTGGGGGGGGGGGGGGGTTAACGCGTGAGCTCAACAGCGGCCTCCTATGGACGCACAAGGGGTGATGAATGTGAGAAGAGCCACGTGAAAATTAAAATGGGATGTTTGACCAAGATTGATTCAACGTTGGTTCAACGGTCAGTTTAACACGTAGGCTTTCGCGACCAATATTATTCATCTGGGTTAGATCGCGTTATTGATAAATGTGTCGTAACCCTCCACCACCCGACACGGCCAATCAGCAATTGCCCGATGATGCTGGATGTAATTACCAGCGAAACGTCGTTCAACACACCGGTGGGCTAAAGTAGTGAACTATTTGTCTTTTGTCAACGTGACACTTTTTTGCTGATTGGCCGTGTCGAGTGGTGGAGGGTTACGACACATAAATAACGCGATCTAACCCAAGAACCTTTTGAATTGGTTCAACGGTACCAACCACGCGTCAACGTTCGCCCAACGTTCCATGGTTATTGCGTAAGGGATTTTAATCGGAATCTATGACGTGTGCATCATTTGACGGCACGGTGGCTAGGAGATGTTAACTGCCTCGCCCGGTCGACAGAAGGTCGTGGGTTCGATCCCTACCCTGACGCCTGCTGTATATTTGGAGTTTGCGTGTCTCTCGATTTTTCTCTAGGTCCTCCGGTTTTTCCTTCAACAATTAGAATCAACACGCGTTTGGAGTATTTGGCTGCTATCAATTTGCACGTAATAATCCACTTCGTTTACCTATTATTTGTGGCCAGGTCGCTTCTGAAAAAGGAACCATATAGCTCAGTGGGCCTGACCTGGTAAAAATGAAAATAGTTATGTTAGTTTTGTAAAGTGTCACCACTGTTCATTGAAGATTCTAGCAAGAGGTAAGTGTGCCAAGAGTCTTGTGGCTTTTGAGTCGTCAGTCCAACTAGGACCCAACCAGGCCCGTGAGATGGTGGCTGTACGCGGCCTGTGGAGGCAACAAGGGTTGGTGGATAACCGCACGAATGTTGAGAAACTCCATTCCTCGTGGGCCTCGAGGAGGGCCCATTCCCTGGTTCACCAGAAGGCAGTACAGCAAGTGGATTAAGCGCCACCTGTTTCCATCTTTAAGGGGATTGAGTGTTGCCCCCTCGCACACATGCGTTTTCTCCGATTATCTCCCACTTAAAATAAAAACCCAATGCAGGACTCTTCGTGAACAAAAAATATATATTATTTCGTCTACGTCTCTATTTTGTACACATGTATTTGATCTCGCCACATCCGTATTTTTTATGCTGCCATCGCGATAGGATTGTATACATTGAAAGAGGGAGCCTCAAAACAAAAAGTTCTGCTAAAGAAGACCTCAAATCGGTTACCACCACCAAACCACCCGCAACCACCGCCGTCTTACGACGTGAATTCCCAACGAGGCTACGCGAGTCTTCTGCTTCTTTCGTACGGCTGCTGGAACAACTACAATTTCACAAGGCCAGTTATCGCTGTGATTATGTCTCCTTAGTATTTTTGGATCGTCGTTATACGTTGCACGGTGTTTTTCTTTTCTTTTCTGGATGAACCACGGTGAGAAACAGTTCAAGCCTCGGGGCAGTAGATGGCGACGTTGCACAAGGTTTTTATTTTTAAGTTTTTCTCAGCAGCTCAACCACAAACTGACGTTCATGAATTTTTTTTTTCACGCTTTCACCACCGCGAACAACCGTACACTGATAATTACGTTCTTATCCAGGAGAGTCTTGCTAAGACTCATTTTTTTTACGGTTACGGGGCCTGCTTTGGGATGTTTGGCCAACTCATGCTTTCAGCTTACATTGGCGCGTGAGAAAGATCAATACCAAAGACGTAGTAGGCATTCGCGACCAATATCCATAATAATTTATGTTTTTTTTGGGATAGATTGCGTCACTATACATGTGTCGTTAATCCGCCACCACCCGACACAACCAATTAGTAAGCTTCTGTCACGTGAACAAAACTCGCCAATGAGTTACGACTTCATCACACCGGTGTGTTGCAAAGTCAACCCCAATTCGAGTACGACGTTTTATTTATCTGCATTTGAAACGCTAGATTTTTTGTTCTGGGGCCATTGCTCATCATGTCTATTCACACACCGTTAGTCCGTATCCATCATTGATTCTGGAAATGAAATAAACCCACTGGGCGTGATGAGGGTGAGAAACTAATTGAGGTGCTGGTGGACGGATGGAGGGATACACGTGGGTGGACGGGGTTAAAAAAAATGTAATTTTCAGGAGCTCAGCCCCGCACAGCTCCGGCCGAAATGAAACCCTTGTTTAACGCTCGAGGTCTTTAGTAAAGTATGTTTCTGGTAGAAAATGTTTTTAAAAAAAGGCAAAAGCGGCATGCGGTTGTGGTGGCGCGCGTGGCGTTTAAAGCCCGAGTTTAAAACCTTGACTCGGTGAGGATTTTCCGGGTAAGAGAATAATGATCAGCAGCAGCAGCAGAGTCTCAAGGCTGCTGCTGGGCACCCCGACCCAGCCCCCCACCCCCACCTCTCCACCAGTGTGAAACCCGGTGGGAGAGCGAGCAAGCATCGCCGCTTGGACTCGGGAAATAATATCACCCGAGCAGCGTATAGATTATTAGGGGACTCTCGCTAAACGAGTTTAATTTGCAGAGTGCTGCCGGTGAGATAGACATCGTCGATCGGCAAGTCACGTGCGGTAGGGTAAAGCGTGGTTAATTCCACCTCTTCCGAGGCGTCTGTTTCTGTCAGTGCCAAAAAAAAGTAGGCCGAATTACCCTCCCAAGAATGTCTCTCTCGGGCTCCATCAAGCGGAGGCCCTTTCGACAGCAATGGCGTGAGCACGCAATTGCAGTGCTGCGCCTTTGTCTTTTTTCGTACACATTTTCCAACTCCCATTGAATTGAGCTGAGGTGGGGGGGGGTGCATCGGCTGTTTGTGTTGCTTGCATCTAAACCATGCCTCCGTGGGCAATTTAGCCGAGCGACGGTGGCTATGCACGCCGGCTGTAGTCCAGGGTTGGTGGATCAGCTTGCGCATGATGTTGTCGAACTCCCATCTCCCGTGGGCTTCGTGGAGGTGACCGTACCCTGGCTGTACAGCAAGTGGAAAAAATCGCCATCTATTTTCCATCGGTACGGGGATAAGGCGTTGCGTGGGGTTTCTACGGGGGGTTGCTCCGGATTTCCTCCAACTTAATTGGCTGAAAAGATCTTACAATAAAAAAAAACCCAACGCAGGACCCTCCTGAAAAATAGGCACACGACTTCAGCGTGGTCTCCTGGATACATTATTATTCTTATTGTAAATTATTGTAAATTAAAATACTACTTACTGGATGAGAGCCCGTCTTACGGACGGAGGCACGTGGGGGGGGGGACATTATTATCTTAATAGCATTAATAATACTGTGTTTCACGAGTACCTGTCGCACCAGCAGGTCACTTTGACCTGACCGGGGTGACCAGTAAGCGTATAGGTGACGTGGTGTAGACTTACATATTTCACCGCGGATAAACTAAAAGCGCGGTTTGACGAATTAGATGTTTGTTTTCGTTCACTCGCCGCCGTGTGTTGCCTCGCGAATCGGTGAGCTGCCCCGTCATTTGACAAAGAGAACCCGCGTTATATTATTTGGCTGCTATCAATTTCCACAAATGGTGAGCCACTTCGTTGAGCTGTCCATTCGTGGCCAGGTCGCTTCTGAAATAGAAGCTCGGTGGGCTTTGCCTGGGAAAATAAACATAGGCATGTTTTGTGTGATTTGCTTACATTTCTTATACTTTTGCACTGCCATCGTTTTTTTTGGTGTCGTTTGTTGTTGTAACTTTCTGACGCACCCCTACTGGACAATGTGTGAAAAAGATCTTCACAGCTCATCGGATTTCTCCAGGACAAATATTCAGATTCTGTATGGACCGTTAAGGAAAGGGAACTGGGCTTGAGCAGGACGCGTCGTGGCTTTGAAGGGACGATGTGCCAGTGGTCAAGGTTCACGACCGAGTGGCAGCCAAAGGAGGGAAGGGCAGTTCAGAGGAGCGACCACCGTGTAGACGGAGCCTTGAGATCGGCTCGTGGAGTATCACGCTGCAGGATCGTAAGATATATACGGTATA